GTCATTCATAGTCATTTTTTAAACTTTACTTTGGTCAGGTTCAGACATTTAACTGCCAAATTTAAATTAAGATTAAAGATAAATAGCATATGGAAGGTGTTATTCATTGAAAAGGTCCAGGAATAATAAATTCCCACAAGGTCAATCGTTTCACCCCAGTCCAACAATACAATAAAATGGCTTTATTTTTATGGAAATTAATGTAGCTGATATTGAAATATGGAGCAACCTTATCTACTAGGACCCCATGGAATTTAAAAACAAAACATGTGAGCCTGCCTGTTAAATAATTTCACAATATTTAACTCTTTATGTGGAATCTGAGTGGATGATACAGCAGTTGGAGCACTGATTTGACAACAGGGGTTGGTATCTGGTGGAAATCAACAATATTGTACTGTATTTTACACATAACCAACAATGATGATACTATCATTATTCAGCAACTCTGTGGTGACTGATTGATTGTAAAACAATAAAAAATATTGTTTAAAAAATACTGTTAAAGTAACAGTCGATGAAATGAAGATTTGTTTAGAGTGCCATGTTGTTATTGTGAAATTAAGTACAGCTATTTGGTGCCACCAGTTTGACAACAGTATTGGGCAACTTGGGAACTCTATGTAATGTCATGGAAGAAATTTTGGTCCAATCCATAATTCAGTGCGCACAGACACTCTGGCTGACTTTAATGGTCTCAACTTAAAAAAAGAAACCTATTTTCTGGACACTTTACTGTAAAGAGGTCTTTAGTCTGCATCGAGTCTGTCCACAAGTGGAGAATAAAACAACTTTTAAAATGTCTGTTTGTTCCAGATCGATCATTGAGAAATCTGTCTGCTGTTGAATCGCTTGATCTAGCACTGTATGTAAGCTGCACTTAATAAAAGATTTCTATTAATAGAGATAAGTGCAGCTGAATGGATGTCATTTCAAATGCTTTCACTCTCCACACAGGCTCTCTTACATGTGGGTCTGCTGAAAAGGGACTAGTCAATACCATTCAGACTACAAACATACCACACATAGAAACCTGAATACTCCCCATGCTGACAATACACACCTACTAACATACTCTTCATTTTTGTGAATAATCTATAAATAAAGTTTAGTCCTACCTCTACTAGATAAATCATCAATAACAGAAAACATGTCAGAGATCAAGAGTATTTTTTAACGCATGATTCACAAACACTAAACAAAGACATTGCCTCTTTTTTTAAAACATTTATGATATTTCAGTTCAAAAGAAATATACCTGAAAGACGACTGCCTCCAAAATTACTGCCAAAGCATCAGAAATACATGGACAACATACAATGTTACCCTGTCTCTTACAGTTGTGCTCATCTCTACTACAGGATTTTCAGTCACCGGTTCCCTCTTTCACCTACTTCTGACACATCTGTCAACACTCTCATCTTTTCTACACATTTTCATTTCCTGTCCTTTCCTCCTTTCCGGTGAGTTTTTACATCTCTGCTCTCTCCACCTCCTGAGTTTTTTCCCCACGTTCTCATTCCCCCTGAAATTAATGACACCCCTTCTCACAGCTTCAAATCACTCAAAGATTCAAAGGAGTTTAATTTGTCATTCCAGTCTGCATTTACATGAGAAAAGAACAAAACTGAGGTGCCTGTATTAGACATGAGAAATGAAAGTCATAATAAATATCAAAGAGATATAAAAAAATTAAATAAAAGCTTAAAGGAATCTGAATAAAATTCACAATAATATTTACATTAAAAAGTATTACGATAATATTTACAGCTTTAACCTAAATAAAAAATCTAAATAACGTTACTATTTACAACTCTACCTAACCGGATCACATTACAGCGCAGCATAGTAAGTGGAGCGCAAATACTATATATCAGCATGCTTGTCTCCTCTTCTTCCCTGAGCATAATTTTCTCTTCCCTCTAACCCCATCTGTCACCACCTCACCTCTCTCTTCTGTTTTTCCAGACAACAATCATTGTTAGAGTGAGAGTGGATACAGGATGAAAGACAGGGCCCTGCTCATTTCTATGGATGTCTCCCATCAGTGCATGGGTCTTGTACCACTTTCAATCGATGGCGGCTGAGGTTGATTCCCCTTGAAATAAATTTTTCTGGGTATCTAGAAAACTTTGCTCTCTTAGATCCTAAAAACCTAATCAGAATCAGAATCAGATTCAGAATCAGAAATACTTTAATCATCCCCAGGGGGACATTGCTTTTTGTTACAGTAACTCCAGTGCAAATAAAGTAGAAAGGGGAAATAAATAATAGATAAAGTAAGTAAAAATAAATAGATAAAACAAATAAAATAAGTAAAAATAGAGAGATAATATACAAGTATGTACACTATATACAACACAAATTAGTAAAATAGTATGCCTAAATGATAATGATGAGTCAGCCAAGAGGACCACCTTTCTATCTGCTAGTTTGTTCCTCATTAGATCGGATTATTGTGTTCATGTAATAAACCAGGTAAAAAGAAAAAAACAACCATTTATCGCAGAAAGGTCTCTATACAAAAAGTAGCCCTTGTTGCTGCATGTTTAACACCAGGGTGCATCAATGCTCTTGAATTAAGTGTCCCCTGAAACCAACCTAACCTCAAGTGCTAATCACTGTGGGTTCAAGTCTAGATGAGTAATCTGTTATTACTCGTGAGATGCAATTTACATTACACGCCAGGTTTTCTCCCAAATATTAGGGGAAAACACTAAAAAACTGCTCTTGTAATGATGTCAAACAACAGAGCATGGACATCAAAACATCAAAACCCAAGCAATCTGATAAACAATGACCCCTGCTGACACTGTTTAATACGCAATCACCAGACCAAAAGCAATCAAAGAAACAGCACTTCAATCATAGTGACAAAACAGAGTTCACACACACCAGACAACACTGGAGGAGTTCTGAACACACAATGCAAATGCAATTCAAAACCAGCAGCAACAAAGTACAGGCACACTTACCTTTAAAATAATGGAGTGTCATCCCAGTGTGATATCCTCCTGGTAAAGACCCCTTGAAGGTAACTTTAAGCCAGCTTCAGTCCCTTCAATGTGGGAGACATACCTTATTAGTTTTAGAGGAAATGTTCTCAAAACTGAGACAGAAATGAAAAAGTTAAGGCCCTGAAAGAAAGGGCGTGTTTGGATTCAGATAAAGACTTCCCTCAGCCCCATGTGTACTTCCATCTATGACTATGAAAGTCTAATTCAACAGATTTCATCAGACAGGTGGTATTGGGAGTTTTAGAGGATTATGGGATACAGCAGCACTGAAGGTTGTAAAACAGCGTTGGCGGTTTTCAGCGTGATTTGTATTTTTCAGAAGCGATGTGCTTGCTGTGTGACTAAAATGTAAAAAAAATCATAGACATACCATAAATATTATAGTAAGTTTACAACACTGTGTTTACCTTTTTTAGATGGCTGTAATAAGATGTGGTTTTAGTTCGTCAGTCCAGAAAACAAGCGGTGACGGAGGAGCAGCTGAGGCCCATTTTGAGGTGAATCCGAAGAAGTTTGCTCACTTCACAAACCACTCTTAAACAAGGACATTTGTTTTCATTTTGAACAAAAGGTTTCCCCAAGTGCAGAAGCATTTGTCTGAGTAGACAGAAAAGTTAGTTAGCTAATCAATTTTGCAAACATTTCACGAAAAAAAGGACTGTAATATCTGACTGCTTTGGTTGGTGTGTCATAGGGCCTGATTCGCGCTTTTGGCGACTATAAAACACAGTGGGTGCTGCGTTCAGGTACTCCTCGGAGAGGCCGTGCACGACTGAATTGAGATGGCTTGAGATTGAAGTAAGGACAAATCAGCAAGTGTTGTGTCTTTCGCGAACGATTCGTTGAAAAGAACCGAATCTTTTACATGAACGTACTGAACCGAATCACTTCCTCAAGTGACTCGTTCGTTTCTCACTTAAGTTTAGCTGTCAGCAGGGCAGATGCCATAGCACGCAGCATTTCCAGGCGAGCAGCCGGCGAACGAGGGATCGCATGCACCGACGCCTGAATCACGCATTGAACTACACTCTCTGGAAACATTTTTGTAGGAATAAACTAACTTTTTAAACTTTTTACTGCTAAATTGCCACCACAACAACTTGCTTGCAACAGGACACAGCATGTAACAAGTAGTGCATAAAACCTGCAACATCCTATCATTGCAGCGGTTTGTGAGCGAATGAAGCATGTTCAGTGTGAATTCTTCTAATCGTTCAGTGAACAAATCACTCACTGAGCCAAATTTACCAAGCAGACCTGATAAATAGCATACCATAGGAGAGTACACTTAAAACATCATGACTTATGAACAAGTTCATTTTTAGTAACCTGCTTGCCAAAGCAACATTATTTATTATTTATTTTATTAATTATGTTTTTATTTTTATTATTATTTTTTTTCAAACATGTACGTGCAACACAAGAAAGTAAACTGAAAACAGACAAACAAAACCAGTGAGGTTATTCAAAACAACAACAAATATCAAAGCAAAATAAATAAATAAATAAATAGATAAATTAATAATAATAATAATAATAATAATAATAATAATAATAATAATAATAAAAATAATAATAATAAAATAATAATAATAATAATAATAATAATAATAATAATAATAATAATAATGTGAACGCATTATGCTTTTTTTTTTAAATCTACCCCTTCTCTGCTACTCAATAAACAGCCAGTCTCCAACATATTTACATTATACTAACAAAAAATAAAACATAAATAGAGTAAATAAGTACATAAATCATTTATTAAAACACCCGATGGTTAAGGTCCTCCTCTCTTCAATCTTATTGCATTGAAAGGCAGCATATTTCATTTCATTTTATTTTATCTGTTTGCCTATTTTCATTTTATTTACTAATCTCTAACTAATCTTTGTTCCCCCAGAGCATATCTTTTTCTTTACTGTCTATACTTGAGAAGCATACACGCGCTGGTCCGTCACTGAAACGTGTTCGTCTACGGGTCCGTTTGAAAAAACTGTTCGAAGTGAAACAAAGACGGTCTACTCAGCTGCCATGACCCGACAAGAGAATTAGCTTAGCGTGTACATCGAAAAAGTTTCAAAAACCCAGTTATCTGCTTTACTTTGGATTAACAGCCGACACGGAACCTCATTTTCTGACGAAGAAGACGGACAGCTGACATTCAGCAAATAGCGGCGAGAATTTGACGCCAACGTGTCCTCGGGTCGGTCTACTACACGCACTGTGAACTCTGCCTCAGCCAACTAGTACAACCTGTTCTTGTTGGATTTAACCATGGATGCCGTCGTTAGTTTTACAAACCAGAGCCAAGGCAGGGACCGTATATTCAGGTGAGTTGTTTAAAATATTTCCAACCTGGTTAAAGTGTATTTGGACTTTTGGGTTAAGCGTTGCGCAAATGCAGAGCGCGCTAAGAGGAGTTAAAAGTGTCTACCTCTCCCTCTCTCTCTTTTTCCGTCATATTTCTTTATTTCAGGACAACCCAATATGCATGTGCACTGTCCACGTATCTACTTAGAGACAATCCTGATAGAAAGGATCTTGTGGCAAAACTAAAAAGTCTGGAAACGACCATGAGCGCTGGACGAAAACGTGAGTATCACATTTGACTTGTACATGAAGGCGGGGCCCCTAAGTGACTTGAGTTCAGGTGCTCCTGTAAAGAAGGGTGCTTTGAAGGTTTTTATGCCACAGTGTTCATTATTTCATAGGAACACAGTGTTGCCCCCTAAATTAGACGAGAAACTTGAACGTCTTCACCAATTACCTTTTACCTCTCCACCTTTGCCCCTTCCTCCTGACAGTAAAATCACATCATTGCTGGTAAAATATTAGCCTATATCTCCTCTCTCCAAGTCCAAGACTCTTCTCTTGTTTCTCTGAAAAGTACCCCATATATTCCTGTTTTATTTTGATCCTTTAATCACTTTGATCCTGTAATCACATAAAATTAATTTTACATTGTCCATAATCACTCATATCCTAACCCTGTAAACTGAATTCATTTTGTTTCACCATTACATGAACTCCCCTGTCTCTGTCTTTCACCCTCGTTCTCTACTCTCTCTCCCTCCCTCTCCATCACTCTCTCTCTCTCTCTCTCTCTCTCTCTCACTCTCTCTCTCTCTCTCTCTCTCTCTGCTCAAGGTTTCTGCCTGTTAAAAGGAAGTTTTCCTTGCCACTGTCGCTCATGTTACATGAGTTGAGCCAAATCCCATTTAAGGTTGGGTCTCGATAATTCATCAATGAGCGTGGTCTAGACCTGCTCTTTTTCTTTGGAAAGCGTCTTGGGATGACGACTGTTGTGAATTGGCGCTATATAAATAAAATTTGATCGGTTGATTGATTGATCCTTCGATCAGTATTGCAACAATAATCAAAAAGAAGTTGTCTTTGAATACTGAATATTGTTGAGTTTGATAAACAGAACAAAAATACATTAAAATTACAAAATGTAAAGCTCATTTAATCTTTTCACTACAAGCTCTGAATTTCGACAGCTTCTCATAACTGCTGTCTCTAATAACTGTTCCCATGTACGCTTCTTTCCTCATTGTTTGTCCTTTCCTTTGTAAAGTTTCGACTGTGCCATTTAGTTTTCCTCCTACATATTCAACACGTGTTTAATTGACTTGTGTGCACTAATGGAAGGAAATAAAGCAGACCTCCCTCGTTATTATTCCATCCCTTTCTCTCTCTCTCTCTCTCTCTCTCTCTCTCTCTCGCTTCCTCTCTCTGAATCTGTAATATTACTCTAGGCTGCTGCATAATAACCTAAAATCAACTGACGAGAGTTGAAATATGGATTCATATCTTTGCCCTCTAAGAAGTCGGTCTCCCTGGTCTTATACTATGCAAAGTAAACACAATAATATTTGACCGACAATGTCAGGAAGAACTTTTGATCGCCCACGCATTCAGGCCAAGAAGACAGAGGCTGAGCCACTGCAAAAAAAAAATCCTTTGTTGTTTGACTTTTTCGTCCTCCCATCACAATCATAATCAATAAATGAATTATTCTCTAGAAACCTTTGGCAAAGCTCACCTTTGCTCTAGAAAACAGCAAATAGTTCATTATTCATTAGAGCAGAAAGCAGCAGATGAAAGTTAGGTTTGTTTTGGGTAATTGCTGCTGAGTGTCTTTGATTTTTGGTGCCTTTACTTGATATTGTTTTATAAAAAGTGTGAGAAATATGTTTGATGTAGTTCTCGGTTGAAACTATGAAGAAGTTTTACACGTTAACCATTTGTATCCAGACAATCCAATCAGCCAAATCTTGAAGTTGTCTGTATTCCTCAGCCATGGAGCACTGAAGGCAAAGCTTATGCTGCCACCAAATTACGATCATCCACATTGAGTGTATATTTTATCCTGAAATATTATTTCCTAATCTGTTTTTCCAACAGTCACTACCTCAATGGTTTCCAAAAGCAAAATCAAATAATTCATGAGAAAAACCATTTCGCCAAGATATTCTGCAAAGTGGATGAGTGGTGAAGCATTTGAAGGAAATGTCACAAACTACACATTCATTATTGCTGCTGCACACTGTGCCTTACATAACTTATCTCCAGCACATAAAAAACACGCATAAATTAGGTCTTTCCATTAACACAAGGCCGTTTTTGTTAATGTTCTACAGAAATGCATTACATTATTACTATTAGAAAGGCCTAAAAGAGGAAGACATTTTGGCTCTTTTATCCCCTCTTTTTTGACAACCAAGCTGATGGCTTTTAGTCTTTTTGGGTTGTTTCTTTTCCACTGTGAGCCAGAATAGATGTTAGGGTACTGACTGCACTGTGAACTGGCTCTATGGACATGCTTTAACTGTGGCTGATGACCCTAACACTGGCCTCAACGGATCATAGGTAGATTTACTTTACAACCCTGAGGGAAAGTTCAAGTTTTTCAACTTTGACACTTGGGAAGAGCCTCATTTGGCCTGAGCTGTACATGGAAATGATTGAAAGCCCTCAACTGGAGAAGGGTCAGGCTGTGTAGACTACGGCCCTTTTGTTGCTGTTGCAGTGGAGATGTATCAGGTCCAAAGTCAGGTTTTGTTGCTGCATCATTCAGTGATCTTACTCTGGATCAGAGGTGCAGTGTCAAGACCTTCCTGTGTTTTTCACACACTGTTTCACCCATTGAGAGTTAAGAAATATGTAGATCTTAAAACTTGAAGCAGCTTGTAAGAGAGGAAACTACTTTTTAGTGTGATTCATCAGTGATGCAGTAAACATGCCTTTTGAAGGTCTTACAAAGCACTGAATGTAAACACACCGAGCAAAAGGACTGACATCTTTTTCAGAGGGGAAAATTATAGAAAAAATGACAGTTGCAGACATTTTATTGTCTTTTTAAGTGTCAGTGGCAAACTGCGACAATGAAATATTGACCTGACATTTCATATTAGATTGATTTATAGCTCTAATCCCCTTTTTCTTCCTCCTTTGTCAGTGTTCAGGCTGGGAAACACAATAAATTCCATTGAGGCTGCTAAGCGAACCATGCAACTCTCTGACCGAGTGCTGTGCCTCTGCCTTACTGCGGCCAACATGACCCGCGCCCTCTACTTTGTCTGTGACAATGCACTGTGGGCCAGAAATGTTGGCCTTATTCGCAATATGGACAAAGAACGCTGGAGCCTAAATGCCTCTCGCTGCTACTTCATCTCACTAGTTATGAATCTGACCCGAGACGTGTATGTTATCCTCCAGCTAATGTCACAGAAAGCAAGAGATAGACGCTTTAGACAGAAAATGGACACACATCTGAATGGGAATCCTGAAGTAGCTGATGTGGTCGTCCCTCAGCTGGATGCGTTTCTCTTTCTTCTCCTGGAGAGCCTAAGATCACATCCGGCTGTTGCTTTGGATACGCTGAAGAATATATGTGATCTCTTCATTCCCTTAGACAAGCTGGGGATATACAAGTCAAACGCAGGAGTGGTTGGATTCTGTGGACTGATGTCCTCCGTGATTGGCATTGTAACCCTTGCACAGCCCAAGTTGAAGATCAAACCCTGATAATGAGGGCGAAGATAAACCGTATAATAAGATCAGGTGACATATCACAGACAACATGTTCGGAGACGACTCTGCTTTTCTTACTGAAAACAAAAACTGAAAGGCTGTCAACTTTCTTGATTGTCTGTATTTGTTGTCTTTTGGTACAGGTTTTTGATATTGTTGAAATTTACACAGAAATACTTAACATTACACAGAAACCAGCGTAGGTCTAAGCACTGATTTAAACAGGGTGCATAACAACTTTTTTAAAATAATGTTTGTTTGTTTTTTTAATTTAACAAGCCTGAGCTTTTCCTACAAGCATTCCTGTCCCACAACACTTAAAACCAGAATGTACTGTATGTCAAAATAAGGGCTCCTGACCTAAGACCTTAATGTGACTCCACTGTTTTCTCTCTGCTGACTGATGCTGCTATAAGTTCTTTTTTAACATTATGAATTAAGTGATGGATAAACTGCTCCTCGGCCAAATAGTGCCTCCGGGGGGAAGAATTCAGGGATTATTACTGCATCTGTGATTGAGTTTTATTTTGTACTGCACAGTGGGAGCCTGTACCTTTACTTTCAGCAGGTAATACTGTATGTCAAATGGAAGAAAAGTGAAAAGAAATGATTTTGCATGACAGAATCAAGCAAATCTTGTTCATACTTGAAGACATACCTTTGAAAATAGATTTATTGATAAATTCTTAATATATTGAGTCTTGTATTTTGCGTCTCTGTTATTGTTGTGACACAAACAAACATGTTTATGAGAAGAAACTGGAAACCTTTAAATTCTTCTCGTCCTCGAGTAAAAGCCCTCAAAGCTGCAGGCACACACCTCCTCTTATCAGGTGTAGTAGGAGGAGCGTGATGGCCAGTTTTTTCACTGTCACAGTCAAAGTTTTAGATTATTAATAGTTTTAAAGGTAATTAAAAGGTTTTCCATATTCGTATAGAGCCAAGAGCCAATAATGATAGACTAACTTTGAGTGTGGATCTGTGGGAAACAGTTGTGAATCAGTTTATAAAAGAGCAACACTGCCCTCCTGGGGAAACAGGACACCTTGGTGAATTGAAAAGAGCTTTATTTTTCATATACTTGGACAACGATACACTTTTTCTGCTGAAAGCTTTTCTTAAGAGGATGATAATGTGATAAAGCATCCACCATTTAAGATTGCAAAAATATATTCCGTTTCCCTTTCACTGAACATTTGAGTTTTGCTGTGGAAAAAAAAAGATCTAACTATGCAGAGATGAATTCCAAAAACAGGACATAAACACATACAAAGCAATAAATAAAGAAATATATTGTCCGTAATCAGTTGCAGTGATTTGTAAAGTTAGTGTTCGATTTCACATTTCAGTTCACACAGTTTTTCCAGTTCCAACTGACTCATGAATCACACTCAGTTTTAATTTGCTGAAATAGTTTCCAGGAAAAAGTCCTGCCTGTAGTTGCTGTGTCATGGGTGTGCTGATAATCGTGACATTTTTGAAATGTCAAAGGTTTTCTAGGTAAAAAAAAAAAAGACTGTCTTGGTGTCATATCATTGTCAAATTCATATGATAGAAATTTAAGGCATCTAATTAAACTCGGTCTAAAAAAAGAGCAAAGCACTTGGAAGAATGGCACCAGTGTGAAACTACAGATTCAATACTGCTGGCCCAAGTTTAATGAATTTCATATCAATAAATGACATGCAGAGATACTCGGCACCTTCAGTAGTTGTCTCCTGAACAATTAAACAAAAAAGTTAGCACTTTGGAACCCTCTGTTTCTACACAGCCGATTAGTTCTCATGAACGGTACTATTTTCTTCATTCAGACCTTCAATGAGGTTGATATTTTGCCTCAGGAGCTTTTCCAAGGATACAGTTTGTGTGGTTTAATTATGTCTAATAGACCAAATCTACAGCTGTGTCTCAATACACAGAGAAATTATTCTGTATTTACCTGTTTTGCTCATTTTTAAACACACTTTTTTTTTCTTTTTGCTCTGATATGGCTAAACATTTAATCACGCCTAAATGTTTTTATAAATTTTAGAACGATCTGGCATTGTTTCACTATGAAACAAACGGACTAATCTCATCAAGAACCATAAAATACAAAGAGGTCTGGTCCTGAGAATGAAAGCGTTTATGAAGGAGAACCAGAACTTTTAAAATCCAGGAGTATTTTTAACTCTGATTAATTTAAGTCCCTTAGTTCACTGACTATCTATGCTTAAAACTCTTAAATTTTCCGACAGTCAGTGCTAATAAGTATTTCTCTCATGGAGTTGATCATATGTGCCAAGTCAGAGCAAACAATGCGAGTCTTAAATCCTTCAAATCTATCCCAAAATACCAAATGTAAAAAAAAAAAAAAAAACCGTAATTGTCTTGATAATAAAATGTTGCGGAGATGTTTAAAATGTGTCAACACGTCTACTGAGTGTTTGTACTAAAAATAAAAAAGGAAAAGCAGGTTCCTGCATCAGCTCTTTGTGGCGCTTGGTAGTAAAAGACAGTAAATCAAATTCTTTTAGGGTTCATATTAATCTGACGGATTATGAGACAACAAATGAAGTTTACAGAGAAAATGATTAAGACCTTCAGGACGAAAAAAACAAGAACAACACAGATAAGACAACTGTTGCACAACAACTATCCAGTAACTAAATTTTCCATCAGGCTGAAAGACTTTTACAGGAAAAAAAAACAATGAATGCTTTGAATTGAACAGGTTAAACAAAGAACTTCCTGAACAACAACATTGTGATGGAAATGTCTAGCATTTATGTTAAGGCAAATATCGACTTCATTTTTCCCTTTTAAGCCACCATTAAGACAATAACTGTGAGTATGAATACACTGATGCAACATGTCCAGATAACACTGAAATCTGATCACTACGACTGGAGGCCAAAGTTGAAGGTGAAACAGAGTTAAGCACTGAGGTTATTCAGATGGATCTGCCCCTCAGTAAAGGAATCTAAAAGTCTCGCTAGTACCCTCTAGAGGTCAACCTGTGTCCTACACACAACTGAACCGAGGCGTCCTCACATGTGGTTCACTCAATCCCAGATTGTAGATCAAACTGTGGACAGGCTTGATTACCAAAAAGAAGTACCCTGTAAGCCTTAGAAGACCGCATATTAACTTGTGGTCACTTCTCTAAAAGCACGATAACACTGTGTATGTGTGTATCAGTAAACAAACCAACAACGGCAATACTCAAGAGCGGTGTCAGTTACATTAAAGGCAGCTCATGGCAGGCTACATGTGGGTTAATGTTGACACTAGACGTGCAAAAGCAGTGTCTTAAAAACAGCATTTCAGTTCTGGAGGAGTGGTTCTGTGGCGTTCACACGTGTCCTGGAATTTACACAGGACGTTGGCAGAAAGCAAAGTGATCAGAGCCTCAAAAAAGTGACCCAAAAGACAAACTATGAGTCGAGATATTGTCCCACACTTTGAGAGACTTGGCTCTTTGGATCCACTCTGTGTTCTATTTAGAGTCACACTGACATGAGCCTATAAAGGGGTTTAGTAGAAATATAGATCTGTGTGGTTGGTATATTTTGATTGCAACAAGTCCTAAGACATTTATGGCACATCAACATTATGATCATCATGTAAAAGTGTTATTGAAACAAATGTATAATTTATGTGAATCAATTTGACCTGTTATCAGAGAGGTGATAAAACAAGTCCTTCTGTTTGTTAAATAAAACCGCTTTCGTAGCATTTGTTTACCCCAAAGATTGATTGTACCATCATTTTTGATATATGTTTTTCTTTATATATCAATGCTTTTAAGCTCTGCCAGGATGACAAGTCAGTTTAACATTTCAGAGGAAATGATTTGGCATTCATCGTGACCGTTTTTACAGCAGAACAAAATCCAGCGAAAATCATTGTTGACAACCAAAAATGTTAAAGAGCTACATTTGATCACGAGTCGGTGGTCTCAGCCCAAACCTCGCTCCTCGATTTCCACAACGGAGTAAAGTGAAAAGTGTTTCATGACCCCCAGGACCCAGCTAGGCAGTCTATAGGTCCGTTAGGAGTCTTTTGGTCCAGTCAAATCCCACCCTTCAGAGGGTGAGGACAGGAACTAGGAGAGCTCCTGTGCTCGGTCGTAGTCTGTGATCAGGCTTTTGATATGTGACAGTTTCTGATGGAGGTACTCGCAGCGTTTCTTCTCTTCTCGATACCCAGGAAACTTCTGAAAAGAAAACAAGAACAACTTAGACTTGAGAAACAACAATCCAAATGAATCAAGATTGCCTTACACAGTAATGCTGAAACCTTAAAACTACACTCTTGAAATCCTTGTTTGCTGGTGGGTAAACCGTCTTACTGCATAAACTACCATAAATCCCTTGTTTTACTTTGAAAAATCTCACTTTTCAGTTGAAGAGAGGCCACAAATTGTTACGTAATGCAGTTTTATTTAATTTTCCACTTCCACTTGAACAAAGATTTCACTCACTAAAGCTTGCCAACCACTTTGGAAATAGACTTGCTATCAAATTCAGTTCATGACTTCTGTTGCATTTGGTTCAGGGCACATGACATAATAGATGATAAAAAAAAAAAAACCTGATTATAGGTGTTTTAAAACTGTTTGGTGCTTTAACAGGTTATATATCATATGACCAGTTTGCATTCAAAATGACTTGAGAGACAGAATTTACTTACAAGCCTCAAAACTTAGCGGATTGTTGTGTGAAAACTTTGATGTCACTGAAATCTGAACTGAAAATGGTCTAATCTGACTAAATTGGCAACCCATGGTGCAATTTGTACTGATAAGGTCAAATGTTGAAGCTCTAATTATGCTGTTGATTTCGGTCACGGTCTTGTATATGCTATTTTAGGATATAAATGTCTGTACTCGTGTTTCTTGAACATGGCTTTGTACTTGGTTCTGTTAAAATAAGATAAAACAGTTCTTACTTTTTTATACTTTCGGTACTTTTGTAGTATTTGGTACTCCATGAGCTGAAAAAGTAATAAAAAAAGTTAAGAATGTGGCATGAATGGATGAAAAGAGCAGTTCAAAGCGTCTTCTCCTCACAGTACCTTGTACTCTTGTGTACCCGGGGAGAGAGTGTTGATCTTTGAGCCCAACTGAACAAACATCTCTGTGATCGCTCCGATGCGATCATGAAGAGCTCTGTATTCATCGTACTCAGCACAGAAGTCGTCTTTGTACTGCTGGCGCTGCTCCAGTGCCATTATAGTGCTGTATTTTCTGAGCAAAGAGGAGAGGAAATACACATTAAAAGATGTTATTTTAGAGCTTACTTAAAGTCATTCCTTGGAGTAAAGTTGTTTCCCTATACTTCCAGGAGGTGGCACTGCAGAATGGTGGATTAATGCCTGACACGTCACAGCGTGATATGTTGACCAGATGTATCAAAGTAAACCCGCAAGATCATTTGTTTGCAAAGTCACTCTGAGGGAAAGCTTTGTGACAGCTGATTCAGACATGTGTTTCACTTCCCTCTATTTAAAAGAATGCCGGGGAGCTGAACAAAACTGTCTCTTTTCTCAAAAACACTGTCAGATCTGTAAACTTATGTGGGCCATTTTCAGAAAAAGTTTGTGAATCTAGAAAGTAAACATAATGTGTGTTCCTCTTACATTAAATAATCAGGCAACTCCTCAGCTGAGGTCCGACTGACAGTAGTTTTCTCTCCCTCGCGGTCTGTAGAAAGGAAAAAAGCACACAAAGGGGAAAAAAAAGGTTAAAGCAATCTGCCAATGCAAATGTGATTATGTGCCCATTATCATGCAGCTGATGGAAACATTTATCGCAATCTCTGATAAGAGATGTGATCCAAGGCAAGCAATGACATCAGCAGCACAGAGTAGGAGGCAGAGCTGCCTGCTGGCTCGTTCGACCATAGGTCAGCCAGCTGTTTCTCAGTCAATCATCAACATAGTGGAGGGAGAAGTGAGGACAGGGTAGCTGAGAGACCTCACAACAATTATACTCTCAAATGAAAGTGTGTGAGTTGTTTTTTGCTTCACTTATTTAAAGTTAATTAAATGGAAGAAAGAGCAAATTATGTGAAACAAGTTCAGGAAAGAACAGTAAGACCTATCCTGTAAAGTGAGACAAAGCAATCCTCAGCTGACATTTACCTTTAAAATTTTCCTGGTCCGGCTTCAGGTCTGGACTGGTTTCAATCCAGTCTGGTTTTAAGCGCTCTCGTTCTTTCTCTTTGTGCTTTTTGGACCTTTTCTTTTTATGCTGCCCGTTGTTGAACTGTTGCTCGGTGCAGATGGAGCTGTTTGTGTGTGGGTGCTTCAGGCTGGGTGCAGTCACAGCTGGCTCTGACCTCTCCACTTTGGGGATGGTAAAAGATGTGCTGAGTTTGTGTGGTGAGTACAGACGATTTGGGCTCCCCTGGAGATGATTGCTGGTTTTGTCGAAGTCCAGTTTGATGTGTACACCAGAATTCCCATGACCGGTGGAGCTACGAACCTCATTGGTGCTGTAGTCTTCATGAGAGGGCGACTGCAGAGGCAAACTCTGGTCTAATAGTCTCTGTTTTTTGGGGGTCTGTGTTTGAGAAGGGTCTGAGGGCAGTGGGCGTTTCTGGAGAAGAATAGAAAAGAAAAAACTATTGAAATACGTGCCTTTCATTTTTCATCAACAGCATTACAAGAAGTTCTTTAATTCTACACACTTTTGTCCAAAGCAAGATACAAATACAACACAGGCAAGGAACCCGATAGGAGGGGACAGAATTTGTAAGAGTCACAAACTGCTTCAAGTTTAATCAGACACAGATGCTGACATGCAGAGCTCGAGGCAAAGCTGTGACAATGATTTTTCCAAGTTACAAGTGAGTCACTTACAGAGTATCTTAACCATGTCAACAAATAGGTATTTAGTTGTCAAGCTAATCTGCAGGATCTCAGTTTTGAATCCAATAGGGCAAATTTTAGACTCGACTTTGACTGAGGTCCAAACAGCATCCATGACTAAAGTTTAACATATCATCCTTTTTTTTAAAGCTCCTGTAGGGAGTTTTTTTACGTTGGTGAAATGGACTGAATTTTATCTTGATGCCTTTTTATGATATGCAAAAGCAAACAAGACCTTTATGACAAAGTTTGTTAATTTTTAGATAGTAATTTTTCATGTCTCAAACTAGTGCAAGGGAGTAGGTGTCAGCTGAGCAGCTAAAGAAAAACAAAACGTTTTTATGATTTTCATATAAAATACTGTCACCTGTTAAGAGTCAGCAGGGTGAGATATTTTGTTGTCACTACTTTAAAAGACAAGATATGCAAAGACTACTCTGTCCACAGGTGGCGCCAAAATTGATGCAAACTGAAAGTTCCTCACTGGAGCTTTAAGTCTCATGATCTGAAGTCAAGTTATATCCAGCAGCCACGAGTTTACCGAAACCACTACTAACAAGAGAAATATATTTTGATATGATATAATACTCAAATAAGCTGCACATCTCACTTTTATTTATGACTATACACACAGTAGGAAATTTGTCTTGTGTTCAAGTGGGTAGAGTCGGAGCTATTGTTGTTATCTAGACATTCAATGTTACTCTAAGACAAACAAAAAATATTTTAACAACTTTTCTCAAGGATTTATATTGTTTACAAATAAATTCAATCTGGGGTTATATTTAGTCTATAGCTGAGTTTAACAAGTACAAATAAAAATGACAGAAATAGAATTTATGTGCATGTGCAAAAGAAGACACTGGTCATGTTAAAGAGGAAAAATTTCAAGTCATTGAAGGTGAATAAATACCACAGGGAGATTCTTGGCAGGGCTGAGCTGTGAAGGAGAGTCCCCAGGAGTTTTGAGGAATGAATGGTTGGACTGGGGACTCCTCAACTGGCTACTGTGGAGCGGCTGAAGTTTCCTGAACAAGAAAAAAAACACACACGGCACCTTCAGTTGGACAGTGACTGCGAGGTAAATGGCCTGTAAAGCTAAACAGGAAGAGACAGTATGTAGGTCATAAAGCTTCCCTTGGCAAATCTGTGAGCAATTATCATTTCTTATAACACGCAGAGAGAGACAGCAGCAGCAGCAGTCTTTCGGAGGGAGGAGTAATCATTGACATTACAAAACTGTCAGTCTTGTTTTAGGCCGATCGAAGCCTCTTCGGGGAAATGTATGCAGTGTGTTTGGTTTTGTGTCTCTGGTGATACAATCAACAGGAGGCAACCAGAGACTAAACACGATCCAGTGAGCAGAACAATAGCAGCAGATTTAACCTCTGTAGGACCAAACCCTCTTCTGTTAATCTGCTTCCTACAGCTCCTTCCTCAAACAGACGTTACAACAAGTCACTCCCTCCTCCCCAATCAAACTCAAGCCACCCTCATAATAGAGCCGTCTTTGTGAGTACAGTCCAGAAACCGTGAAAGTAAAAACACCAGGAAAGAACCAAATCTAACACACGATAAACTAGAAGAGGGATATCAGATATTGAGAGTATTGACAGGCGATTTCATGGTTATCATAATTGGAAAAGAAGTGGATGACTAAAAATTGTGAGTTTTCTCTCTTAGCAGGGGGTGAACAGAGAGGGCTGAGCGGTCAGCCAGCAGGACTCACACTTTTCCCAAAATGCTCATGGAGCACATGGCTTGCATGTTTACTGGCAGGCAGAGGACACGTATGAGGGAAGGAAACTCACCCTGAAAAGCCCAGCTTTGCTCCTCTGAACCTTCAATGCTAATGCCATTTGGCAACTCAGTGCAGGGGAATATTTTCCAGTGCTTTGATGTGTCCATTAAGGGATGCATCAGAGCAGAGGAGAAGTCATTTAGAAGCTCCCCTTTTCAACATGATCACAGCAGACTTCTACAATAACTCAGAGGCTCTTCTGTGTTAACGCCAGCACTGTCAAAACGCATCAATCCCTGAATCTTTTCTGTGTTATCTGCCCAAACTGGTCACTCCAGGTCTGAAAAACAGTAAAGTAAGACACTTGTTGGCTTTCTTGCTGAAAGTTTGATTAAATAATGGCTATTACTTACCAAATTTGTACTGTGATCATTGTCATTTTCCCAAATAAAGTTTAATCAACGTGACAACCAACTGTCAACATTTCCAAGTGTTTCTGTGCCCAAACCATAGTAGTTAGGTTTTGGTAGATTATGACAGCTGAGGGTTTGTTTAGGCTCCAAAACTAGTTGATAAGGTTCGCAGTTTAGACTAAAACAAGAATTTATCATGAACACATACTTAAGACACAAGCAGCTTTATCTAAAATCGCAGATAAAAGAGCCTCGTGGCAGAAAGCCCTGAGGGAAAAGCTCGAGACAAGAAGTACCAGCCAATAACAACTCAGCACGGCAGACTGAGGGGGAAATATATTGGGAGAAAGGAGCCTTAAAAGTCAATACAGGCTTGAACAGAGGATGATTAGCGAAGCTCAAAGGCCATAAACAGCCGGGAGCAGATGACCTGTCATAAAAAATCATAAAACCCTCACCTAACTGACTTCTACCTTTAAAGCACAACATTTGACCACTTTTATGTAACACAAATTTAATATGGAACTTTGTATCTTTAAATCCAGCTTCACTTGAACTGTCACCCTGATTGCTGTCTTCACACTAAGCTATAATAAGAGGAGCTAAAGCGGGCTAACTGGGGCTTTTCATGCGTGGATAAGAAATGATCATTCTCTCTTTTAGCTAAGTCACAAAAAATGTATAAGCATGTTTCTCACAATACTTAAACTGTACAGAACATTCAAATCAATTATCACACATCATAGCCAGCTTGATACAGTCTGCTTGGCTGTTTGATTTATAAATCCTTTTTAAAAACTGATAAAGTAGAAAGGAAGGTAAAAAATAGATATTTTAGTTAACAACAGTGCATGACTATAACAGAGCTGCCAAGCGTCACGCTTTGAGTGTGACAGTCACGCAATTTGACCCATTCTCACACCACACGCCACACTTGACATTTCTCACGCTTATATTTCCCCATTCAATACTCTGTATTTATTTTTTCATGATAATAAACTTGGCTTCCTGTAGTTCGAGTAACTCTGATTGACTGACCGAGATAACCAATCCCAGACCAATCCATCAGTCCTTTGTGCCTAAATCTAACCAACCACGGAAGGCACCATGCAATATAAACCAATCAGAAGCAACGTAAGGCGGGTCCTGGCGTCTCTAACTATCTTTCACACGCAACAGCGTTGACATTTAAAACCCACTCAACGTAATGCAGTATTGACAATAAATGTATCTTGTCAAAATTACTGTTACAATTTTCATTTCTAATTTCTGGTTAATAAAGACTAGCATTAGGTAGAGCAGCTGGCATGGAGGTGAGGACATCAGTCTTAAGATATAAATACACGTTAAAAAAAGGCCAAATTTTTTCGCCAGCGGCCGAACACATCATGACGCTTCAGTCTCACTCTTGTCATTTTCTTAACTTAACAGCCCTGCTATAAAAAGGTGGGTTGTTTTCATAAAGGAGAAGCATAGATAGTCAAATATTTGGCTTTTTCTTAAATAAGCTCACATTTATAATAAACACATTGTTAAAATGACCTGATTTTATGTTTCCATTAATCCACTGATTGATCTAGTATCTGTTCTCGCCTTCTTACCTGATCAAGAGCCTATGGATGAGCTGCTTCTCCTCCTCCAGATATCCAGGCCAGTCCTTATGAACGTGTCTGTAGAACTCGTCCTTTAGAGAGAAGCTGTGGTCTTTTGGGTTGAGCTTAGCAACCTAAAAAATTCAGCAGAAAGAGCAAAGAATTTAACAGAAAAAAAAGGGTCAGCCGAGGTCATAGAAGCACCAACTCTTTGTAAGTCCACCTTGTATTTAAATAAAACAAGGCCTTTCCTCAGCATTGTTTTTGTGGTAAACAAGTCAACCATGTCCTCTCACAGCTTAATCTAGCTGAGAAATATCAAGCCAAACCAACCACTTTCGATTCTGAGAGCAGTCAGATCTCAGCTGGAGGACAAACCCCACCCTCTCCTGTCAAAACACAATCTTCTACTCCAAAGATAATTAAAGCACAGCTCTAATTACTGCTAGCAGCAGAAGCCAGTTGATGACTGCAAACACTTGAATATTGTGAACACAGGAAATATTCACAAAATTAAACATTCGCTTTTAAAGTTAAAAAAAGAGCCATTTGTTCTTTTATATAAAAACTTTTCACATTTTATTAGTTTGGATTCTTGACTGTAGCTCAGCAGACACTTAAGTTGCTTTATTGTAGGTTTTTCCCTTTTCTTTTTTTGCGTCAGAGTACATTAAACCATTAGCAGCAATGTGTTGACACAGCACTGTGCCAGATGCCTCACCTCATCCAGCACCGAGGTCAGGTCTGCCTTGTCCTTTTGACTCGCCCGCTCCCTCTCCAACCACAGTAGCAGCTCGGGTTTCTTGTAAGGCTTTAAGGCCAGGAGATGAATGACACGATCCCTCAGAGGCCGGTGTGCCACAGGGCTGGAAACTAGGCTCCTCTTGTTGCTGGGTGAGTGCTTGTTGCTGCTATCTGAGCTTGATACCAGACCCTGCTTCCTCTGGACCTTCACACACTTACCTAAGATCAAAACAACAGGACACACAGCAGAGCTTCATGTTTCACGTTCGTGGCAGATAGGGCTGAGAGTATTAGAGCAGTGATAGTGAATCAAAAGGTACCATGGTGGTTATCTGAGACTGTATTTGAATAGCCATATGGTCGCTTTCCAATGCAAAACTAAACAAGGGCAGGGAGATTATAGCTGATCTGATAACAGGATTCACATACCTTGAGAGTATCTCATAATAGCAGAGCCAACATTGCATTTTTAATCCCCAGGACATTTACACAAATCACACCCTCCTTTTGAAAGACAGACAATCGAATGCCTTTTTATCTCGATTGTATCTCTCTACTGACAGGCAATCTGCCTTATGCACACACACCGGATACTGATTAGAAGCGGCACTATCGGGTCAGTAAAAAAAACAAACTACAATATACACACATAATAACTCTGATCCAAGTATGGTTCTTATGCACTTTTCAGGCCGTGTTCACGTGCAGAGGCAGAGTTGCTGTGTGTGGAAACCAGTGAGAGAGGTTGACAGTAGAGTTAGCCTACTGCTAAGTAAACAGAGAAGCATGGAAACCAAAGAGAGTGACACAGAGAGGCCCTTTCTTCCTGTTGTAGGTCTAATTCTGTTGGACCGAACAGGCAGTGCTTATAGATTTCTACTGTAATCTCATTACAACTTTAAGCCATACTTTGCAGGTTTCTATAGGTCGGAAGATAATGTCTTTTTCACAAGGACTATAGATTAGAGGTAGGCTTATCATGTACAAAAGGTATTTGCACAGTTAAAGCTGTAGATTTTTAGATTTTTACAACGATGGTTTAAATGTCTTTTAGCACTACACTGTATTCTTTGCTAAATGTATTTATTTTGTGTCTCCTTTTCTTTCAGAAGTCTTTTGGAAGCTTGTTTCAACATTATGAAGATTTAAGGCAAATATCCTTCCCACGCTGTTACAACCTGTACGGCCACATTTCAAACAAGCAGCAACTAGAACTATTGTTTGACAGTGTAATAAATTAGAGTTGCTGAAGGGAAGTTTTAATGCAGCCTTTGTAGAGTGACACTCCCCTGAGTGAGTGAGTGAGCGAGTGAGTGATGTTTCACTTTAGCAAAACTTCAGGGTGTCGTGACTCGTGGACACTAATGAGCAAAGACAATGTTCAAAATGACATGAGGCCATTGTTTACCACTATGATATTAGATGACAAGTGAAATGCACATGTATTAAGATTGTATGGAATTTATTTTAAAGTTCTTTTCGGACAACTCCAACACCTGGTTTGCACACATTTCAGCTGCCTGTGTCTCCTTTATCCTGAATGTAACTGGACTCTAAATCATACATTATTATCTAGATTGCAAACATTTTTCTGCCCGAAGACCTGTAATTCTAGGTTGGTCTTTGGACATTTTTTCTGATGAGCATAGCATTACTGTACCATAAAAAGACAGCCAGTCACCGCAAAACAACTGTGCACACCACTGCGTATGGCACATACTGTGATCCATAACTTATTTATTTTTCTTTCTGGCGTCCTTAAGGAAGGACAGTTATTTGCTTCAAGATACAGTTTATGTTCAGCTAAATTTGTCAAACTGTAACAACATGTTTTTGACGAATAACCTGCCAAATATGTCAAATTTATTTTGAAAAGCCTCTTTGGGGACTATTTCTGCTGCAAAGTATGGCACATAATGTGTAGGAACTGGTTCCAACAACTGACTACTGCAGCTATTACTCTAAACATCATGCTTCACTTCATAAAATATAACCAAGGCGTTTAGATTCAAGCATTTACATTCCCATGGGACCTTTAAATGTCAAAAAGCTTCTCGACTGTAACTCTGACTTATAAGGAAATTAACAAGAGGAGATCCTGCGTGTTAGATTTGGATCACTCCGTGTTAATGTCGACTCTTTCTGGATCAATCAAAGGGAATTACTGTCCAGTCACTGTAATTACATTTTAGGCTGAGCTTCATCTGCACTAGACCTGTTAGCACATACTTCTGGCTCACTCTATCATATTAATGCTGCTGGCAGGCAAACTGGCATAGTGCCCGAGCAATCTGGTCAGAATGAAAGAAAAATCACGAGAAAGAGCGGCATCGCTCTGCACAAATAATTGCAACCCAGCACTTTGATCAATTATGTGATAATTTCCACACCATATGGCAATTACCAGCAGGATAAAATGGTGAGAAGCAAAAGTTCAGAAGCTTTCTGGGAACATGAAAACTCGCTTGTTATCTTCACTTAAACCCTGCATGCTTCAAGGCTAAAACGGAGAGTGGAAGATACAGTAGAACATAGTAGTAGTTATTAGGCAAGAGCTTACTCGGTCCTGGTTTGATTTCGATTGCTGAGCGGCTCCAGATATCCTTTTCCACCTGAGACATGCGTTCTCGGGTCGTCTGATAGGAGTCATCTGTGGCACAAACTGTGATCTTGTCCTGAATGCTACCCTGGCCCTCCAGGTGGTCCCTGCCCTCCCTGTAAGGACAAAAAACAGATCAGAAAAATGTGGGAGTTTATGACCATAAGTTCTTTAACTATGTTCACCTAAATGGCCATTTGTCAGACATAGCGCTACATTTTTTTGCTGTCAAACTATCATAATAAAAACTGCCTGAAACATATTATCAGGTCTGTGACTTGTGCCTCCAGCATAACTAATAAAAGCTTAAAGACTGTAGTGCAAATAAAGCTGCTCCAATTTGATTATTTAGCTCACATAGCCAGGAACAGTACCTCTCTGTTCTCAATTATTATTAGTCACACCTTTGAGGTGAGTTGAGGCATGACAGCCTGTGGGTGTGTAACTGTAGTCGTGTCTGAATTTAACCAGACAGTGGTACTATCTGTTGTTGTAGTATAGAAGAGAGAGGTCACTGTTTGGTGAGGTCCTGCAGTCTCAGTCTGACACTAAATTTATTACAAACCGTATTTGTGGTCGACTGTGGAAAGTCTTCTTTGTGCTGCTTACCCAGAGACATACTGGTGAATGCAGTCGAAGCTGGACTGTGGCTTGTCTTTGCTGTCACTGGACAGGTAGAATGAGAAGACTCTGAAGCCATTGGGGGATTCAGGTGTCGGCGCTGGGATCTTCACATACTAAGAAGAAAAATAAATAGCGTGAGATTAGCTGAAACAACAAAGCTCAAGTTAGTCCTATGATTGTGTTTACAAAAACCACCGTGGGGCAATCATTAACCTTTGACTGTTTTACAGCTTTCAGTTGCATGGCTACTTTGTGCTGTGCATTATGTAACAAGTATGTTTATATCTTTATGATGATGTGGTTCTGCGTAATCTAAAGCGGTAACAATATAAAGCAGAAAACAATGACTTGAGTAAATCAATAAGGCAGCTTATGTTATTAAAACCATTTTTTTTCTCACACATTAAATGTGACCTAAATAGTCTCCACTGAGCCAATCAGAGAGGCTTAACGGGACCTCCCAGGTCAGGGAGGATGACCCATAGCCAGTCGTGAGAAGAATATATCTGAAAAGCAACACCCAACAAAAGTGTAGCGGATAACCTCCACTCTTGTCACACATCATCCATGGCTCCATAGCAACTAACAAACCTGCAGGGTCAAGTCTATCTCTGACAGAGACCTGTTACATAAAATGACCCAAAACCTACTTTCAAAAACAGGACAGTTCACCATAGAAAGCAGTTAAGCAACAGGTAATAAGCCCCAACAAACAGCAGCTCCTTTCTACACTGCAGAGTCTGAGGCTGTAAATAGACAGGTTGCTACTTTTCTTGTTGATCTGTCCTAGATTCAGCAGTCACTCAAGATCCTTGCCTAGTTTTTGTGAACACTGATCTTTTGCTTAACTTTAGCAGACCTGTGGCACACAGGCAAATTTAAACTTAAAAAAGTCAGTTAGAGAGACCAGAAGCTGCCTTTTTAGTCATCAGCCGTAAGTGATTGATTGTAATCTGACTGGCTGAGAGCACAGTGTCCCTGGCAGATGTGGCAGGCAGGACTATAGCTGTCACAAATGCCCAGTCATGCAGCCATAAGCTGTTTTTTTTTTTTTTTTTAACAGAGCCAATGAACGGCTCCTCTCCCCACCCCTCGTCCTCTTCCACCACCTCCTCCTCCTCCTCCTTCTCTAAAACCCAGTGCATGACATTCACCCTGCCCCCATCAGCCCCCAGCTTTCCTTCATGTGCAAAGGCCCACCCATGTCAACACAAAAAACGCAAAGCAGACTACAAGGCCAAGGACACTTGAGACGCACAGCTGACCATTAATTCTGACCTATTTATGTCTGAACATTCACATGACGCTGCAAAGCACAGTCCTGCGTATGCCTGCTTTGGGTTTTACGCTAATTAAGGACCATCAACCAAAAAAGCTTCAGAGAGCGGGGGCAAGAGGCGAGCTATGCCTTAAGGACCTATTACTTGGAGAGAAGAAAACAGTGGCTGCCTTGACCAAAATTAGAAGCAACAAGTCTCTAAAATGGGCCTAAAGGTTGAGAGAAAACGATCGCCAAAGTGCCGCATTTGAATTTGTTTGTGAGTGACAGTTTTGCCGAACAAAAGCTCCATTACGTCCTGAGGTGAAAGTGAACATTTACACGTTTAGCATGGCAATACTGCCACTAGTCCCTTCTTATAGTCGATGTCATCCCTGTGAGTCCCCTCTAGGCATGTATTAGATTTGCTTGTCAGCTCCGTCCATGCCACCATGCACACTTCACATTCTAATTCTAATCAATGTCACTCAGGTCAGACTGTTCACAGGTCGCCCCTGTTTATTCACAGCTTCTTTCCCCAGCTTTATAACCATATGTCATTTAACCCTTTAGTTCCCAGCTCCTGACTCCAGCGGACGAGCCCGTCGGATGAAAAACACCAAAGTTGAACAGCAGAGCATTGCAGTTTGCCAGCCAATATGATTGGATGTTAGAAACTAATTCATGGTATTATGATAACAGTGTGTACACAAAGTATTTGGTCCATAAAAGAGTGCGGAGAAGTTATTCATCAACTGATTTTAAGTTTTGCATACCGTCATCCTCTTCAAATAATGGCCTAAGTCATTTTTTGACAAAAATTTGTTTTTGGCCTAAATCATCTCTTGATAATGCTGTCCATCTCTGGTAAAATCGCCGAAATCCTTAGTTGAAAGGATCATGGCATGGTACAACTCTTCACAAAGAAATATTAAAAAATACCCTTTAATAAGTCACTATTGGCCAATATCAAATGTTTAATTCAGACCCTCAAATTTAGATTTCATTACCAAATCTCAGTAAAGCTTTATATATTAAGATTCCTCCAAAGCACTGTAAAGAAACTCGACCATCACCATCACTCTGCCTCAGTCAGGTGGTGGGTGTACATTTACACAAAGATGCTGAGACATCTTCATGGGGTGGGGGTCCACCCTGAGGCTGTGTCTGTTTGTGTGTGTGTGTGTGTGTGTGTGTGTGTGTATTTTTGTTTGTCCATTTTAGGCAGAGGAAGCTTCACGCTCCCACAGGGGATGTGCGGGGTGAGCGAGGTCAAACATCTCACCTATGTCAACAAAGAGAAACCATTATCACTCAAATTTCGAACAGTCGCCATTTGTAGACAGCGAACAAATAAAAACTCCAGCCAGCTGGACTGGTTTTGACATCCTCAATTTAAAATGATTAAATAGTAACTGACTCACGGTAGGCACACACAGGCAGGTCCATCTATGTTAAAGCAAATAGTCTACAGAGTTTGGACCCAAGGATTATAAAACTCACAGAAATTACAGCTCCTGACTTACAGACCATTAAATTATGTACATAAATCAATATGACACCGATACTACTACTACTACTACTACTACTACTAATAATAATAATAATAATAATAATAACCTTATCATTCATGCCCCTTCATTGGAGCGAGGACACACATAAAATATTAAACAAAAGTGTCTGTTTTGTTGACATGAACTGAAGATATCAATGTTAACAGTGGGGCTCAATTCTTCTATTTTGATTTCTTTAATCTAGCCGCAGCAGATAAGATGATTTTAAGCTTTAATATTTCATCACTATTGCTTGTCAGGTCCAGCATGTGGAAAAGTATTTATTTAATTGCCTACACACTGTTGTGCTTACATTATGATCATGTGACTGCTTTTATCTGATGATTAATTAATAATAGAAAAAGTCTAATTATTTTCATCAGAGTGTGTTGTTACCGTAGTATTAATGTCGTTTGTTGTCAAGAGCTGAGTTATGTTTAGCCGTTGGACAGTTACAGTCAGAGTCACTAAATGACATCTGCCGGGCAGTCCTTAGCACCTTGTCAGAGCAGCCCCCCTGTGGAGCCCAGGGCTGCTACAATAACTGCCTCTGTGGCCACATCTGCTACTCTAGGGCCTGCGTGTTTGGAGATGTCAAATACTTTCAGGCTGTTGCAAAGTGTGAACTGGACTGGAACAGAAAATCTTGGCAGGGGGCACCACAGTTAAACAAGGACAAAGGACATAGTAGGGTACGTCTTTGTAAAATGTCAACTTTGCATTCCCGAGTGTCTTGAGACTGCTCATCCTTTGATGGGGTTAAACAGACTTCTTAACCTCGCTACTTGGTGAAGGAGGGAAAAATTGCTTCACTGAAGAGATCCACTTTCATTCCCAGTCCTATTCAAAAGCCAAACATCTGCAGGCTGAGATGCGAGGATAGTTTCTCTTCTGGCTTCTTTGCTCCAGAAGGCAATGTTCCCCGGCTCCGGTATTTGGCATGGCAACACTGACACAGGAGCAGGGAGCATGGAGCAGTGATTTACTCTGAAGTCTCTGCCTCCTGCCCCTGTCTGTACTGACACTAGTTACCATTGTCTTCTCATCTGAGCCTACTCAGCCATAGCTGCTCTGTGAGCTGCCTGTCTTTTGTTCTAGTGTCTTCCCCCCACAAAGCTGAGCGCAATGAGCTGTCGACCCGCTTGGATTATTCATGAACAGCGGGGACGTGTGGCTGTGTGTTGTTGGAGGGTTAAGGGAGGGATGGGGGTGTTTGGGTGTGTAAGTTTGGGGGTGGGGGGTGGAGGGCTGACCCCCATAAGAGCCAAGACATAAGAGATGGCCCTAAATAGTCTTTCTTTAGGAATGTGTTGGGCAACTCAGCAGGAAAGAGGAGATGGATTGTGGATCAAGTACTTAATCCTCTCCTTCTTTATTTGGCCCAAATTTAGATCACAGTCCTTCTAATCTACAGGTTGACTATAAAAAATTAATCTGCGAGCTTTGTTTTGGTGTCACCTGCAGTTACAGAAGTGTGTTTATGCTCAGTGAATTGCAGGGGTCATATTAATTATTCTCCTTTACTGTCCCAAAGCTGATCTACAATTCCACCGTGACTCATTTGTACCAAACCAAACGCCTCTCACTTTAATTCTCGCTCTCAGTCAACCAGGGTGGATGTGATGGTTCCTGTGCTTTAGGATCCATTCATAGAAGGGGGTTGGTAGAGACAGGAAAGCAAAAGAAAGAGGGGGGGAGGGGGTGGGGACTGACGGGAGTTAGTGCAGGGACATGGGGATGGGCAACTGCCGAGCATCCCCCAAAGGTACTGCCTGTTATGCCAGGCAGAATCAGTCTTTCTCCAAGAGGCTGGGGCTAATCTGTCAACCTCAACGAACACCACATCCCCCTACCAACCCCCAGACATCCACCACCCACCCCCCCACTTACTGTAGGTGCCCTCTTCTTCATACACAGAGGGATGGAGGTTTTTAAAAGCCTATACTCCATGATATGACACTGTTACTTCTATTGGAAGCTAATGCTATTTTTTCTTTCTTAGTACAGATTCACTCACTTAAAATTCAATACACAAATTTTCCAGTATTTCATTTTAATTGGATACAAATCCACTAATTAAATAAAAACATTATGATTATTTAAAAGCTGTTTGCTAAACACCTAAAACAAAAACCAAAACACAAAATAAGCCAACACAAGCAAAGCTAAACCATTTATTCACCTTGTTTGAACACCTGTTTTATGAAACGTTTTTAACTGTCTTAACATCCAAAACAACATGACATCAAACTTAAAACAAAATATGTTTGCAAAAAGGTCATGTGTGAAAGTCTGTGACTGTTGAAAGTTGCCAGCTATAGATTCTGGATAACAGGCAGCCTCTCTCTGATCCCTGCCTGTCAGTGATCGCTCATGTGTTGCTAGCTTTTACCAATACAACATGCTCGCAGGATACAATCAGATGATCTGTTATCGAATCCCTTCAGGTGTGCAATGACCACCAACTCAAAAAACTGACAGCAACCTTACTGAACAGTGAAGTGGCACCAGTTTTCTTAATGTGTATATATCCGTGAAGTTCTGAACCTCTGTGACATCAAAGTTGGTTTCAGCCATTGTTACAAAGACACATGGAAATCATGCGCCAATCATATGTTTCAACCATGATATTTGCAGTACAGTAAGCTAATCCTAGACAACATTAAAGTGTATCCACAGCCTGCAAAATCAATAACATCTTAAATCAGACACCGCTGTCAATTTAAAACTACGGGTTAAGTTTAAGCGCGAGACATTCATTAGCATGGATACCTTAAGATGAAAATGATCACACATTTGATGACTTAGTTTCTCTTAGATTCTTTGGGCCTGATCCACTACGATCCAAAATAAGGGGCGCTAAATTGCGCGTGCAAACAATAACATTGCACTTGCTATTAGTGGGGGTGTTGCAGGTGATCTACTATCATTGTGTGCGCAATTGATATCAGGTGCAGAAGTGGTTCGGTCTGTTTTCTTTAAATGAGGATTTTGCGTGCAATACCGGCTGTCACTATGGAGAGTTTGTGAGAGCAGAGTGGCCGTGGACGAAAAGTGAAGTTTGAAGCAATGGAGTTGTACGTATCATAAATAATAGATAAAGTTTATTTGTATAGCACCAATCATACACAATTCAATTCAAGAAAATATATTAGAGATGAAAAAGAGATTCAAAGTATTTAAAATCAATAAGACAAAGATATATTTTTTGACTTTTCTTTGTTTGAGCTAATTATTTATCGAAACCGTCATTTTCTAGAAAATCAGTGAATCACATGCTTTTAGTCCCAGAGCTCCCCAGCACTCAGTCTTAAACATTTGGGACAGCACACCAGAAAAACTACTCTGGGAGACGCACTTACTTCAATATTGTGGTGGAATAACCCAGACCCAGGAAAATACAGTGCTACAAGGAGTTCTTGTTAAGTTCGGAAAAATCTGACTTTTCTCTTTTATGGACCAAAACAATTGTTTTCTTAAAGGCCTCTGTATGAAAACAAAGGTTGGGCTGGTTATTGTTGGCTTCACATCTGTGTACATTGTCCTGCCCACTTAAAGAGACTTGACTTCCTATATTTGCTGTAACATTTGGTCAAACTGAGGCAGTAGCTTGATTCTTTCTTATGGATGTAAGCCCCGTTAGCATTCGACAGTGGTTCAGGAATTGGGTAATTCTCTTTCCAGGACATTGTCAGACCTAGGTGCACTGACAGCAGTCATGTATTTCCTTCGTTGATCTTAGCCTGTATCACTGGAGCAACGTCACGGACAGCCTGGAGCATTATTGCACTATACTCCCATTACTGGACTTTTCTCTCCATGCAAGCAGGCAGTAATCCTTTAACAATTCACAGATTGTGCATTGGAAAGTATGTCCAAACCTGATTAACTTGCAGAGAAACTTGGGGGGAGGAGAGAAAATCCAAAACATGCACTAAGATGTGCAAAATAGGGTCTCAAGGATTGAGGGAAATAAGCCAAACAATAAAGTAGTGACATCAAAACGAACGTGCAAGAAAAGACAGGGATTTCTTGTGTGACAGCTTTATGAGGTATTTAGTGTCACAGATTTCTTGCAAAAATAAAAAGACAACCATTACATACAAAGCTAAAAAAAAACCCTGCACGTGTCAAACTGGATGAACTCCATTTTTAAGTATCATATCTCAAAGATTACAGCGAGAGGTTAAAAGTTGTCCCTTTGAGAGGAGTGTATCTCCCCAGCACAAAACCTATACTGATTACATAAGACTGCTAAAGCGCCCTGTCTTAAGTTAAACAATAACTCTTCGGTGTGTGTTTCAAGCTGTAAGGGTTAAGCCATAGTTACAGTCCTCACTGTACACAATAACAACCAGCCATGCTTGCTTGCTTATTTCCTGTTGTGCTACATTTTCAAATCCAAGGAAAAATATTTGTGACAAGACTTTTAGGAGGCCCTTGTAAACAGCACATGATGTTTCCTTACTGATAACTTTGCGCTTTTATTACCACAACTTCAGACTTAATGGATGATTTATAATCAACAGCTCTGTCTGCACAGTAGTTTGCAAAATAAAGTCTCATCTTTGATGGTAAAGAATCGATAGTGATGAAGTTAGTATTTCTAAATGCTTAAAATCTTATATGAACATATGCAAATAGAAAAATTAATTTCATTTGAATGTTAGAGCTCAGAGTAGTAGGAGAAACTCTAATGTGATTGGACACAAAATGCCCTCATCTTGTTACACTTTAGATTTTGATGCTCACTAAAATATCTTCACTGCGCAAATGTCTACACAGCCCCAACACTTGACATCAGTCAGAATGATCACACTTTTGCTCCAAGTCTTTCTCTATTTCTTTTTAATTGACTGTCTCAGCTTTGCTTGCTGGGTTTGGGAATCTCACTTCTACCTCTCAATAAGTAATCAAACTGTATTTAAATCTGCTTATTCCCTTCAGCCACTCCCTCAGAACAGTCTGTGTTGTTACTGGAAGTTTTTCCTCGCTGTTATTTCCTGTTACCGAGGGTGACGGTGACAGCTTAGTCTGGGCGGTTTTTAGATTCATATGGAATGAAAATAAACAGAGTTGCAACAAGGACACTCGGCCCTCTGTGTGTTTCCACTTCCAGCAAGTCTATTTTCCTCATATCCTTGTCTGATGTTACCTTTGTTCACACTCCCTGCCCAGTCAATGCCATAGATTTTTGATCTTTTACAGCTCTCTTGTAACCATAAAATCCTCTTAAAAACTGCCACAGCCACCAAGGCATCACATAAAATTACTTGTTTGAAGCAAAGGAAGACAATAATGACAGAGAGGCAAACTTAAGAAAAGTCCTTTTTTCAGATCCCATGAAGCCGGCTCCTAAAATACTCTGTGTGATGTTCAGCTCTTAAGGCCAACTGGCTCTCTGCGTAAACACTATGGGCCTCAGATGAGCAGGGAACACAGAGACTTTTGCCTCGCTTAACACATCTGGATGAATAGAGCGACGTGTGCCCTTTCAGAAACACGTGGGGCAGCTCTCTCTCTCACTGCGATGCCACTGGGAGAGCACGGCTCTCAGACCACATTCCTGTTATTGTTATTCTAATTAGCTGCCAGAAAAAAAAAGAGGAGAAAAATGCACACATACACACACTGGCTCGCTGCAAAAAGCTTATTTGCAGTGCAGGCAGGGGGGGGCAAAGCGGCATGGTGGCGGGGGGTTGAGTCAGTGCAGCCGTGTGTGAGATAGAGGCCCTGATGTCTCCCAAGGATTCAGTCGAGGCACGGGGTGAAATGGCAAAATAATCAAGAGGGCAGGCAGGAGGGAGCCCAGGGGGAAGCTCAGCCTTCACACACAGTCGACATGAAAATATCTTTAAGAGCGCCTCTGCATTCCCCCTCAACCCCAACGCCACTTCTGCCTTTATGTGACAGCTGAGCACATAAAACACAGACAAGGCTGTAAACAATAACAACTACTCTGGCAACATTTTCTCTATGAAGTGGGGAGTAAATTAAACTAATGTCTCACCTGACACAGTATAACACACAGTATTAAAGCGTAAAGCCTGTGTTTACTGCACCACTTCAACACTAACAAGACTTTAATCCAGTGATACAAAAAACTATACCTCTCCACAGTAATGCAGTGTAATTGGTGAGATACAGTGCTTTGCAGTGCGTACAGAGGTGCAGGTGGAAACATGGAGAAAAAAAACTGTTTTCTATTCAAAAACAAGCACTAATTTCCTAATTAAAATGCACCCTCCAGCGTGGATCTCATAAATACGAACAAACACAAGCTTCATGTCTCACTAAATGGATATGGATCATGCAAACACACAGGCGCTGTTGTCAGCCCCAGAGGAAAATGAGCACTAGGATGTGAAATTCCAGACCATGGGAACCCGGACCAGCTGAGTATATCTATTCTTTTTTTAATCCCTGGTGCTTATTTCAAAGAAATCCAAAATCTAATTCCTTTTTAACTTCCAACTTCAATAAAGGTGGAAAAAAAAACAACTCTTTCCTTCTCTTATTTCTTTATAGTTGCATCACTGTCTCCATTTTCTTTTATTTTCTTTCTGCTCCAGACACAGGTTATCGATCAGACACATTCAGCTCTATTTCTTCTCTCAGTTTTAATCAGTTTCACTTTTTTAAGATGAATAAAAATAAGATAATCCAATTTTTTTCCCCCCCTAGGTTTCACAGTTCTGCTGAAGACCAGTTTGAGAGGCAAATGAAGCTTGTGTCTTTTAACGCATGATTACAAAGCTTGGCAGACAGTTTACAATAGCAGGGCCAAATGCCGCAGGGAGAGGGAGGAAAGGCAGCCGAAAACCTCAGCGTGCTATTTCTTGATAGGAGCCTTGGCCCCTGATACCGCTGAGCCCTGGATCAATGCCAGGACAGTGATTTGGAGAATTCCTCTGGTTTCTTTGGCCCCGCAAGTGCCCTTTTACAGGATATGTGACATGAGCTGGTGTAGCGAGGATCAGAAAGGAGCAGCCTGTGATCGAGACTCTACAGCTGGCAACTGTCAGCAGCCACAGACCTTCTCCCTCGCTACATGTGACCTCTTGACCTGGATGCTGCAGCTAAACTCTTAACCAGTAAATGAAAATGCAGCAGAGGAGCTACCTGTGTGATGCTCTAAATCAGAATTTTTCAAACTTTTTTCAGTCATGGCACCTTTCAAAAGTGCGTAAAATCTCACTGCACCCCAGTGTAAAATCTAATTAAAAACAACACTGCAAAGCCTAAATGTAAATGCAAGTGTCTTGTTTATTTAGATGGGACTGTTTTAATGAACAGAGCACAATACCAACTGGAAATGCACTGTTGGCAAGCAGGAATGTTACTTTCCATCTTAAGTGCTGGATTATTTTTACACACAATAATCCACAATGACAGAGGAAGAGAGATGGGCCAACATGCATGCAACGCACAGGCACGCGCTCACACACACGAACATCTACCTTTGCCACCGTCAGTGCAGACTCAGAGCTGGTGGACGAAGGCTCGTGTGAGGTAAAAGGCTTCGTTTCACAATCAAAGATGTTCAGCTCTTGTGGGGCTTTTCTTTCTAGAAAACTATCCAAGATGCTGTTGCATGTTCCTTGCTCTTTGTAAAATCAAATGTATTTTCATGGTTTAATGACAGAAGTAAAGTATTTAAAGTTTTTATTCACCTAAAATGAATTTGATTATTTTTCAAATAATAAATTTATGTAAAAAGAATTTGTTTGTGTGTTCATTCATATATTTCTACATGAAATATCAGAATAGGTCATTTTTTGACAGCACCCCTGTCACAGTCAGGTGGCACACACTTTAAGAAAGGCTGTTCTAAACCTCCAACCTGGAGACATAGACACTAGTGATCCTCTCTATCCATAATATGCCAGACTGCCATGTTCACCAACATCCTCCCCCCTCTAACGGCTTTATCTGGCCTCCCCCCACCTCCGCTGATGTTTGCTGCTACCTCATTAATGCCCGGTCGTCCAGCTCAGGGGACTATTGTTGGAGGGGGAGGGACCCTGTGCTCAAAGCAATTTGAATATGTAATGTGCCAACCGTGATATAATCACCAAATCCCATTCAGTGATTAAAAGACACTTAAACTGCTCTCACTTAACATTTCTTCACAGAGCGACTCTTATGAGCTTGTTAATCTGCTGCACGTTTTTACAGATGTTTTATCGCATGTTTACACTGCGTCTCTGTGTTTGGGACATCCTTCACGTGCTGCCTGGATGAAAATTCCAGCATTCATGTATCATTAGTGAATCTCAAATTTGTCATGTCTGCACATAGACAACAGGCATGGAGGCACGGGGGCTCCCTGGGGTTTGCACACTCCCCCCACCTCCTCCCCCTCCCTGAACAAAGCCTCCCCAGTTTTTTAGCTTGACCCAGTAACCTGGCTAGCAGCCTGGGGGTACAGCACGACCTGTCTCAGGGCTGCCAGGACCCGTGTAAGCACACAGGGCCAGCATTTGTGTACAGGGCAAAGTCACTTTCGTCACTGCAATCGGCTCTCGCAGGGATTAGAACAGCTTCTTTTAGACAGGGCCGATTGTGTGGTAAATGTGTAGTAGCCTACTAGGCAGAGGCAGGGAGGGTGCTAATCTGGTCGCACACAGACATCTTTATTTACAGACGCTTTACAGGAATGTACAGATGTAAAGTACATTCCCTTGGGAGAAAACTGTTTTGTATACCATGCTTTTCTGATTATGTAAAGGCTCTGAAAACTCATTTGTATGTTTTCCTGAATCTGAAAGCCTGAAGCTTAAGTCTGGCAGTTACATGGTTAGCTGATATTATTTAACTTAAGATAGCTCAAATATCCTCAAATGCTCCATTTTTAAAGTTTTTTGACTGCTTTTAATGCTCAGTCACAGGCAGAGATTTACAGGAACCACAAGGCCCACAAGGACAGCGCTGACATGCAGCGGACGACCAGGGTTCAAATCAAACATCAAAAATTTATTCCTCAAGCAGATCCCTTCAAATCTTACAAGACAACCCTTTTGCTCACAGAGCAGGGCCGTAAAGATTAACCAGTTTGAATTAGTATCAGATCATAATCTTACAGATCCAAGTGCACCAGTCTGAGTGTGTTATGTAAACCAGTTGACTGACCAGTTTCAAAGCTGTGATCCAAATATTTACAAAGGTCTGCTGTCTGTATGCTCTGTGGAAAAGCTGTTACAAGACAAATTTTACCAGATAAGATCCAATAACCAAACCTGTACAACAATGTTCGTATTAGCAAGCAGCAGCCCTCAGTATTATACACCTTAAACTCAAGTCCCAACCTCAAAAACTACAGTTATCGCAACATCTACAACTGGTGCCTTTGCTAAGGTTTATGAACTTGGAGTATGATGAAGTGTGGTTTCAGAGTCACAAAATACTTAAAGCTCGTATGACAGAGATTTTTCTGAAAATAAAGAAGAAAAAAAAGAGGGAAAAAGTTACAAAAACAAGGATGTTTTTGTAAGTCATATTTGTCCTCAAATTTTACAAGATTATATCGAGAAAAAATGTACTCAGGATTCAAATATTGTTTTACATTAAACTAAAACTCAGTCAAACTGAATTGAATGTAATGCAATTGAATAATGCGTTATTTTAATGAATAAACAATGGAATCATGGCTGTCAAAGATCATATGGGGTCATAGGGAGGTAACAGATGTAACATACTTAACATAACACAGCAGAACTAAGTACTAAGTACTAAGTAAGTGACACCTTTCCCTCAGCCTCTGGTGCACTCAAAACAGTCGGGGAATTTTGCTTTCAGCGTGTTTTGAAGTAAAAAAGTCCAACAGGGCAACAAAACCCACAGATTGACTGGAGACTTAAAGTCACAAGGTCTCCTATATCTATGAACATGAATCCCTGTGCTAATTAAATGCTTAGAAGCCAAATAAGACATGCCGAGAAACAGTCACAAGTGTGCTTAACTGCAAATCAGGACTAATTAGAGCGTTCAATTTGTGAGGCATTAGAGAGAGTATGCAAAACGTCTTACCCCCTGGCTCCCCTTGAAGCAAATGGCTGGCTGATTCGATAGAGACGCCTGAGGGGAGAGAAAGACAGAAATGGTCAGAGATTGAGGAGTCACGTTCAGGTTTTATCCCATGGACAGTTCAGATGTTATGAACAAAAACACAATGCCATATTTTTTTCTCCGCAGAGATTTCTCTGGGTATCAGCAATCTGCTGTGATGAGAGGAGGGGAGACTTGGTTTAAGTTTCCTTAATAAAGATGTCAAAGCTCCTATTTCCAAACTAACTTTTATGCTATAAATAACTGTCATTTTTTTTTAAATATCAAAACCACAGTTCAGAGTTTTCTAGCCCAAATCTTCAGAGGAATGCATGTGATTTATCGATCTGAGCCTCCAGAAAACTTAGTTCATATCAGTCAGCGCGTGTGTGTGTGTTTCAACTGATTCCCTCTCTAAATGATTAAATGATTAAAGGCAACAACAGATCCCAGAAGTAAAGACGCAGCTCCTTCTGAAACCAATTAAATTTCTTAAAAAAGACATTTTTTATCTGGCCTCTGAGCCTCAATTTGTAACTGTGCTGCTCTCTAAAATCACTGTGCTTCCCAACATCTTTTCTTTGTGTGTGTCTTCTCCTCCCTGATAACTAATATTAAAATCGTGAAATATGTCTGCCTTTGAGGCAACATGGTGCATGGTTAAAAGATGGAGACTATTATCAGTATGGTACAGCTGTGCCTATGATTGACAGCACTCTTAATTTATTATTAATGGTTGGGGGAAATGTCTTTCCTTTCGAGGAGTGTTGTTATGATATTCTTCATCATCCACCAGCTTTTAATATTGAATGGAATGATAAATATTAAAGCACATGATGTTTGTCACATTTTACAAACACAGCTAGGGGCTAAGTCAGATATATTTATGTCAAGGTCTGTTTTTATTTTAACGGGGTCTTTCTTTGAATGTAAAAATAAAGCATGTTAATTCTATTCTGGCACAGTAAAAATGTTGATTAATTGGAATTACTTTCTTATGAGACAACTTTGTTAAATGCTGTGTAAGAAGCTCTAAAAATGCTATTAAAACATTTTCCAACATTACTGTTTATTTAGGGAAACCATGTTGTTAGAATTTGTCTGTGCTTGTTGTTTATCCCCCTCCATCTGGACTATTTGGATCACAATGCATTCATACAGGCCACTTGTTTACAACAGATCATTAAAGCATCAATAGATGGACTGCCAACAGTTATAATTATACAACTTATAAACACAAAAGGAGCTTTTCACAACCTGGCAACCTAAAAGTAGTCAATATGAATGCCTCGCCTATGATCTTTTTTATTATTACTTCTTAATTAATAGCTTCATATAGCACTCACATGTCAGAGACAAATAGATCAACACAATAGGCCGAATTTGTTTTGAGAATTTATACTAGTCTGTGACTCAAGAGTAGCTGCTTTTTGACATATATGTGTATACTATGAAAATTGTGTTGTTGTTTTGTTTTATTTTAAAATCAAAATCAAAATGCCTTGAAAAGAAATTTTGGCAAGCAGCAAAATGTTTACAAAAATGTTGTCAAAGAAGCCCCTCCTCCAACTTACAAATAAATACATGAAAATCGTCCAAATAAACCATTTCCTGTGACAAGAACTTGTCTAGGTCCTTCAAAAGAGGAAATGTTTCATGCTACAGTGGAGGTCTGGTGGTGCAGAGCTGCATTTCTGGGGTGGTCTTTGATTTTTAAAAAACTTTTTAACAATAACCTCTCCAGCCTAGAAGAAGCTGTCAGACTGTGTGGGCTCTGCAGTTGAGTCTGCTTCACAGACCAATGAGCTGTGGAGCTGGGCGGGCTTCCAGACATAAAAAAAAAAGAAAAACAGAAGAAGAAAAAAAATAATACACAAGAGCTCAGTAACAACTTACTGAGCCCCGTGGAGACCATACAGTAAAACTACCGCTTCATACGTCTCAGAATCTATCTAATGATCCCCATAGTGAAGTACTAACTACGGGACACTGACTGTCTTATCAAGCATTGCCCTGGGAAAGGCCATTCGGAAAGACAAAATTATCTTCGTCTAATCTAATGGACCATAAAAGCAATGAAACAGTCTCCTGATTCAGAGGAGAAACACAATTTGCTTGATAGCTCGTTCATTAATTCATTCCCGAGAGCGAAAGGAGCAGTAGCCTTTTAAAAAACGGGGGGTAACTTGAAAAACACATTTAATGACTGCCTGTCATGTGTTGGCTCATAATCTACATAGGCTAATGAGTATGAAAAGTAATGAATGTATAGAAAAGTGGAGACAGAAGCTCAGGGTAGGAACAGCAGTCTCTGTCTTATTGTCTGAACTTAAAAAGGCGACCTTTTAGTTTTTCGGGAGATAAGGCTTTGGTAAACAAGCAGACACACGACATGAAGTAGCTACTTTCTCTCTATGAATGCTCCAAACTGTTGTTACACGCACTTTTAAACATATATGTCTAAAATATCCTCATTTTGCACAATAAGTTGAATTAGATGCAATAATAGCAGTAATTTCAAATTTCCCAGTCCTCTACTGTATTAAAACATTATTTTTCAGACACCAACGCTCGTGACAACAACATTTAAAGTCACTCCGCTCACTTTATTATAACTTCATTTTTATCAACTGACAAAAAGACGACAAAAAGCTGGCTTTGAAGTCAAGATTTCACAGGTCCCGGAGTTGGGAGGCTACAGAGAAAATGAAAATATAGCTTAAAAAAACACACACGCTCCAAACTTCGTGCGGATAATTGTCTTACCTTCAGGTTCTGGTAGGCTTCGAGGGTCCGGATGGCAGTGTCAGTGAGTTTGACGTGATAGAGAGTCTGGTTCGGGGTGTTTTTGTTGATTTTGCCACAGGAGAGCCCATACCGATGCTCCTGTCTCAGCGCTGCCATTTCTACAACTGAGGAGTCTGCTGGCGACATTCTGACTGAAACGTCACGAGCCAGTGGGAGGAGCTAGCACACATACACGCGCGCGCAGGCACGTACAGGAAGCACGAAGAAAAGTATTTTACTTTCGCTTTTCAGGTCACATTCAAACCCTGTCCATTTGCACCCTCAGAGTTTTCAGCCTGTATTTATCTGAGCTTTGATCTATTTCTTGTCTTGGTTAGCCTCAAGCTGAAACCACATCTCTGCTAGTGATGTGTCTTTCTGCAATAACCCACACACACACTTTGAAGCCTAATTCACCTGCACACACACACACACACACACAAGTGAATGAAAAAAATTAAGACTATTTGTTCACGTCAGTGAAGCGTCTGTAAACATGTATAAACACTTGTAAAATAACAAATACAACATGAGAAAATTGAATTTATAATATTAAAGACTAGTGCAGGATTGCTACAGGAGTATTTCTATCATTTAAGTGTTAGTGATTGAAAAACATTATGCTCAACAGTGTCTGATAGCAAAAGAAAAAGGGTGTGTTTTTTTTTCAAGATTCAAGATTTGTCATGTGCATGTTAAACAAGGTCAACAGTGCAATGAAATGCCCTGGATGAGAGGACCACTCGACTCAAAGGGGTACAGATAAAACACACAATAGTCCTGAAGGAATACAATAAAATAAGGAAACACAAAAAAAAGAAAAAAATATATGAATATATATCTATAGATATAAAAGACAAAATTATAAGAGAAATATTTACAACGTGTGAGAAATATTTACAAGTGAAAAAGGAGATATTTACAAAGTGAACAAGCGATGCAGTTGGTGCTGAGTTTGTCTTACCAACAGTCAAAAGCTCAAAGATGGTCACTTTAAATTAGGCAAAGAAAACTCGCTCTCAAAAACCCAGAAGTACAGAACATCCTGTAAGGCTGCAACATGGTTTACATTAACTGACATAAAACTACATTGTTGTTAGGGCTGGGCGATATGGGAAAAAGTTTTTCATGAGATATTCTTTTTCATATCAGTTGATATCAAAATATGTCACAGTATAAAAAAATCCCTTGTCAATCTTAAATGTTCCCTGTTACTCTTCCCCGACTTTGCAGGAACGTGTACTCAACATAATTTGTGGTGCACATTACTCTGCTTCATGTCCGACCTCAAAAAAAACAAAATATCTCCACACAACCGACGCTTTCTTGCCAATGTTGTCAACGATGTAATCATCTGTTGACCCTTTATCATCTGCATTTCTGCCGGGGTTAGCACTCATTTTCTTTCTTATTCACCGACAGTGATATCAGCTTAACCTGTTAAATGCTATGGTTGCGTGTAGCTGCAGCCTGCTATTATGCATTTGTTTGCTACTTGGTTGTAATTCAGCACATGATTGGTTTAGTGCGGCGCGGACTCGGAACAACTCTCCTTTTCATTGGCTATTCGTATAGTCTACCAAAAATGTGTCAGAATGCTGGCTATCGAAAAGCATATCGTACGTATCGATATCGAGGGAAATACATTTTTGATGTATATCGTTATCGTGTTATCGCCCAGCCCTAATTGTTGTCTGTTGTTTATCCACATCACATTTATTTCTATCTGTAAAAGCACTGGACGTTACTCCCATGATTGGTTTGTTATCCTGTTTTTTAGGGTTGATTTTATGATACTTCATGTGGCTTATCGTTTGAAAGCGATAGTGACTACATTTGGATGTAAGGGTGGGGCTGAAGAGTTGTGAGAGTTTGGCCCTCTACCTGTGATCCACTAAGGTGAACCTGTTGATTCTGGGCTAGTGCAAGAGCTAGTTTCACTGTTGGCTCAAGGTCAACTCTATATGGATCTGGTCCTCCAAAGGATTGAGGGGTTTTTTTTTGTAGCTGCTCGACCTGTGTAATGAGATAAAAAAGACACAGACTGTACTCGTAAAGGATTGCAGAGTGCCAAACTCTGTCTAGTCAAAGTTGAGATATTTATACTCAAGAGGTCTACCCTATGACGAAAGAATATTTAATCTGTATTCAAACTGCTTGAAAGATTTTCCCGCCTGACATGACTTCTTAAAAAGTAAAAAACAGAAAAATCTCTCAGTGTAATAAAGACATTGGACTAGGACCTGATGTCTCCTGAGATCTTATTGGTCGATTGCATTCATGGAAACTGCACTATGGGGCACAACGGTGAAGTCATTAAGAAGCTTACAGACGTTCTGCCAGATTAGGTTTTTCTCTTCTAATCCGGCAGATTACCACTGCACAAGCCTACTGGCTGGGAGTGCTTCGATGCGCTGCACAGTTTCTTTACATTGATCATTTTTTGTTGCCGCCACATCCCTGGACTTTGGGGACTTTGACAGAGGAGGGATAGGCAGAAGTAAGCAAAGGTCAGGGTGCAACAGAGGGGCAGCTACGCAACCGCAGGCAGGTCAAACCTATTACACAGCTGTGGATAAAGCCAGGATTTCAGGGATGAACTCTGAGAGGAAACACAACATGGATTTTTGTAAACGCAGCGTCATAGCAAAATTCTTTTGAAAGAGCTTAGATGGATGAAGCAGATTCACAACAGAACTACTAACCTGCTCCTTTGCAGAAACACTGGCTGGATGAGGAGGATCGTCACTTTTCAGGACTAGCGCAGATGGTGTCCATCGCTCTCTGTGGTGAAATGGAGATGGATCCCAGTTGTGAAGAACATAAAAACCCTGCAGGAGAGCCCACAGAGCACGAGGTAAAGGAGGCTATTTCTGAGCTCGCTGAAAAGAACAGTCACACCGAGCTGCTTCATGGGCCCGCAGAGGAAAGCAAAAGGCTATGTGTGAAGGAGCCACCTGAGGCAGAGATCTGTGGAAAACAGAGGAACAGCTCTGAAATGAAAAGTCTCTCTGACCCCGAGGGAGAAAATGGGGACCCTGTATTCAAGAAGCAGAGGAATCTGAGAAAAACAAATAGCTGGAAGATGGTTCGATTCCAGGACCCGTCCACAGAGGATGATGTGGCGGACAGAGACAGCTCGGCAGAGGGTCTCTTTCCAGAATACGTGACAGAGGAGTGGACCTCTTCCACCTTCGAGAAACTCTTCATGGCAGATGACTGGCAGGATGTCACAGGTAAGGACAGAGTGCCCATCACAAAGTTAAACTAATATAACTTGTGCTTTTTCATTTCCCTCTTTCAACCTTGACACAGATTTACGTAGAGTCACAAAAGGAGAACAGGCTGTTTCTGTGCACATGTTTACCAACAACCAGCAGATTAACCTTGCACTGCATGACCTGCACTCTTCTTTCCTCACGCAGAGGATCACCTGTTGAGAAAGAAGGTTCTGGAGTCAAGGGACCTTCATGCACCACGTCCAACCTGGGGTCAGAAGGTCACTATAAAGATGCAGTGTGTCCTGGAGGACCGTACTGTAGTGGAAAAGGACTGCAAGCTTGTGTTTGTTATCGGGGAGGGCGATGTAAACCAGGTGAAAACCTTTAACCCCACAGCCTGATTTCCCTCAGATCGGGTCGTTTTTCTCCAGTATGAAGAGCTTATGTGGCATGTTAGGAACTAAAGAGACTGTCACTGTAGTTAAACATGACTAAGGTATTTTTTGGACTGCAGTTATTGAACCAGGTTTGTTTAGTATTATATTTAGTTACACAATTATATGGACTGCCATGGAAAGGACACATAGTGATGGTGTCTTAGTGCTGCCATTCACTGACAGACCTCTCTAATATGGAGTCTTGAAAATTTAGTTGAAGTTACCTGCTTTGAAATTAACAAAATACAAATAAAACTGATTTAAACAGACTGATGCATAGAAACTAAAATAGAACCCCAACTTTAACAACTTTCACACGTGGCTTCAATCCAACCTGGTGATAATCCGGCCATGCCACAAACTCTGATTTGGGGCTAAAAGTTTTATCTAGGCCAAAGAATTTACAACATGCTTCAACAAGCATCTAACAAAGACTAGACGTATAGTCTCAGTAATGTCACCTGTTGGTGTCTGGAGCCCAGTGATGGTGGTTGCATGGTGGTAATGTTGACTCAACCTAACCATCAGTCAGTTTAAATAGGTGAGCTCAGTAGAGCTGAGGCGAGCTTTTAGCCTCTTGGCAAACAGCTGCACGGCACCCACCTGTCAGTCCTGTCATCTGTACCCCTAATTATGCAAATTTACACACAACCCCAACCCTCTGCATTACCCTGAGGCTCCTGTTGGAAACTTCCTGTTTGTGTTTATTGTGTTTATGGCATCAAACCTGGGCCCGTATATAGGGCACGCATGGAGACTGCTAGGCCAATGGCGACACCATGGACTACTTTTTAAGTCATCCCATGAGTCAGTTGTTAAGATATTTAAGTCCATGGTCGTAGTCCACTACAGCAGCTCACCACAAGAGGTTTTATGCCATTAATATTGTGACGTTTTAACTCTAATTTGTAATTAAGCTCAGTTTGGATAACTATATGAAAAGTTAAGTGATTGTTTTTCTGTGACACCTGCAGGCCCTGGAGGAGTGTGTCATGTCCATGCAGAAAGGCGAGATCACATTACTGCTTGCAGATTCACAGTATGCCTATGGACTTTTGGGAAGGTAAGGATTCACCAGTCTTCTCATTTCATTTAACTAAGAGTATGTTGGAGCAAAAAAACAAGACCTAGCCTATTACAATTTTCAATGTCATCTTATCAATTAGGCCAGAGCTCTTGTACCTGTTGCTGTAGGGGCACCCTGGTTATCCAGGAATAGCAGGGTTAATGAGCCATAAACAGGAGCAGATGGCCTCCTCCTGACACCATTCAGAGGCTGCCTAACCATGGTGTGTTTGTAACCTCCCAATCTATGGGAGGGCACTGCTCATATTACCACCAATAGCTTTGGTTTATTACCCTTCCACTGTTAAAGTGCCAGGATAAACACAGAAGAGATTGGCGTGATGTTGACTTGCAGCATTATTTATAGCTCTGCATGCAAGGTAGACGTTGATAACTCTGATTTGATATGGTTTGCTTGAAAGGATTATAAATGAAGTGGAAGATTTTTTGTGATGAAGCAAGAGGTAGATAGGAGAGGAAATGTTTTTCTGTGTAATTTGATTCTTTTTTTCTTGCTCCACGGTTCAGATAGACTAAAAAAACTGTTATCATAAGCATAATATCAAGCATTTTTTAAGTTGTAAAAGCAACAACATTGACAACACTAAGTCAGTGTTTAAGCCACAACCCATGAGGGTAAATTAAATATTATTAGCCGATTCCTCTACCTCCACAACCTGTCAGCAAACAAAAATGTTTTTCATATGAAGCTCAGCTGAACTCTTAAATCAGAGAGTTCACTGGGAGTTTGCCATGTTCTGCATGTGGACATTACTGTTAAATAACATCTCTGTACAGAGGACTAATGCACCAAAGCAAAGAAGTCAATGTACCCAGAACTATCATTTGGAGATAAAAGCCCTGATAGAGTGCAGGATTTATTAGAAGATCTGCAAGCCAGATTCACATTAAGAGGCAAAAAGTAGAGCAGAAAAAGTCTGAGGTCCTGATTTTTAATCTGGAGTAGTGTGAAGGGGATGATGACACAGGAGGGACGTGTTTGGCTCTGAGGTGTTATCTAGAGGCACAGTCGCTGTTGTGTGCTGAGTTAAAAAAAAAAAAGAAGAGGCAACAAGAGGTTAGTTAATGATTGTTTTGATTCAGCTGATTAGGACAGTCTGCTGTGGAGTCTGAATGAGCTGAAACAGGAGGAAGAGAGTCAGAGCTCCATGCTAGCTTTTTCTAAATAAAGAGGTTGAGGGGGTTATTAATTTCTCTGATTGTGTTCTCCTGTATATGCACATGTATGATTCAGAGACTGAAATGAACATGTAATAGAATAGTATGTTACAAAGAAAGATAAAGCATGCCAAGAAACAGAGATGCAGTAAGAAAAGCATGTAAACAAATAAAAGCCGACCAATAGTTGCCAACCCTTGTCTCTAGTTTTTTCAATCAATACTCAAGTGAAGTGTGTGATTGACAGTTTGTTAACCTACAGAGATCATAAAGAGTTTCCTAAAACAGCAAAATGTCATTCAAACATGTTTCCTGTAAAGGTGCAAGTAAATTCCTTTTTACAATACAAATGCTAAAATAAGCTTCCAGGCAGCGTTGTGTTCATTACTGTTCACACGGGAGGGTGTTCACTTTTCATTGAACTCCAACAATGACAGATATTTTCTTGGAGGAGCTGCTCTCCACTGCATGGAGAGCTTATCTAAATAATTAATTGAACAAACAAGTTGACAAAAATAAGATGTCAAGCTGTGCCAAACATCATGTTTCAGGTTAGATTTGACATGCTCGGTGTGTTTGTGCTGAAAATGACAAAGAGAGAATGAATGAAAATCTCATTAACCTCTCTCTGTTTTTCTCTCTCTGCATTGATTGAACTCTGTCAGTTGCCTGTTGCAAACAGAGCTGCTAAGGGCACTTCACAGTTATTTATCAGACAATGTGCAAAGATTGGCAGACACAGTGATTCAGCGGAGCACAGTGGAAAGGTCTGTAGCTCAGTGTGTGGGTGATGGGTGCGCTGCAGGGTCTGATGTGATCAGAGCTGAAAAATGGAGAAAAGGAGGGTAATGAAACCTCTGAAAAAAACCAAAGTGTTTGACTTACAGCAGGCAGGCTGGTCGGGCTAATTTAAGCTAGTTCAGCTTCAGGAAACATTTACATTTTTCCTGTGTCATCAAAGCCCCGAGCCTTTGAAAGTAGAAACGTAACGAAAGACTTCATCATGCTTGCCAGCAGCATGCGTCAAAACTATTCCCTGCTGAGGCATATGACTCAGTCACAGATACAGAGTTTCTACTGCTGTCAGTAGGCCATTTACGAAGAGCAGAGGACGCTAGCATCTGTTGATCTATGGACAGGAGAAATCCTGAGTCTCATAAAAACCTCCAGGGTCCAGATGAAGTCTTCCTCATCAGCCTCACCGAGTCAACACTTCGCTTTACTGGCAGCTGCTTTGTTATATTTGGAGCAGAACTATATCTGTAAAATGGAAGTATATAGCACACGCATATGTTCCTCAGTGTGCGGATAAATCAACACAAAATTTGAGGGCTTCCTCTGTGTTGAATAATGAGCTGTGAAGTGTGTGAAGTTGGCTGGCTGTCAATGAGCAGATGCTAAAACTCTGGTGCTGGCAGCAGAGGTGTCACTGTACTTTTACTTTTGGCACAGATGAAACTACCTCAGTGGCACTCACCAAGTGGAGTTAATTACACCAATGAGATGTGTCATACTTAAACTAATGGTGTTATTAAAGACCAGATGGACAATGCCAGACTGTTAAACATTGTATGGTTACTTTTGTGTGACATGGGTTTGTGTGCTTTTTTATCATCACTTCGAGTTTATTCTTGTAATGATATGTGAACAAATCAGGTAGGTGTTTTAGATTCAAATTACTTTGGTGTAAGCATTATTAAATGATTTTCTACACTTTTGGGATAATTGACAAATTGATAATTGGCACTTTCTAACTTACCCCCCTGTGGCTCAAATTATTCTTTCCTGAGGTTCAACATACCCTTCGTGAGAGGCAAGTTGATCCAAGACACAGCCGTCTTTTTAAAAGAGTTATTACAGTGATTATTCTCAGGGTATGCACCACATCTTAAAATATGTCAGTCAATTGTAGTTGGAGATATCATTGTCACACCCTTAGTCAAACAATGCATCAAGGTACAAACAGCCTCAGATCACCCTGCTTTCCTGATATGACCCCTAGATCTGATCCAGTTTAAAACCATGGGACATTATGCACACGAGTACAGTTGAGACAGATTTCTGAACATGACAATTTTCATGTGGTGATTTCATAAAACAGGTAGACCACACACTTTTAGGTTTTAGTCTTTCTTTTCACCATTATTTATTTATTTATTAGTTTTTTAATCTAATTTTTTATCTTTTATCTTCGGTGTTTCCTAAAGGTAGCTCTTTCCTCACGCAATGTCTAGGTGCCAGGTCATGTCTCTTTAACAATATATCTTAAATTCTCACTCTGTGTGCGCTTGTGTGTGTGCTTGTGTGTGTGTGTGTGTGTGTGTGTGTGTGTGGGTCCATGGGTGGGAGTGTGGGTGGGAAGGTCAGGTTTTATTGTCGTTTAATTGTTGTTTGAGTCTCTGTGAGGCACTTTGAGCTAAATTTTTTTGTCTGAAAAGTGCCATACAAATAAAGTTAAATTTGAATTTGAATTTAGCAATTCTTGTAATTAGAAATCTGGGACACTTGTGACATGATTATCAGTTTTTAGTGTAACAAAAGCTTAAATGTGTCCTCTCTAGGGTGCAAAACGAATTATATACTGTCAATTGCTGTAGATATAGTCATAGAACAAAAATATAAAAGACCCAGAATTGAGCCCTGCTGTATCCCAAATGGAATGATACAGCCAATAAATAACCTGCTGTGACTGTGAGCCTGTGGATACCTACAGAGACAACAAACCAAAATGTGGAAGTGTAAAGAACAACTGCGTGCTTTACAAATACCTCCTACTGCAACAAATGCAAACATGCTGTGAAGACAGCCGATGACTATCACTGTCAGTTTAAAGGAGACAGGAAAAAAAAACAAGTTGTACAGGTGAGGAGGGGGAGAAAGTCTCTCTCTCTTTGGCCCTGAAGGGAGGACAGTTTGGTGGCTGTTGGAGTCTTGTATAAACCAGGTTTACTGATCTGTTGGTAGTGGCAGGAAGTGAGGTTTTGATTTACAGGAAAGTACAGTGACATTTACCTCAATGATTTATGGGTATTGTGTAATATTCATCAGCTGTTTGTGAGTGAGTCAAGCACTGCTGTTAAGTTGTCATAATTACATTTGGGCAGTGTCTAATCCAATTGTTTCCAACAGTTCACCAAACTTGATTATAACTCAGAGAGAAATTTAATGTTGGTCATTTAAAAGGTCAGAAAATAACTATTAAAAAAATAGAAAATGTCATCAGATAAACATTTGCATCAGGTTAATACACCACAGTGGAAACTTAAACCGGCATGACATTACAGCTTCTATCATATTTAGGGCATTGCTACAGGTGCATGTAGGTAGTTTACAACTTAACCTTCGTGGTTAGGTAGCAAAACTCCAAACAGCAGGTCACCTGGGTTCAAAGTCTGCCCTATGGGAGCTACAGCCCGAGGACTGATCATGGGTGCTGTGAATGAGAGTGATCTCCATTTAGAAGCCAGGTGTGCCTTACTTAAAGATTGTGCAATATGAGCAAAAGATAACATGCCCCTCACCCACCGCGGAGAAATGTGGTGAACTCTACCAGACAGCAAGCAGGATTACCCCGTCACTCAAGGTGGCCACACCCACAACCAGCAACTTAAAACAGGTTGCATATAAAATTCCCCTTCACACAACTAGCATAAGGAGAGAAAGATTAACTGTATCAGGCTGCAAACATGTTTATATCTGCTTCAAACATAGGAGTTTGAAAATAAGGCCCAATGAGGGTTTCTTGCATTTTGTGTGACATATAAAGTCAAACATTTATCCTAAAGTAGAAGAAAACAAGGTTAGAATATCATCATCACCACCAGTGCTGTTGTCATCAAAATCACCTCTCGCACCAAACTGCCAAGTGGGGTGCAGAGTTGTTCACAAGGAGCTCGGTCAAATGGGGTTTGAGAATTAATTATAGATGGGTCGCTCATCCCACTTCTGAATGCTGCTTCTAAAATGTGTTTGTCTTCTGAAAAGGCTAGACCTTTGGCTTTTTCTTACAGGTGGGGGAAAAAAAACAACAGGAAGTGAAATATTCTTCCGGGAACGTGCTCAAGGAGAATCTTTGTTGACACTCTTGAGGAAGTTTGCATGTGTCAAAGTGTTGCACGTCTTTTCTGAGACACGCCCAAACCTAGCAGGGAGTGCAGATAGAGAAGGTAAGAGTGGCAGCTCCCTGAGAAGAAGAGCTGGCTGGCTTAGAAAACTGAGACATTCATAAAGTAGAACAGAAGCATGTCTTTGAGACATGATCAATGGTATGAAGCCTGACAATGAGTGACACCTGTAGGCGTAGCCGCCTTGAAAATTGTGACATGTGTCATTGAGTTCTGTTTGACAGAAGTACAGCATACTTGCATGAATTAAAATGCCTGGTTTGGTTCACTGAGGTGTGTTCTTCCTCTTCTTGCAAACTTATTTATGCTCTGATCATTGGAATAAACATCATGAAGCTGTGAACGGCCTCTTCAGCTTTTCATTATTTTAGGTGCTAGTAGACAGGTTCAGTGACTCACAAACAACAGAGCTGGTCTGGTGGCTGTCACGTATAAGCACATGAGCTTACGTCTCCTCTGGCTCCCGATACATAAGCACGTTGTCCACTGACAAAATCAGTGAGGCGGAGTTCCTCTGTATGGTGAAGGTGGTGTGACTCACTCTGCAGAACACATGGGTCAAATGAATAATGTGACCTTTGAGGCTCCTCTCTGTTGGAGACACAGTGATGAATCAAACTGCTTCTTGGCCACGTTGGTGTTTTGTTCTGTCTGGGGTAACTCACATCATTATGCAGAACAGCGTTCTTTGTTTTATCACCTGCTATCGGTTGAGTATTTCATCCCAAGTGAAACTCTAAGCTGCATTGTCACGTGACTTGAACGTGTTCACTGCAACTTTTCATCCCTATGCATGTCTTTCCCAGTAGACACAGCAGGTTAACATAAAAACCACACCCAGACCGCACGCCTCGGGAGGAGGCCAGCGAGCTGCACGTTCCAGATAAGATCTGGCTCAGCTTTCGGTTAGCTTGCTGTCTTCTGTTTACAACAACCACTGCCACATTAGTTTGAAACTTCATTGTTGATATAAAGCTTTACAGAAAAGTATGAATTAAACAAGAGTAGTTTGGAGCCTAAGAGTCAATGGTTGATTAATTTTGCACTGCAGCTGTATTTTGCCACCCAGACTGGTGTTTGAACTGTGCATGTACCCAATCTAATCTCTCAATGTTTACCTTTTTCCCCAAGGGCCAACGGGTTTATCTGTAGCTGTCATCAACACAGCTGTGATTGTAATAAAACACTGGTCTTGGTTAAACCTACTTCTGCTTTTCTTGGTCAAAGGCTATTCAGTAGAACAGTAAATCTCTCTTTATTGGGTTTTAGATAAATAGCCAGCAACTCATTGTGGGATAAAGTTAGCTTGGATTTCTTAATCAGTAAAATGGTTACAATTTTAGACAATAACTACACAATGTTAACATGGAAGCAGTGATGCAGTCTTAATCAGTAGGTTAACATGCACAGGTAAGGTCATAGCAATTTATCTGGTCTACTGTCCTTGCCCTGATTCCATCCATCCATCCATCCATCCATCCATCCATCCATCCAGAACTATTCAGCCCCTGTACGACCAAACTGAGAGCTGTGTCCTCATGCTCGGCACAAAGTTAGACATGGTCTTAGAGCATGTTGGTCTTTGCCAGAGCTGCACCTTGTTGCTGATTCTGTTTAATTTACATGGACTGGATAGAAAAAGAATTATTGACTGAGGCACACCTTTGCTGTGGTAGATGGCGATGTCCCCCTTTCAGCTTGTTACTGTCAAGTTGTCTCTTGGTTGACAAATTATGTATCAAAACTAAAGGCAAAATACATTACCAAGAGGCTAACAGGATGTATGTCGAATGATGAAAACCCCATCACTTTTATAGCCCTGCACCATTTATACGGTAGAAAAGTCTTTTCTTTGCCTGCCAAGGTTTTGTTTACTACGTAGCTTCAACATTAGAGCTCAGCATGTAAACCCTGGAGCATGTGCAGAAAACGTGAGACAGTTTCAGTTTATTTAAACCGTATAGGTATGTTAGTCCGACTATGAGAGGTTCAATTTAGTGCATTTCAGTCAGACTAATGTATTGACATGATTTTTAAAGAGTCCAGTTTCATACCGAGTGTGCCATTTGGTTACAAAATTATTTATAAGAAACTTTTTGGTAACACTTTATTCAACGCCTATCTCTATAACACATTATAAATATTTATAATGCATTAACAACAGTTGCATTGCATTATCTATGTGGGCATTGTTAGTGAGTTGTTAACAGTAATAACACATTATAATACCTGACCTTGTAAGTCATGATAAAATACTTTATAATGTGTTATGATTATTGCTATAAAGAATTATGATCATTTATGAGTGTTTATAACTATAGTTAAACAGTGTTATAACGTGATTATTACGCATTATACATATATTTATAATGCGTTATAGAGAAAGGCGTCAAATAAAGTGTTACCAAATTTCTATATCTAAAGTGGTTCACTTTTAATTTGTCCACATTTTCCCATCATAGAATGCCATATTTGCACACCTTGTCCCTGCTATACTTTTTGGTATATATTTGTTATATATTTTAAATACAATGGCTATAAGCCTTCATCATCTCAAGTTCAAATACTCAAACGCTCAGAAATGTGAATGTCTGAGTGTCAACAATAATACATCACCTGTTATCTTGTTGGATGCCAGATTAGAAGGATGGACATCTGTAACTGCTGTCCTGCCCTGTCTTTTGATCTGTAACTCTCACATGTAGCCGAGTTGTTCAACATCGTGTACATGCTGGAAAACTGACAATACTGTCATGCTTCACTGACGGCGCCTCCTGTACACTGTGCCCCTTGCTGTGCTGTGTTGTATAACCACATTGTTGTGTCTGAGTCTGCTATCCAGAGCGTGGTGTGAAAGAAGGACACAAGAGAAACACACGTGAAAAAGCACTTCAGCACTACCAGCACCTTTCCTACTCATGCCAGGCACTCTTTTTAAATCATCCCTGCCCGCTGTGTACAATTCACACAGGCGGAGAGAGAGGGGGAGATTAGTGAAGCAAGACAAAAATAGATGGCTGCACAGAACTGGTTTTAATAGTATCATTACATGCTTCCACCAGGGGAGACGTGCAGTGTCCTGTCTGAAGTAAATAACATCAAAATCTGAAAAATTGAAGCACTTTTTGAAATCAAACAATTTAGGCTGGCAAAAGAACAGTTTTTAGAGGCAGTAAGAAAAATACAGGTGTCAGGTTTCAATTACCTTGGTCCAGAACTTTGATGAGGTGACTATTACACTTGGCACCGTGACAAGAAGCGGAAGCTGCTGCAGAATAAGTTCAACCCGTTCAATGATTGACAAGTTTAAGCTCATGTGAGGGTTTTCTGACATTTATGAGTTAGCCTGTAATCCATGTTGTTGCCTTTTTGTGATAAACAAAAGCAAACAGGACCGTCCAAGACCAGATCAATATTTTTAAATGCTTGAACCTGGTGTCAGGGTGTAGGTGTTGGTAGATCCCCTGAATAAAAAGCTCTGCTTTTATATTTTCCACTGTGGATATGAAAAAAAGATACATTTAATACCCATCAGTCCGCAGGATGAGTTTTTTTTGTCAGAAGCCATTACTTAAAGGGATATTCCAGTGTAAAATTAATATAGGGTCAAACACACCGTAGCACCGAGTTAGACACCCCCTTGAGGGATGAATCTTGCCGACCGCTTGCTTCTCTAGTTATACCAACTTTAGTAACGACCACAGGATAGCAATATACAGCGGTCTAAGGAGCCAACACGCACACCTCAACCAAAAAGCCACTCTATCACCACAAATAATGCTCAGAACAGCACCGAACTTCATCAACAGTATTTATAGGGTCCCAGCCACAGCACTAGCCACCGAACATCTTTTTAACTTTGCCAAATTTCTTTAGCAAAGAGACTAAACACAACTCAACTACTCTCTTCCAGCAGCCGTTTGTTTGGAGGAAGACCTCAGATGAGTCTATCACTGACTACAGCAGGGTGACGCAACTCAAGGAATGAACATATATGATCATTTAACTTGGTGTTACGGTGTGCTTGACTATGAATTAATTTTACGCCAGAATATCCCTTTAAGCATGTAGAGGACAGCTAAACAACTGACTGTTTTGTCCACAGAGGCGCCACAACTGATACAAACCAAAGGCTCCTCATGTTCATGGGACCTTTAACCAAAGAGCAGCTATGGCATAAACTGGAACCCCTGTAGACATGAGACACTGATGTCCAGTCTTCTCAATCTGTTAAAGTATGATGTTTGTTTTGTGTAGTTAAGTGCCGCACATAAAAACCAAATCTGTAAATTTGCATGTCTATACACGTGTGTAGACTTCGAATTACATCAGATTCAGGCAGGTTGATTACTAGTGACTGATACATCATGACTTATTCAACAGCAGCAGACTTACCCACCCAGCTACAGGCTTTGCTGTCAGAACAGCCATAAACATCGTTGAGCTCAACAGGTTGTACAAACTCTCCTGTGTTATGAACTTTTCAATTTGTATTCAAAACGAAAAGTTAATTAATAACTCATGAACCCACTCCATGTATTTGGCTGATATGAAGCCCCAGGAGATTTTATGCAAATGTAAAACTGAAGGGCAAAGTGTTACTCATAACAGTATCACACTGTACACACCTACACAGTGTCCCATTAGGCTTGATCATCAGGTTAACATGCTGATCTTCTCATGCACTGTGGCATAGGGGGAGACAACAGTGGGATTGAGAATAAGTTCCTGCGATTATGGCACTGTGGAGCTACTGTGGGAGATGTGGAGTGGTGCAATATGCCTGCAAGACAGAGAAATGGGAACTGATGCGAGTGACAAGTAGCACCTCTGCGAGTGTGTGTGTGTGTGTGTGTGTGTGTGTGTGTGTGTGTGTGTACGTGAGTAGTAATGTGTGTGCAACGTGTGATGATGTGCATGTGCCTGTGGATGAAGAGTACCGTCAGCGGGAAACGTGGTGTGTGACTCATTTCACGGAGACGTCATTGCTTCGTCATCAGTCGTCTTTTACAGGGGCACACACACACACACACACACACACACACACACACACACACACAGAAACACACCCGTAGTCTCTCAAAGGACTCCTCTCACAGTTAATCACCGGCAGACTCCTGTCAACATCCTCCTGAACAATCACAATCAGACGTGCTGTGATTAAGCTTCAGGGATTCAAAAAGTAGATCTCATTATAAATAAAACAATGAGATGATTTACAGCACTGATGGGATTATTTGCATCGCGACAATGTTTCATATTGTTGTTCCAGATGGTGACAGGCGATGCAAGAGCTCATTATCTGTGCGAGACAGACAGTCAGTATAGGGAGAGGAAAAAAGCAGCCTGTGTTTGCTTTTAAAGATCTCTGTGATGAGTTTGACCTCTGCCATCGCCAACGGCTCTGGTCAAGTAAAGTCAAGCCCTTCCTCCTTAGAAATGTGGCTCTTTGACTCGTGATTGATGCTCCAGGTCTCACAACCGTGCGCAGACATCCAAGGGAGACTAAAGGACTGTGCCCATGGCTCTGCTACATTTGCTTTACTCAGGCTGCTCCTCTGTGACAAGATGACTAATAAATCAGCGGCGCAGTTTGCTACTGTTGATTCACAGGCTGCACAGGGACACAGAGAGGCTTCTGCTGACGAAAGGTTAGATAACAGACACACAATCATTAAAGTAGCCATATTTCTCATGGACAGGGATATGACGGAAGGTTGGCGGTGAACACTAATGTCGGGATTTTTTGATGTACCTACGCCGCACAACTTCATAGACAAGCCAACATGTTAAAGAATGTATTTGATTGTGAATAATAGGTGCAGCTGCTTTCATTTCATCATCAAGCATGTGATCACTGCTGTCTGTTTGTTGTACACTCAATGCTCACAATAATACCTGGGAATAGATGACATTTTCTCATTGGGAGTTATCTGGTTTTAGCACACGTGTGTGTATGTGTGTGTGTGTGACAGCTAAGACTTGGGAGGGAAATTAATTTCAGATTGAAATCTCTTTATGACATTTATTTTCCTAATCTGAATGTCAGACATACAGCAAGGAGCAGCTTGTTGTCGCAGTTACGTGAATGTCCATGGCTGTGTAACCACAGAGAGACGCAAACATCAGCTTCAGTGAATAACAATGAGTGTATCAGACATCTTTCATAGACAAATCACACTTAGAGGGGGAAAAAAAAACAATCTTTGATCTGAATGCAAATTAATTTTCTCATCCGAACAGAGAGCTTGAAACACTCTCCCAACATTTGTGGATTCAAACGTCCAGTAAAGAAAGCAGAGGTTTGTGTGAAGTACAGCAGTAATGGAGGTGAGGACTTTCATCTTTTCAAAGTAAAGATTTTTGGCTCCTAGCTGAGGATTTCACGTAACTTTGAAAGCTTTGAAGTTGCCGAGTGAAATCCAAAACTGGAGAAGATTTGTTTGGTCTTTATTCCGTAGACGAAACGTCTGTACGGAGAAAGAATCGAGTGTCACTGCTTTTAGTCACAGCTTCACATTTACTTAGCTGAGAATCCGCTGAGAGTGAACCTCAGGGGAAATTGCCTGTTGACCTCACAGTGCACACCTCTGACGTGTCTACCTGTTGGTATTGATTGATTATGGATTAAGAGTCAATCCTTGAATAAGAAAGGCTTCCAACAACACAGGCTGATATCCCCGATAATGACCTCTGGTGTTATATTTCTCTCTCTGACGGATTGCTCCTTCATCCACCTGAGTGTAGGCCAAAAGCTTTGAACCTTTAAGAGACCAAACCTGCAAAGGGATTTCAGATACTTGCATAGGGTACAAACTAAAACCTGTCCTGGTCACCTATAATTCAGAGTGAAGCTTGTGTTTGTAAAAATAATAGAAATAAAAACTGTGAACTTCCCATTTTCATTTACTCGCACATTCATTCATTCATTTATTCAGTGGTTATAGCCGGAGCTCTCATCAGACATCAGCTTATAAATAAGTCTGGCATGAGACATGAAAGATTTGATTTAAAACAAGCTTGATGTGATATCCATCTCCATGATTGATCACTCTTTGTGTTTCTTTAATTATGGGTTGTGTGCAGCAGCCTGAGGATTTATTGTTTTAGTGAGCTTAATGGAGTAATATTTCTCTTAATAGGAATGACCTTATTTTTCATAGGAGGAACATTTTTTGTGCTGAAACACAAAAATGTTTCTGTACGAGTTTAGATGAAAAACTTTGAAGATTTGAGCCCCTTTTGGCTGCTTTTAGCAAACTGGTTTGGGTCAGCAGTTGCACATCGCCTGTATGGTTACAGCTCTTGAGGGATAGTTTCTGAAAAATTCTTCAGGTGCAGAGTGACCTAGTAGAAAGACAAAGCAAATATTTGGTGGGGCAAGTCATAAGGTGTGTTCAGGCTTCACATGATTCATTTTTTTAACCGCTGAGAGGTTCAGATTTACAGTGGGTATAGTCATGGATGATGGAAAGAAGACATGAGGCAACATATGTGGGTCAAAAAGTTTGAATTTTGGGAACAAATTTCCATGATGCCTTGCTGCAAGAGCAAAACATCCTTCAGATTTCCAAACTTTCCATGAAACATCAGAAATGATCAGTCTCACGTCACTGAACAAGCGTTTTCTTCATTGTTTTCTCATCCTTTTGTGGGCAAACCTGAGAAAAATCACATATTTACTTTTGTTAAATTTACATCTTGAAATTCTGTTTCAACAAAGTTTTGACCTGCCTGCAATTCAAAGGCAGGAAAACCTCTTTCTTCACACAGGCTACCACTGATACATCTTTAGTGCTGATATTTTGCTTTAAGTTTGATCAAGTTTGATTTATTATGAGTAACTGAAGGAAATCTACTTTACAAAAAGCTGAGGATATGTTTTTCTCAGTGTTAAAGCCTTGGAATTGTGTCAGCTTTGGCGCCCCCTGTGGGCAAAACAGTCTGTGCGTATCTTTTCCTCTACATGCTTAAAGTCCCACTCCGATAATTTTTTTATTTACCACTAAAAGTGTTGAGAGTGGTCTTTAAATTGTGATTACAAAGTTTTTAGCCAAAATCATGTTACCTGCGTCATTTTAAAGGCCTTTTCTTCTGCAGAGCTCCAGTAGATCATTTGAAATTCACCTCTGAGTCGTGGGCGGAGACAGCGCTGCTCTGTACACTTCTCTTCATGCTAGCTTGCAGCCTAACATTGCTGGTGTTGTAGAAGAAGCAGGGAATGTAGAAGCTATTCAGCTCTCGGACACTAATGTCTTTAGGGACATGATGTAAGTTAATATCATAATTAGCTTTCCTACGAGCATTGCAATCCACTACCGCACACGCTTGTTCTGCGATTGTCCTCCCTATTTCTCAGTCTGGCTTGCACAGCGGGGCCCCGGAGGCGGAGCTTGGATTTGTGACATAGGAAATCTTACTGTGCCTGAGCCTGCCGTCTGGGTCTGCCAGAGATTCACAGCGAGAAATACTCAGAAATTAAATTTCACATTTTTTTTACATGATATGTCCTGTAGCATCAGAGAAATGCCATATGAACATGTAAAAAACAAGAAAAACATGACTTTCATCAGAGTGGGTCTTTAAGTATTGTCTTTTGACAACAAATTTGATATTGCTTACTTCTGACTATGAGATGTATCAGTCATGCTGAATATTGTACGTGAAAACAGAGCTTTTTCTTCAGTTGATTGGCTGACACCTATAAATGCCGCTTACACTAGGCTCTGGTGCTGTCATTCAACCTTACAGATGGAGACCTCAGTACTATACTTCTTACTGCAAAGCTGGTTTGATTGAGCTGTGTAACCAAAGGGTGTCTTTAAAATTTTTACTGGCAACAACATGACCACGGTTCTGAACATCCACTCTGTGCCCTGCAGGTAGTCCACAGCTGAGATTGGATTCAGTTTAACAAGCTAAAGGAAGTCTGCAGTAGATTATACAGGGACTATTGAGGAGCTCAACAGCCAGGATGTAGGCAGCAGCTCCCCTTGATCCCTGCTAGCACAAGCTCATTGCTGGAGGAGGAAATAAAAACAAAAAGGATAGGAAAGCACATGCCAAGGCAGCAGCTGAAAAGTGTCATGTGGGTCACTGGTGATTAGCACTGCACCAGCGTGCGGCTTCAAGCTCAACCAATGGGTTTCTTTTTTAGATTTCTGGGTAGTAATGGGAAGCTGTTATGCTGTGAATGAGCCGGTACAGCAGCAGGCAAGGAAAAAACAGCTGTGACGTCTCACCAATGCCAGGATTAAAGCTAAGCTCCTTTGCACGACTGTATTTGTGCTCTGTGTCCATCTAAGAGTCAAAACAGACAGGATTGAACAACAGAAGCAACAGACCTGTTTTCACCGCTGAGAAAAAATAAACAACCTCATAAATCCTCTTGGATTTTGTATCAACACACAAGCTGCTCACCAGATTTATTACGCTATATTAGAGCTCTATCTGAGGTTGTAACCATGGAAACCAGCGAGAGGTACATCACTGGCCTTTCCATCATTCCAAACTGAGAGCATGACGTTAAAGTGACCACTGTTTTCCCTCTGAGGGTGATTTTCCTTTCATTCAAAGCTGTGAGGGGCCTGCCCGACTGATAACAGGGTGAGTCAGAGACACTATCATGCACCTTAATGAGGAAGTTTGCTAAGCCACGACGTGTGTGTGTGTCAAATTTGGCCTTTTGTATGCGCATAACTGACTGATACAAGGGGGGAAAAGCCTGTTGTCCTTATCACATCACTAAAATCAACAAAGACAGAGAGTGAACAATCTTGTTTTCATATGATCTTTTTATAGTCGCAATATGACAACTACGTCACACTGACATCAGACCAAAAAAAACATACTGCTGGATGAGTGAGCGTCTGAATCAGAGGTCAAAATACATATTTATAAGAAATATACCCCTAGTGATGCAACCATTTCAAGTGTCCTCTTCTACTAAAGGTGGTTTGATGAATCCAGCGTTAAGGAAAGTTCCCCTTAGCATTCCCTTAGATCCTACTCTGCAGTTCAGGCACTGACAACAGAGCTCATGAGTGCATCTCTAAGTTCCTCACTACCAGCCACTGCTACTCACACACACTGTTTGCTGTAAGAAGTGTGTGAACTGCAGAGAAAGAGAACTGAGTGAGGACTGAAGTCACACAAATATTCCTGCAGGAGTTTGGTTCACTTTGTCAAACTTTACTTTGAATTAAAATGTTCATTTAACTGCAAACTAACAATTATGCAGGGAATCTTAAAACCTTTTCTAACTGGCCAAATAGGAATTATTACAAATAAGCAGAAATACATAGAAAAAAAGAGATATTAATGGTGACATTAGGTATGTAAGTGCAAATGGAGTTACCTCAAACCCAGCCGAGTCCATTACTGGCCTCTGACAAATATTCCCGGATGTGTTTGTGAGAATATTTATCAGGCGTGACCAAACACTTGTCTGTTTATGACTTGCCAGCAGATTCCTGTAATTGTGTGCAGAGAAAGTTTGTGTACCTGAGTCAGCCACTTACCTGAGGGTGTCTCCGAACTTTCTCAGCTTTTGAGCTTACAGTCCTGATCTTGTCTGCCCTCCTACCACATACTGGAAAATCTTAGTGTGTGTTTTTCCTGAGCTGCTTCCTGGTTTGGGTCAGGAAATATGTATATACTGTGACTTATACCTTATGATTGCTGTGTAACAACATCTATTTCTGGCTAATGGCACCTTAAAAGTGCTTAAAAGAGATCCTGCTTGAGTGATAAATGTAGGTGCAGCCAGGAGCAGGCAGGGAGTCTGTCTCTGCAGCTCAGCCACTGCGGGGAACTGATCCCTGCAGTGGCCAGTTCAGGTTTCACTGGGATCTTACTGGGACCTCACCCTGTTGATCAGCCTCTACTTCCTGTTTGCACTCATCAGACCCTGGGGACCCACTGGCTGAAGTCAGCGTGGCGCTGATCACCATGACACCTTACAGATCTTTCAGCACACGGTTTACTCAGATTACGCTTACAAGTCATAAGGACTTTGGTTTAATCCCATGATGGTGACAAAGAAAGCCAAGTGCATTGATTGACATTGACGTCATAAAACTGTATCACTAATACATCACCTGTTGAACCTTGCATGTTAGTAATTCCTTTCCAATCCGTGTGAAAAACAGTACATGTGTGTGTGAGAGTGTGAGTCGGATATCATTTCAGATTTCGTTAATTTTGCAGTGACACACTTTATTTGAGACTACAGCAGCCGTCTCCTGGATCAATGAAATGACTCATCACTTGTCATTTAATGGATCCTGATCTGCATGAGTCATGAGCAGTGAAGCATGTTTCCTCTGGATGAAAGAAAATAAAAATCAATACGAAGATATATTTCTTATTTTGCTTTAGCAATTTTGATATGATTTTAAACACTTTGTCCCCTCTTCATCATCTCAAATGATTTATATTACAGTAGTAACTTTAGTGTAAAGTAATGCTGAATTCATTTTGTATTTATTTTCGGTTTTGTTTGCCTGTGTTAACCCTCTTCTGTTTTATTGAGTGTTTGCATTCTGGGTGTGTTACTCATATTTATATAGAGCCCTTAAAAGGCAGTGAGTGAGATGTATTTTATACGATACTTATAATCCCACAGTGCATTTTAATGATCTAGAAACTTAGCGTCTATGAATGATGACTCATACTGATTAATATTTGTCATCTATACTCACAGCTTATTTGAGTTTGCATGACTTGAATACTGAACCGAAGTATAAAACTGAAGTGAACTTTACCAGAGTACTTTTTGTGTGTCAGCACCATAGACTGTATATAGAATGGACGCCGTCTACCTCCTCGCTGGGTGAAGCCACTCCGAGAACAGCACCCTCCTGTGACAGGCTGCAGTATAGGCCATAAATCCCGCCTCCGCCAGCAAAGCTTATGGAGCTGTGGACAAACTTTAGAAATTTATTACACAGAACATACATTTTTTCTCCCCCCTGCTTGTGATGTTGACATGTAGTTATTGTAAGATTGGTTTGTGTTCAAGTCCTCTTTTTTCTGTGAAGCTCCGTTTTTAAAAGTTATTAGGGGGTTCATGTTTTCTATGATTGACACCTGATACAGCCTATGGGAGTTCAGGGATTGCGTAGCTCTCCCAGAGGACACGCTGTTTGAGCTGAGCGTCATCACAGCGACTCTCTGCAACTGCGCGGCCGAATGCGCGGATTGCTACTGCGCAGTGCTGGTTTCAGGAAATGAAGAAAAATCTCGGAAATATGGAGAGCTTTTTGGCTTCAAATCTGTATACAGGCAGTAGGCGGAACCAAGTTGTCCATAGTATATACAGTCTATGGTCAGCACTGAATGCTGCATGAAGATAGTCTCACAAGTCCAGTCAATACCCCCCTGGATCAAGAAATATTGCCCTCTTTAGACCTCCACATTAACCTGAGAGATGAAAACATTCACTAATCCATGAATGAAGAATTCACAATCAAAACATGCAATTCAATGACAAAATCTATTCCCATGTTTTGCCATGTATTAGCGACATTAATATGATGCCACTCACTCAAATATGGGGGTGTTACACTAATACAGTAAAAACTCAGAATGGGTTACTGCACCTGCTCTAATGAAAAATCATACCCGCTTTGTGTCAAGGTCTTATGTGAACTGGAATAACTTTGTTTGCTCTAAAACATCCGGATTGTCTTCACAGTGGGTCCAGAGGTGAATCCACTCAAGTCCGATAATCTGAAGCCAAGCACGGTCCAAGCGCAGTGGGCAGGACACTGTGTATATTGTTGTTATACTCAGTGTACTCTTACATAATGCACTGCCTTCAGAATGTTGTGTAATACTTTTAGATAAGGGTATAGAGGGCTAACCAACAGCTACAGTATATTATTGCACAAACTACGCACAGATCACTTGGTCATGGTGGTGAGTTCCTACAACCCCAGAGACACACATGATATTTTCAGAAAAGAGGAGCTCCATCTGTGACGTTCAGAAGAAAAAGACATGTTTTCTAAAGACTAGCATGACCCTGTGCAACCCCAGCCATGTGTTGTGTGTGCTTCATAAATGAATCAACTGCGTGCCTCTCTGCTGCTCTGTTACACAACTCACCTCCCGTGAACATGCAGCTGTCTGCAAAAACAAGACAGCGGGACTTGTTGAAAATAAGTCTCTTTAAAGACCAGGACCTAATTCATCACTACCATGATAGTCAACTTTTGTAGAAGTCATGTCCTTAGGAGACAGTCCGGTAATTTTTAGTGAGTTAAGCAGGGGTGTACTGTACACACACAAATACAAAATTAATGTTATTACTTATGTACTATCAATATTAAAATATTTTTGAATGCTTTCTCCACTGTCACGACATTCAAGTGTTCCCATCTGCAGCGCATGGATCAACTGTTTGGGTCTTTGAGAGCATTAGAGCACAGACAGAAAGAACAGGGCGTAACAGTCTGACAGAGAGAAAAGAGAAACTTCTGTGCTAACTGGAGAGCAGAGAGACGCCAAGTGACCTGGTGATACAGATTAAATTTACAGAATTAGTGCTGTCACGAGAGGGACTTGATAACCAACTGGAGGATACCAGCAGCTCACATAAGTCTGCAGTCTGCATCAGTTACCTTCACTACTCTATGAAAACTATGCCACCGTTTTACCTCCTGCTTTCAACATTCTGAAATTAAATCTGAAGATCACAAAAGCCAAATAAAAGTAATAATAATGATAATAGATTTTATTTGTAACGCACTTTACATTTGAAAACAAATCTCAAAGTGCACAACGAAAACAGAAAAAGTCCTGTGTCAGTCTAAAAATCGGTTGTTGTGTAAAATGATGTCAAATGTAGATGGAAAACTATCAAAAGTCACAACATAACAATGACTGTGAGGAGGTCTTTAAAAGATGTTTCTTCGTTTTCCATGTGCACTTTAAAAAATTTTTTTTTTACATTATTATAAACAAATGTGAACATAATATTATGTGAAAATAAATGAAAATAAGAAACTTGCAGATTTTTTTTAGATTGAATTTAAAGCTCCTGTGAGGAACTTTTGGTCTGTGTTGAACAAAGTGGTCTTTGCTGGTTCTGTAATTACCATTTCCTGACAAAAACACTCTTCTTTTTTCTTTTAACAGTGAAACAGATAACATTTTAAGAATTATTGCTGTTTATTATCTAAAATGGGGTTAGCATGCAGCTATGGTCTGGTCTACCCTCCACTAATGGTCTCAGAATTAAAAAAATATAACCTCATAGAAACAGTCCTGTGTCACAACCAGCTTCAAACTCCTCACAGTAGCTTTAATCAACTTCTCTATATTTACTTCACCATTTCATTCATTTCTCATGTCTTTGCAGTTGTACAGTTAGCTGATAATGGTCCATTGTCTGCCATGTGGTCACAGGAGCCAGATGATTGAACACTAAATTAATTTTCCTCCTGAGTGACTCTTAAGCTGAAGCTGCTCACAGCTCACAGGGTTCATATCAGTCTCAGACTTGTGTGCTTAAATAAGTTGAGGTTGTTGAGACGATTTTAATGGTGTGTGAGATGTTACACAATGACGTCTGATCCTGAGTTTATATACAGCAGACATCAAAGCTTTAAAATAAGACAAATAATCGTTAACACACACTTTGCCTTTTATCTTCTTCTCTGATCCTTTATTTTCACCATTATTCCCAGACTAATTAACTTTTTATTTATTTGCATGTGATTGAAATACTTGAGATGATGCCATGACCCTAACCTGAGGCATTCAGGGGATGAAAACCATGTTTCTATAAATCCTTAAAAGTTTCCTGATGGAAGTTTTTATTTTTCCACCTTTGATTAAACTGGAAAATCTGTTTAACTGAGTCATTGCAAAGGAAACTTTTCGGTTCAAGGCTGATAAACCACAATAAATATCTACTTTTCTGAGCCTGAGAATGAGTTCTAACGCTCTCATGTTGAACATGAAAAAATAAACGTGTTAATTTTTTTTCTTATATGACTGAAATTACATTTTACATTGCAAGTTATATTGTTTTGTTTAGACAGAAACAGGGAATCATGTCAACTAGTACCATCAAATGTACACCACACTGCATATACAATACCCCAAAGAGAGGAGGCATGATGCTTATTTTTTTGGCTCAATATTGTCCCTGATAGCTTTTCAGCAGATTTACCTGGTTTAGAGAGATGCTTTATTTACAGCATTCTGGAAGCCTCCTTCACTGTTGCCATCCAACTAGGTTGTGTTTCTTTTAGTAAAATGACAAATTTGTCCTTTTAAGGAGATTCACTGTTTGGTGATGTCATAATTCAAGCAAGTCTCACGTTAATCTCGCTGTATTTCTGCATGACTTAATTTGTACAAGCCATCCAGAGCGCCCTGTAGTTCCATCTGGGGATTACTTCAAGTTATGTTCACCATGCAATCTGAAACGTTGCTCATGTATAGTACATTCACTCATATACACTTATACAGAGTCATGTATGATGTAACTTTGAATAAACATGATATTTCAGACTACCATACACTGATCACAGTGAGCAGAGAAGAAAGGTCACTAGTTGGTCCTGCATCTGCATCAGGATAAACTTTTAGATGTCTGAAGAGTTTCCAGGGTTTAAGGTGTAAGTTTGTGTTAAAATACATGACTGTGTTTGTATCTTTGTTTCCATGCAGAGACCCTGATATTCCAGCCTGGGCTCCTTTACTCTACCAGCTGCAGCTGCTGGACATCAGAGAAAAACCAGACCCATTCACCCTGCCCATCGCTGATCGTATTCGCATCGGCAACCAGAAACGAGAGCGGGGAAACTTTCATTTCCAGAGGGAGGAATACAGCATGGCTGCCAGAGCCTACTGCATGGCTTTAGATGTGCTAACCACTCACAATAGAGGTAACTCAGCATCATATCCTGAATTTATTCATAGGAAATATTTCCACACTGCATCATTTACCAGAAATGTGTTCTTGGAGAAGATGTGAGCATTATTTTCTTTGGGGGAGAAGAAAATGGAAACAGTGCAGAGAAATGCAAACGCACATGCGTCAGAAGTCTAAAACACAGCATCAGATAGAGACTCAGACACACATTTTCACACCAATATAAGCCCACTGTGACATAACAGTTCAGTGCTCCCCTCCAGTCTGCCGGCACACTAATCGCAAAGTCACCATGCAGAGACACTTCTCGCTGAGCAGAGTGCCCTCATTAATGTTTGTGCTTGATTCTTTTGCATATTTAAAGCTAATCAACTTTCATATGATTTCTACCTTCTTAATCACTCCAATCATTGACGAGGCAGGGTGAGTCCATGAGGAAAATGTGCCTGAACAAGTCAGTGAGGAGAGAAACATGAACTGCTTCATAATGTGTCAATGATGAACAACCAGAGGGTGAACTTGTGATGGATCTAAAAAAATGAGTTCATCAGGGCATTGAGATCGTGCAATTAGTGTTTGAGAAGGCAACAAATAATAATGAGAGACACCAACATCTTTGCAAAAACAATTCATGACAAAAGGAGATAATAAAATAATTGCAATCGATGAATGGTTGAACATGCGCAGAAATTAATATCCAAAAGTTATTTTTAAAGCAGAACTGAGAATTTTACTTGAAGTGGTCATAGAGCAATTGATCACATCTGAGAAGACGTTAAATTCCCTCCTGAGCCTACTCTTGGAGTTGGTAGAGACCAGAAAAGATCAGTGTCTCCTAGAAGTATAAGCAGACGACTACATGCTAACCAATAACCATAGAGGTAGAAAATATGAACTGGAAATCAGTTTACGTGATCAAACTTTAGGTGGCTGAGTCCAACCCTAAATCTGAGTTGTGAGGTGTAAAAGAAATAAACAAACCCCAAAAGATATAGGCTGTGTCCGAAATGAATCACTCAATCCCTAACCCCTAACCCCATATTTTTCACTATATAGCTGACTATGTAGTGAGCTCAATCACCGGAAGTTTCTGACACTACATGGCGCACCTCCATCTTTGAATTGTCGCTGGAGACGCAATGCATGACGGGATGCCCACCACCGGTGAGTGACCATTGGATGGTCACTACATTTTGCAATGCTCTATGGGAAATTTTGAGTTGCCTATATGGGGCGTTGGAATTGATCACTCAGGTTTCAGACACCCCTCAAAATGGCGCTAACCTCCATATAGTCGCCTATACAAGGGGTTAGGGATCCATTTAGGACACAGCCATTGTCTTTGGCTCTACTATTCGTTGCCCTCAGTGCTTTGGGCCAAATCTCTAAATTTCTTAGTGCCAGGGTCACTGGTTGCCTAATTTGTGTCTTATCATTAAAACATGCAGACTTTACAGCAGTATTTGACTTAATGGATGAAAAAGAGAACATGATCTATCATTATGATGAAACCAAATGTAAGTTTCTCTCAAAAAGCAGTAGACTTGTCTAAGAGTGTATCACTCCTCTCTGACGACTCCTCTCTCTGTGTACATTTTTGTGTTTTGAATCGTGTAAACTCAGTTTCACTGTATTAGAGGTTGTGTCTTTTCGTCCATCGTACAGTTGGAAGTGATGTTACTGTAAAGGCAGGGGAGGAGGAGGAGGTGAAAGACTACCGGGTGAAGTGTTTGAACAATCTGGCCACATCTCAGCTCAAACTGGAGCAGTACGATGAAGCTTTGCACACCAGCCGGGATGTTCTGGCCCTCGAATCTGACAATGTCAGAGCCCTTTTCAGGACTGGGAAGGTGAGTGCCCATCCTGCCTTGTGCTACATGAAGAAAACAGTACTTATCAATAAGTGAAAGATTTTTTCGTAGGATGAAATCTAACTTTTATCCTCTAAACACACCAGCAGAATGTATGTTATCTGTACACAGCCTGTTCTGAGTAATGGGTCCTGCAGCTCTGCTCACATAGATGATTTTCTCTCACAGCTCCTGTCAGACAGAGGTGAATACAAAGAGGCCATGGAGGTGCTAAAAAGAGCCTTGAAACTGGAGCCAACCACCAAGGTGAGATAATGTGAATAAGCTGATCCTTCCTCTCACCATGTTTTTTTAAGTCCACCCGAGAAATCAATCCATCACTTACACGCAGAGAAGAGATCAATCTGAAGTGTACAGACTATGGAAGTAAATGAAAGTAGGTTAGACATTTGCTGTTTTTTTCTTTTTAGTAAGAAGTTTTATACTGGATTTCTTTATGCCAAAAAGTTGGTGTTCAGACTGACAATAATAGAGCACCAAAATGAATGTCAATAAAACACTGGCCCATCTAGAGTTTTGTGTATAATTCAGCACCGACCAAGTGGTAAAGATATTGACATTTGTGAGTCAAAGATGCTAACCAGCTAATCCAAATAGAAGATTTATTGAATAGTCCCAGTCTGTGTATGTTTTGATAATTTCATAACTTTCTTGGAAACAGTATTTTATCAAATCCCCACCCACTTTCTAATGAAATCTTTATCTGGAACACAAACTTTCTTTTGTTGCACTGGATAGTGGAGAACACATGGCCTTCTCAAAAACACGATTTACATCTTATCTCATCTTCATCCACCCTTCAATCTCTCAATATACTTTGTTTATTGTATCTCTACAGTTACAGGAAAAGACTTCTGCTAAAGTGTGAGCAGCACCTCCTCCCCTTCATGTGCAAAATGAAAGTGTAGAGAATTCAAAACCACATTTGTTCACACATTACCGAGAAGAAAAGAGACGCCTTGCTGGGATCCCACTGAGCTACTTCTGTTCAGGGCCTGTTCTGTCTTGTTTGTGTGGTTCGTCTAATCTGCCAAATCCTCCACAGAGGATCTGGCAAACTGCACATCTGGCAGTCTGTCGATGTGACCACACTGCAGTGAGAGGTCCGGCAAAGATGGTAAAAATAACATTTGTGTGAGCCGAGAATTGCGACTCTAAAAGCTTGGCGCTCCAAAAGTAGTAAACTAAAGGTAAGAGAAGCCAAAGTCGGCCTCAAAGCGAATTTGAAAAACAACTCCTTTTTTTTTGTTGTTGATTAAGACAAACACTGAGACAAAAATCTCTTACTTTGAGCTCAATGCAGGCTGAGTTTCTTAACTCTGAGGACATTTCATCTGGATGTTTACAACACACTGTTCCTTCTCTTCAGCGACCTGACCTAAAGGGCGCTTTGCCACAGTCACAAATATGTCTGGTCTTCTCTAGACAAACTGAAAATATCTGCTTCTTTGGTAATTACACCCTCATCTGAATGCTGGATTCAACACTTTGGAGGAAACTGATTTAGCTGCTCTGTGGGAGAGGTTATTTTTTCTGTTGTTTGCAAACTATCAAAAATTTTAAATACATGCCAAAAAGGACCCAAACAAGAGGGCATGTAAAGTGATCTATTATTACTATCTATTATCAGTTTTCAAAAGCAAACCTTTAAAAGTGATCCAAAAATATATATATTTTGTATTATTTTGACAATAAACAGTGTATAATTTGCCTCCTTTGCTCAGGTTTAAAGGGTTTGTAAGGCTTTTGTTTCTAACCTCTGCTTCCCCCTTCTGGACAAATCAAAAACTGCAACATGCAACTTTTAAAATCAACTTTTTCACTATGAGAAGGAAGCTTTCTTACAGGATGTATAACATTTTCTCCCCCTCCACGTTTCTCCAGGCGATCCACGCTGAATTATCTAAACTTGTCAAAAGGCAGTCAGGAGGTAAAGACACTCAGGAGTGGAAAGTTAAACCGGCAGAGATGCTTGGAGACGACATCACACCTTTTCTGATCCCCTCGAGAAAAAAGGAGCCATCTGTAAGCCCAAATTAAAAAAAACAAACTAAAGAATCTTAAATGTTTAATCCTGATGACAGAAAACTGGAGTTTCAGTTTTTCTTTGTCATTATGTTTTAGGGACTCACCTGGAAGGTTATACTGGGAGCTCTGGTTGTGGCCTTGGGCAGCTTAGTGACATCAATGATTCTGACTGCAAAAAACTAAACTCCTCTGCAGGAAGCACTCCTTCACTATCATCACCATCGCCATGTGCAAAGTTCGCTCTTTAATCAAGACTCCTGGAGAAAAGTTTTTTATTTTGAGTTAAGATGTGACAGGATAGAGGATAGTACGACGTCGAGTTCTTCCACTGCAGGAGGAGAGATTTCTGCTGATCGAAGACACAGATGTTTCCGACAGTCATCTTTCCAGTTCTTTCTGTTTTATTTGGATAAAGGATCACATTTCTGTCTGTCATATTAAAGAGAATTAGAAATGTACTTCCATCAAAGCCAAAACCCACCGAAAAGGCCCTGGAACTTTTAAAAAGTCCTAACCAGCTACAGAGAGCAGATTCAACCGAAATGAGTTCAGCCTCACAATGATAGAAAATGTTTAATGTCAACTCCAGTAGTTGAGGGAGTTAAAACTGTGTTGTCTGATGGTTCCAAATGATGCTAAATAAAACCGTTTAAGAAAGTACTCTTATTTATTTATAGTTTTTAGAGTGATCTTTGCCCTCCTACACAGAAAAATACATTTAAAATATCACCATTTTCTTTGTTCATTGACGATTATTTTAATACCAAATACATAAAAACTAAGAAAAATAAAGTATGATTATATTACAAACTTCTGTCTGTGTCTGTACAATTTCTTCAACAATGAAAATCTCCATTTTGATCCTAAAAACATATAATGAAATATTTCTGGCGCTTCTAAAAGGTTTAAAATGTCCTGACATTAAAACTAAGTCCTTCATCAAAAAGCACAAACTGAGCGCTTGGTCCTCCACTGGTCCTTTGTTCTCTTTGTTCTGTACCATCAGCAGCAGGCGTTTGGACTCTTCTTCTGGTAGGACGGACCGAGTCGGAGTTGAGAATAAGACTGCCGCCTCTGACCGGAATTCTTCTTGACTTCTCTGTGGAAAAGGGAAAACAGGTCTAAGAGAAGGATAAATACTTGACAGCTGAACTCTCTTTACCTCACGGTTCCTACCTGGCTAGATGGAGCACAGCCTCGACAACATTTGTTCCCTCTTTTGCGCTCGTTTCGCAGAACAAGGCTCCGTATGTCTGCAAGGAAAGCAATGACATACCTGACTGCACTCAGTTTATTTACACACCTGGGAGGCCGGACGTCTGTGTACACAAATTTCCACCAGGTGGAGTGAAAAGTTACACACCTTCGCCAACTTCTCTCCGTGCATACTGCTGACACACTTTCCCTCTGGATTCTGCTCCCGGAGGTCCACCTTGTTTCCAATAACACACATGGGGATTTTGTCCTCCGTTGAGTCCTGAATAAAAACAGAGGAAAGGATAAAACACATTCCTGCTTCTTGGGATGGTTCATTTTTTTGTCATTGATTCAACATTAACACGTACCTCGACCTGATCCACCCACGCTCTGACGTTCACAAAGCTGCTCTCTGATGAAACATCGTAGAGGAGCAGGACTCCATGAGCCTTCCGGAAATAAGACCTGGCGATGCTACGAAACCTGAAATTAAATCAAAAACAGCATTTAGTTAAGTATATTTTCAAAGCAGGTGGTGGACACAGTGGTGATGAGTGCAATACCTCTCCTGGCCAGCTGTGTCCCATATCTGCAGGTTTGTCATCTCTCCATCCACCAGCATCTTCTTCATCTGGAAATCAACGCCTGAGAACCAACAAGCAGATTGAAACGCCTGCACTAAAGATTATTTTTGTGTTAATGATTCAAAGTAATGTGTCTGCACCTACCCAGCGTTGTCTGAATATCTCCCTTGAACTCGTTGAGCATCAGTCGCAGGAGGAAACTGGACTTTCCAGAACCTGCGTCTCCAGCTAGAACCAGACGGTACATTGGAGCCGGTTCCCCAGTTTCTTCTATGTCTGCCTCCAAAGGCTTCAGAGATGAGAAACAAACAACAAACTGAACTCAGATGAAGTCTTTGTTTTTATAGATATAATGTCCTAGAATAAAAGAACAGATGTTTAGGATGTTAAGCAAGTTTGATGTCAACCATGAAGAACATCTTAGTAAAGCACATATTCATCAGTGAAATACTGAGTATTTAGAAAAACATGGATACAGTATTGGACAGGTTGGAGGCTTCGCCTGCAACAAAAATTATGGATGCAATACAATTTTGTCCTGATGATGGTGCTACAACAGCAGAACTCAACCTGAAGAGTTAAAGTTTCAGTGTTCTTTGGTGTGAGATGGTTAACAAGACAAAACCACAAAATCAATTTCTGTAGTTTCTTTCTTTGTTTTTGTTTTTTTAATGGCTTTTAGTGTATAAAAAAGTGTCCTGATCACTCTTAAATCAAGCTCATCTCAACAGGAAGATGTTTTAATCAGGGGGGTTTGAGGTTTTGAGTAGGATTTCTTGGGTTTTCAAGTCATTGATTGTTACTGTAGTCCTAAGAGACATACTGCCGGTATGCCGAGAAGAAGATGGAGAGGAGGAAGAAGAAGATGCAACAGAAGACGACTATAAAGACTAAGAAGAAGACGATGACTGCGACAAGATGAAGACAAAGAAGAAGACAAAGAGGAGGAAGAAGAAGAAAGAGAAGAAGACAATGACAACTACAACAAAGAAAATGATGAAGAAGAAAATAAAGAAGTCAAAGATCAGATGGAAGACTCAAAGGAATACAGGGACAACAAAGGAGAAGTAATAGAAATCGACTACAACGAAGAAGAAGGTGAAGAGCAAGAAGCACACAAAGAATAACAACAAGAAAAAGACGACAACAAAGACAAAGAATGACAAACATTTCCCTCTGTTTACACACACAGACACACAGACACACACACACACACACACACACACACTGAAACACCCCACTGAGCAATAGACAGCTATTAGATGTCTAGATTTTTTAAACCTAATTTCAACCATCAAGACCATTCTGTGTATTTTTAGACGGAATTTAGATGTTGCACTTAAACCTATTATTCGATAACTATTTATTTTAAAAAGCAACTGTGAGTTGCATAACTGATCTCCAAGTACTTAACCAAAATAACTATGATAGCAATTGAGCAAAAAATGCTCACAGGGCGATTAGACCTCTGTTAGCTGGCTAGTCTAAACTTGGTCTAAATTTAGACGTGTAAAAAACTTTCATTTTTAGACCTGTGTTAGCCTGATTTTAGACCGGACGTCTATTAGACCTCTTCTAGACCAAAAAAAATGCTCGATGGGACAGCTAGCTGGATGTACCTTTGTTGAGAATGCAGACAAACGTCTTCGTAGTGACGATGCGATGGAGCTGGCTCTACTTGGAGTCACTGACACTGGAGGTTCAGATTTTATCTCTGAAATCTGTAATAATGAAAATATTTAAAGTCGCAGCTTCATGAAAAGTTGACTGAAGAGAGACACTGAGGAGTGTTCTGACCTCCATATCAGACGGGACGTACGAGTAGCTGTGGTGGACAGTTTCTGCTAAACTCATGTTGTCATCACTGTCGTAATCACTGCCAGCACTGTCCACTGTGTCCATCGGCAAGGAAACTTCACTGTCCAGGTACTTATCAGCCCAAGAGGTCACGTGTGCGTAGGATGTTTTGCTGGGCTCTGGCTCTGAGCTGCACAAAGAACACACACACATACACACACACTGGCTTCAGCAGTGACAGTTTAATTCACTGAGATCAATCTACAGATCCACAGAGGTGTGTTAAAAACGTACCAGCCGTAGATGAGTGTGCTCTGTCGGAGCGGTTTCATCTTGCGGGCTGGGATTTCATTTTGGGGAGACAGCTGCTGATCAGATCAGAAATGTCAGGGAGGAAACTTTGCACTTACACCAGTGAAAACAATTGACCTTCAACTTGGATCAGATGTGAAACAAGAGGAGATGAGGAAATATGTCATCGGCAAATAAGGGACTTACCCTCCTCTTAGCTGCAACCGCTTCACTGGCCAATGCAGAGCGAAGCCCGTCGTTACTGTCATACAGCTTTTTGTTCATTTCCCTGATGTTGTGTTCAAGGGGAAAATAGAAGACAGGTTCAGATATGTGCACTAACATTTGCATTTTCTGGTACACAACAGTGTGACCTAGATGTCATTTCAGGAACAGAATGTGAAAGAGACTGCAAAGCACAAAATTATTCCTAATTTGCCTTTGAGAGTACAACCTTGTCCCCAAAGCCACTGCGCTTCAATCTAAAATCTGACTTCCACTTAACAGTAATGAGCCTTATATATGTGGTTCTTCAGGTTGTCCGAGATTGTTGAAGAAATGGTCCACACTAATAGCTTGAACAAAAGAAGTCAGAACTGTGTATGTATTTTTCAGAAACACTCTTGTTCTTGTTCTGTTATCAGATGGTTTCTGGTTGTAGTTTTCTCTGTAATTATCTACAACTGTATTTTACTAGTCACAATGTATTTTTGACATTCAAAATTAATTATCGATATTCATTTTCTAAATTTTGATTCTTCAAAATTACTATTTGGACCACTAACAACGGACATTAACTATATGAACTGAAATCTTTCCTTAAAATGTTCCTTTGTAGATGTCAAATGTTCATCCTGTTGGTCTAGCAGTTTTAGTGCAGCCCTGGCACAGACACGACAGTCACAGTGGTCACTGGTTCAACTACCAGCCACAATCACTACTCTGTGTTCTCAAATAAAGACAAAATGCCTAAAATAAAAAAAATTAAAAAGAAGTTTGTTCCGGGCAGTAGGAATTGTGAAAAAACGGAAAGCCCATGACACATAAATAGAAAAGCAATGTCATCTGATTAATGTTATTATGGATATTCAAAAGCTCCTTTTAGTAAGAGAGACAGAAATATCACTAATGTATTTTCAATTTGTCCGTCAAATGATCAAACAGCTCTCTCTATTTAGCTGAACCCAAGATAATCAAACCGTACAGAAACAAAGATTTTGAAAGACTAATTGGTGGACATTGCTCAATAATTTCCACTATTCATTGATTATTGTTTCACACTCCCCCCTATATTTTTGTTGAAGACTTAAAAACAGGCAACTGGACTGTGTAGAGTCTGTTTTTTTAGCCTGTTTTTAAGTCTTCAAGAAAACCATGACCTGGATGAATGAGAATCTACATGGACACTCCCCCCTATAGCTTTTTTAAAAATAAAAATGTTGATAGATATTTTTGTGTTGTAAACCTTTAATTACACTTTTGTATCGCAATCTGGATGCTACATCAGCCGTAGCTGTTAAAAAAAAGGCATAGATTGTCTCTTAGAGTTAAGATCTTTGGATAAAACAGGAATATAATGTGAAAAGATTTGTAGCAGAGAAGACTTTTATGATATTTTTCAATGATCCTACACATTCCCTGTAGGTCTATGAAGACGGCTTTAAAGTGAACAGAAGACTTACTGGAGGATCTGAATCTGACTGGAATAGGACTGGTATTCCTCAATCATCCCCCGCAGCGTTTCTGTTTCTCTGCAAAGTTATAAAAGGTTAATATCGCGCTGGAGCGGTGTCAGCTGAGCTAAACTGAGCTGAGCTTTTAGAGGCTGCCTCACCTTTCATGTTGAGCCTTTTGGTCCGCGTACATGTTCTTCAGTTTGTCCAGGTCTGAGTGCAGGATGGAGGTGTTGGTCTGAGCTTGCAGAAGAGACGACCGCAAATGCTCGTTTTCCTGTGAGGAGATATAAATGATCTGTCACACTTCTGGAATAAATCTCCACAAACTTTGAAGGTATTAAAACATAAAAAAGTGCTTCCTACCTGAGAGAGCTCGCTGACTTGTTTGTTCAGTCGAGTCAGCTCCTCTTTTGTTTGGCTTAGGTCTGAGGCCTCTTGGCTCTTGTGAGTGGAAATAAAAACGTGTTATTTGTTGCTCAATTTCATATTTTGATTAACATTTTTTAGTTTGAAAAATTAAACAAAGGAGCTGATAACATTTTAAGATCAGTAGTTTCATCTTCTGGAAAACACAAAAAGAGGATATGCTCAGTTTCACCTGCAGAGGTATAAATGACAGTTTAAAGGGATATTCCGGCGTAAATTTAATTTAGGGTCAAACACACTATAACACCAAATTAGACACCCCCTTGAGAGATGAATGTTGCCGACCTCTTGCTTCTCTAGTTATACCAACTTTAATAACGACCGCACGATAGCAATACACAGCGGTCTGAGGAGCCATAAACAAACCTCAACCAAAACGCCACTCTATAGCCACAAATAATGCTCAGAACAGCACCTAACTTCATCAACAGTACATATAGGGTCCCAGCCATAGCACTCGCCACCAAACATCTTTTAAATCTTTTTAACTTTGCCTGATTTCTTTAGTAAAGAGACTAAACACAACTCAGCAACTCTCTTCCAGCAGCCGCTTGTTTGTAGCGAGACCTTGGGTTAGTTGATTACGGACTACAGCGGGGTGACGCAGCTCAAGGAAGAACATTTATGATCATTTCTTCATCATTTCCTTGCAGTAATAATCACCATATTGATCATTTTGCACTGCAGACACAGTAGTTCTTCTGCCTTAACGTCTCAGTCTGATTGCATCTTTATGAAGAAATGATCATAAATGTTCTTCCTTGAGCTGCGTCACCCCGCTGTAGTCTGTAATGGACTGGCCTAATTTCTTGCTACAAACAAGTGTCTGCTGGAGGAGAGTAGGTGAGTTGTGTTTAGTCTCTTTACTAAAGAAATCAGGCAAAGTTAAAAAGACGTTTGGTAGCTAGTACTATGGCTGGGACCCTATATGTACTGTTGATGAAGTTAGGTGCTGTTCTGAGCATTAGTTGAGTTTGTTCATGGCTCCTTAGACTGCTCTGTATTGCTATCGTGTGGTCGTTACTAAAGTTGGTATAACTACAGAAGCAAGCGATCGGCAAGATTCCTATCTCGGGGGGGGGGGGGGTCTAACTCGGTTAATTTTAACAAAATTAATTTTACGCTGGAATATCCCTTTAAGCTAAACTAATACTAGAAGATATAACATAAACAAATGCATGAATATAGTGTTTTTTTCTCAAACACTTTAAATATTTGGTTCTACAGTGTGCATATTAGCTTTAAGCGCAAGTGAGTAACTTTTAGCTGGTAATGAAACAGACTGAAATCAACACTGATGGTTCTGTGTGGTCAACAACAACTTATCCTATTGTACTGTGTCGTGTTGTGTTGTGTTGTAGCTCATCGTATCAGGACAACCCCAGTCCACAGGGGTCCCTAAATCATCCTGACACCTAAGTGAATCGCAAGAGCTCAAAAGCAAACTATGCTATTAAACATTTTCAGTTTTACCCTGAACATTAGGCAACTACCTCAACAGACAACCAACATTAAAGCCTGACATCCGGATGCTGTAGAAAGTATAAAATTTCCCAATCAGTGAAGTGTGTTCTTTCTCAGATAGACCCTGACACTGTTTACATACTTAGAGAGCGGACAAGATATAGGGTCTCCAGAGATCTGCTTTGAGGGAAGACCCAAAAAATGTGAACAATTTTAAAAAACACTCCTCCGTCTTTGAGTAGCAAGGGCTATTCTGGAGATTCTGTAGGAGCTGCAGCTTTTATGTTGTCTTTCAGGTACAGCAGCTTTTCCTCTCTCTTCAGTGATACAGAAACACACCAGGCCACCTGTTTACAATGTTTTTAACATGAAACAACATCGTTATGCAGGTTGTGTGAGGAACCTTACTTTTAACAGCCTATCCACAGTTGCACTCAAGTCCGTGACCTCGTTCAGGTGCTTCCTTCGCATGGTTGCAACTGCTGCCTCCATTTTCCTCCGCTCCTACAAAGATGAAACTAAAGCAGTAAGGAGGTGCAGACTGGCTGAGGCTTAAAGAGAGGCTTTCATCTAACTATACAGAGGCTTTTTGTGCAAGGATGTGTAATCCACTGCCATGTACTGCACCGCAAATATGCAGGTAGCTCTCAGGAACCATGAGGAATGTGAAGAAAGTTTCACCTCATATTTATGAAATCAAATATGTTCCTTTATTCAATTACTCCAAGTACAGATATGGATAATCTGCAGCTGAATAAACAAGAGCCAAATGACTATAGATTGCATCCCCAGCTTAAAAAGTTTACTGCAGCTTTCACTCACCTCCTCTCTTACTCTCTCCTCTGTTCTGGCGAGCTGCTGCTGAATGTCCTCCTCCAGTTCAGTCAGCTGACTGGCGTTCATCTCCTCGGATCTGCTTACACAGAGAAGAGAGTTTAAAACAGCTGGAGGAAAATCTATTCGCCTCTGTTCAAAGGTATTCAATTCTCCCTAATTTGACTCCATCTGTTTACAGGTGTGACCGCTCTGCTCTCGACAGACGACATGAACCAACCAGAGAAGAGGGAGGGTGGGAGGGACTGCTTTAGAAGAGGGGATTCCACAGGTGTACTAGACTGTTTCAGGGAGACTTCTCAAGACCACCTCACAGATTATTATAACACTTTTAACAGATTTACTAGATTTAAAATGTTTATTTCACAATACATGAGAATATAAGTGAAGATAGCCAGTTTGTGAAAGAGGTTAAAAACCAAAACAAGGCAGTGCATTTAAGCTTCCTGCTTCCTTGAGTGAGGAATGTCACCTTTCTCATATTGTTAGTGAACCAAGGAGGAAGAGAAAAGGAGAAAAACAGCTGAAACACTCTGCTGTTTCCACAGTAAGGCTGAAATTCATTGATTGTTTGAAGGTACAATGTGAGTGAATCATTTGATGGAATTCAAGGAAATAATAGGACTTAGATCAAATGTTCCTCAAGCCTTCACACATGTAGTAAAACCTCTGCCAGGCTTAATGAATGTTAGAACTGTATCAATTGACCTTGTGGAGGAAAACATCCTTATCTCTAAAGAAGTTTCCTTCATCTTGAAAATACTTCACAGACTCTGTGATACAATTTAGCTGTTCTCACGAAAGCACAAGTCACAAACCTTTAGAAACAAAAGTCAAACAATCTACAGAGGAGAGATGCAGAAAGAGAGAGATGGGAAGAGGTGAGATTGATGCGCGTTAGTTAAAACAGCTGGGAAGCAAGCAGGTCAACAACAGTGATCCCTGCAGTTTCAACCTTTAGCAGCATCATTTTATAAAAGAGTTGAGTCTCCATCATGTCTCAGTTTACACCCAGCTTAGTCCAGACTCATGTCACACATGTAGCTAATATGTATTTTGAGCTGTTGATTTAAAGGTTTTTCTTTGTAAAAATGGTGTGATCGCTGTAATAGGATCATCTTTCCAGTGAATAATAATTATTTTATTTATTATAGAGGAGTATAAGGGGCTGATAGAGAGCTGTATCACATGTCGCGACAAAAACCACTCGAAGCTTAATTTTAGCAAAACCAATGAGCTTGTGGCTGAGAGGAACAGTAGGCTCCCTGTCCTGGTTTTCATCCTGGGAGAGGAAATGAAAAAGGGAGGAGCTGTGCATTACTTTAGGGTTCGAAATCAATAAAACGCAGGTCTGGACACACAGCTCTGAATCGTTCTCTACGCAGGGACACGACGCACTGTACCCCTCAGGATAGTTAGGCTATAAAAACAACCTGATTTGACTTTGTCATTCTTTGATGTTCTTGCTCTGGTGTGTGTCTGTGAGTGTGTTAGTTTAATTAGAGAAACAAACAAGCCAAGTTCTCTTGAATAATCACAAAAATATCCATCAGCTCTAGATCACATCAGATGTAATATGTTCATGATTTCCCTTTACCTTCCTAGGCTATGGATGTGAATACAAAGTGTTTTTCTAAATGTCACCATCTGTTTTTAAGCCATGGCCAAAAGAGGGTTTAAAAAGTGAGTGTTACCTTTCAACTCCGAGAGATCACAGAAGCCTTGAGTCAAACAAACTGATGGAAGTTTCTTAAGACACTCTTAAGATATTGTAAAGATGTACAGTGCGTGAACAGGATGTGAACTTCTTCTGGACAGAGCTGAGACAAAGTTATCACATAATTGAGATATTTCCATCTGTTTCTCTTTTTATGTCAGTTCAGTGATCAGTGAGCTGGCTGGCGACACCATCTGTAAGGCCAAAGTTATCAGATCAATGTCTCTGATATTGAAGCTGTAAACCTCACAGGGTTAGCCATGGTACCAAATCAAAAGAAAGCTAAACTATTACATCAGGTCTTTAGTCTGGACCACTTTCATCAGCCTCTTTTATCTGTATGTAGCTGATTTATTCAAGCTTCTAAAAGGAAGAAAATGAAGTTTTAAAAGCAGGCGACAAAGGGCTCTTACAGGCTGGAAGAGACAATAAACTAAGCAAAAGGGGGTCAAAAGTAGATCTACATTTGTGGGTGCTAGTTTTCCTTAATGTGTGCCTAAGTATTTGGTAATCATGTGAAATGATAAAGCCTCAGAGTGAGCAGTTTGTCCACTATCTGTGGTCCATAGCCACAAGGGGGCAGCAGCCCATAACTCATCTTTTGTCACAACAAGCTTGACAGCTATAATTCAGATAAGACTATAATGTTTTATGATACAAAATAATAACTATAAAAAAATGCATCAGATTTTATAGCACTTTATGTTGGATACATCATTTATTCACCCACACAGTCACACCCTGGTGGTGGTAAACTACCTTAGCAGTCAAAGTTACCCTGAGGCAGACTGACGGAAACGTGGCCGCCAGTTTGCGTCTACGGTCTCTCTGACCACCACCACACAACACTCACAATCATGCACCAGTGGAGGACACACACTGGACGCAAGGTGGGTTAAGTGTCTTGCCCAGGGACACAACAAACAGACTAAATATGGAGGGAATCCACTCTGCCTCCTGAGCTACTGATGCCCTCTAAAAACAACTCTAAAAATAGTTGAATTTTGAAGCATTCATTTGAAAATCTCATGCTCCAGGACACTAAGTGCCTCTCATCATGACCCTGTATTGTAGTTACATGATATTATTTTTCTCACAGGTGAGATGCTGTCATCTCTAATGACCCCCCACACTCAAAGAAAACCTGATGTTTGTACTTACCGCTTTAGGCTGATCTCCATCTGTTCACACTGCATCTTGCTGTCCTGACTTTGGTTGACCAGGGAGCGAATGGTGTCCTCATACTGCCGCAGCACAACCATGTTTGCAGAGGTGTGAATGGCCTGGTAAAGATCAATCAGCTGCTCCCTGAGACTGTGTGGGGAGGACAAATAGTGACCCCGGGTGAGAACTGGTCAGTGGTCAGACTCCTGTCTCTCTGACGTTACATACTTACCCCCTCAAATCACTTACAGGTTTAAGGATGAAGGAGTAGTTTTAGTCTAAAAAACAGTCCTTTCACATGATCTGTGGTTCACCTCTAAGCTCAGCATGTGTAGGACTCATAATTTCAGCACATCAACACTAGTCGCAAAAAATTACATAAAAGCTTTTGGTTTGTATGGGTTCAAAAAGTGTTTTCAGGCCTATTTTGTTTTAAGGTGGAATTAATTGCTGGGACGGTAACAACATTTGATTAAACAAATAATGTGACTGTAAGAACCAACATTGACATCACATGTTGAGCTCAGAGAGATGTGCAAACAGCACATTACACAACACACAAAGACAGATATTAATCACCATTTTGTGACGTTTTCCTGTTTTGTTTTGTTTTTACATGACATGACGCCTTAACACGTAACAAGAAGTTATGCCTAACATAAATCAATAAAACAGTTTATAAGCCCAAATTTGACAGCTTGAATTTGGTGTCTATAAAAATGACCAAAGTCATTTTAGATTTAACTGTAGCCCATTTGACAAAAGTTAAACTAAAATTAAATTAGTAAAGATCTTTTGTATTTGAGGAGTTGTCGGCTGTGCTGTCTGCGTGACAACAGCATTAGAAAAAGGCAAAAGGCTAGTGGGACTTTAGTTGGGGAGATTGGGGTAAGTTGAGCCACCCCCTGTTGCTTGGAAATGGTAAAAGAAATTGATCATGTGACCAAATATTTAGGAGATGGGCATCAATTCATGAAGTCTGTGAAGGTTAGAAGCTCATGGGTGAAGGGGTTAGACACATTTATTTCCAAAAAACATTTTTCACTCTTGAAAGTGAAGTTAGTCTGTCACAAGTTTTATCAGAGTTGTGTTCAGATCAAAAAAAGATCATTTTAAATTTGTTTTATACATCAATTGTGGTATCTATGAGCTACAACATGAGGTCAAAAAAACCTAGCATAAAAGTCCACCATTTTAGCTTAGAGGACTAATAAAGTCATAACAGTAGTTCTGGGGTAAGTTGAGCCAGTGGATCAACTGAGAAAGTAAAGAAGTCTGATGAGAGGATCAAAGTTTCAGTTCAGATTGTTGAAATGTGTTACTTTTTCTTTTCAAAAATACAGCTGTGAATGTTCTGAATCACTTAAAGACATTCTCATGTTAAAATGACTTTTTACAAAACAGCTTTTTAGCAGTTATATGTAATAATAATAAAAAGAATGATTGTACCAGTTGAGTAGTGTATAATAGATAAAAATACACATGAATGTGAAGAAGTGAGTGTTATTAGAGAGAGAGAAGGTGAGGGAGGGCTGGGATGGAGAGTGGAGGGGTAGTAGGGATGCGGCTCAACTTACCCCGCTCCTATGAGAACACTTTTTTGGGGCATGCTATATTATCAAGACAGTTATGTTTACACTCATTCTGTTGGTTTGCAGGGATGAACAACATCTTGAAATATATGCAGATACACTAGTAAGAGACAAAACTATGATTGCCTTGATGTAGTGATCAGAAATATGAAAAGTGGCTCATCTTATGGACTTTGCCCAACTTTGACGGCTTGAATTTGGTGTCTATAAGTGCATAAATCTGTAAAATTGGTGTAGCCGTATAACAACATGAAAGATTTTTGCTTTTAAGGAGATTCCAACCAAACTACCAAAGTTATTTTAGATTTGACAGTAGCCCATTTGACAAAAGTTAAACTATAATAACCAGTATCAGATCTTTTGTATTTAAGGAGGTGTCAGTGCTATCTCAGTGACATTTTTTAGGAAAAGACAAAGGCTGGTCAGACTTCAGTATGGATTTTTCTACAGAACATTGATAACAAACTTTCTATAGGGCCTCTCTGGATAATTCTAATGACCACAACATGGTTAACGTTTAATCACTGCGAAGACAAGCCAATATTACAGAACAAACTCAGGGCCTGAGAAAAATTTGATCAGATGTTTTTGGTGATAATCACACGCTTGGGAATATCGTGATAAAGTGAATACACGGACTTCTATCTATGTTTATGAGCGGACCTCCTGACGTAAGGTGACGGTTAACTGACGTAAATAACCGCACAGAAGCCGCAGTAGCCGCTGGCGAGCTGAATCCTGGTCAACATGGAGAGTACAGCCGGATGTTATTTTACCTCTCGGAGATGATGTACTCCGTATCTATCCTTCCCATGAACTCTTCCCCCGGACTGCTTGGGTTGTGGTTCAGCCCGGTGCCCAAAGAAGCCAGGTTTAGAGTCTCTGAAACCTCCTGAAACCTCGAGGAGAACTTGCTGTAGGTGATGTACCCGTCCCGGTCCGCGTCGAACTTGTCGAACAGAGTTTGTGTCTGACTCTCGGGGACGTTGAGCTCCCGGCAAACGACGGTGAAGTCCTCATACTCGATCTTTCCAGACTTGTTCACATCACAAGCGGAAAATAGTCTGCGAAGGCTCGGTCGCTCCATATCAGAATACCTAAAACACATAAAAACTTGTAAAACTTGACGCTAAAATCCCACACCTGCTGCGCGTCGACCAGCATAAACGCAGCCCTTAAACCGTCAATGAAGGTCTCACATCAGGTAACGCAGAGTCCCTCATTGGTCCAGGTCTCACTGGAGGCGGGTATTGTCCGAATAAACGGACCCAGTGTGCAACTTCCTGCTGCTCTTGTTGTAGCAACCGAGGTTTTAATTATTTGATTAAATCCAGCAGAACCGCTGTTCATGTGTGCAGTAGGATAGATGTACAACAGATAGACTGCGTATGTGTCTCTGTTTATCTTTAAGGTGTGTGCACATGCGAGTTTTATCAGACACTCCCAAGTGTTCCCCTTTGCAGATTGCGTCTGACCCCACCCTGACAGATTAAACAAAGTGGAAAGTAGCCTAACCAACAAAAATAAAAAAAAAATACGGTGGCTGAGAACTGCCACTGCTGCAAATAACAAAAAAATGCAAAAAAAAAAAAAAAAAAAAAAAAAAAGCCACAATGGAAGTTATCGATGCAAAAAAAGAAAGAAACTAAAGGCTGCTGCAAATAAAAAAAGAAACTGCAGATGAAAAAAACAAAAAATCAAAAAGAAAGTTAAAGACGCAAGAAAAAGTGGCAATGCAAAAAAAAAAAAAAAGTTACTTACTGCGAAAAAAAAAGGACACGAATAAAAAACGGCCACAATGGAAGTGAGTTGCCGGGGACCAATAATGATGATGCACAGGTGTTTTACGATCTAGGCACAGAAGACAACGGAAAGAAGATGAGCAAAGAAGTAAGTGGAATGGTTATTGTTTAATTTCACTTTGTAAACTTTTCAATGTGTCATTAGGTTAGGCCATGTTGCGCCCGAGTCGATATGAAATTGAACTGGAGGATGCCAGTGTAGTGTTAGCTTCATCGTAAAACCCCGGTGCATCATCATTATTGGTCCCCGGCAGCTCACTTTCGTCGTGACCTTTTTTTTTTCGCATCCTTTTATTTTCGCAGTAAGTAACTTTTTTTTTTTTTTTTTTTCCGCATCGCCACTTTTTTTGTGTGGTTAACTTCTGTTGTGGCTTTTTTTCTGCAGTTTCTTTTTTTATTGCAGCGGACTTTGGTTTCTTTTTTTTTTGCATCGGTAACTTCTGTTGAGACTTTTTTTTTGCATTCTTTTTTTTTATTTACAGCAGTGGTGGTTCTCGGCCACCGTAGAAATCTTTACATAAAAAAAACCCAAAACATTTTCATTTATTTCCAAGACAACATGTAACGGTTTCAAGGGTAAAATCATGAGCCATTCAAATAGAAAATTATCCATTTGTTTTTTATTTGAAAAATTAAAATAAAGTGCTTTTTATATACAGTACAAAAAAAGAAAAACAGTAGTGATGTATGATACAAAAAAATACAATTCACAATATTTTTATTCACATTGGCAGCTGAATTTACAAAACAATCTTACATAAAAACTCTTTTACTTACAATATACTGTATGTGGATAAGAGTCCGAGCAACTTGTACTGTCACAAATAGAAGGCCAGACTACAGTGGTTTATTAAGAGAGAGCAGACAACAATACTTTCACTGTGGCATAATTATTTCAGGCTCATATTCAAATAAAAGCATGTCAGTACCTGCACCTATTTAACTTAAACCAATGCCATTAAATATTTGTTCTGCATGTTAATTGAATATTGTTCGAATGAGGGCCACTTCACAAAAGCTGCCGTTTGTTTGTTTTTAATAACAGTCTGAGCATGAGTCTGTCATGACATGGGATTGATTATAGCTGACCAGTCTTTTGAGATTCACTCAGTCATTTCTGAAGTGCCACCAGAAAGAAATGTAACGTAACACCTATGCTTATCCTTAATTCAGTATTTCAAAAATAAGTCAGTGGTTATTTATGTGCTACACTTTAAGAATAAAATCCTGCCCCTGTTGATGTTGAAGCCACCATAACAAAAGATAAAATACAACACCTCATAATCACATACTTGACCAAGTTTACAGTATTCCACATTTTCACTCTTGTCTCTGAGCACAAGCAGTCCTGTCACACCTGTAGTGCAGTGTTTAACTCAACAGCACAACTACCTGGTTAGTTTTAATATCCCAAGAGGCACATCACTTGATTATTATTTCAGAAGGCATTATTCATTTACCTCAAGGCAGAGTTGTTGTTAAACCCAGGACCTGCATCAAAGTAAGGCTTTTCAGCATCGTGTGCAAATCCAAAGCATTCTGAGTCAAGCAGTAGGCTTTGCCTCCATGCATTTTTTTGTGAAATTCAAATTTTGCAGGTTGCATTTACAACACTAGAGCCACACGAAAAAAATAAGACTTAGATGGTATTTGATGTGGTGAAAAATGCTTTTCAGTTTCTCGTAAATCTGGTCGTTTCTATGCTTTCTAATCAGTGAATTCTGCATGATGGGATGGATAATTAGAACTATGTTTAACAACTGGATGATAATGATAATTATTGCCTTTATGGTTGCTTTTAAGACCATTTCAGCAAGCAGAGGGCATTTCTTCCATTCTTGAACACTCATCAATTATTATGCGTATTAAAGTTGAGGCTAAATAGGTGTTTTTCCACATGACAAATTATGATGCAGTATTTGAATACTCATTATTTCTTCCCTTTGAAAATAAGGACGAATATAAAAACCATTAAAGAATGACAATGAAAGATGTCTCTCCGTGAAAGACACATCAGGCCCATCCATAAATCCCCCCAAATGGCTAAAACCTCTTGCATACTTAGAGTTCGTGTCATGAGTGTATGGGTGTGCCAGTGATTCTAAGGTAACACCTCTGAGCTTTCTCAGTGTCGAGCTGAGGCTGCCGTGGTGTTTACCTCCACTTCACATTGTTTGCTTTGCATAGACTGCCTATCTCATGACGAGCATGACAATACCTGGAATGGGATTTTTCCCTTTAGTAAGTTTGATGACTGAAAACCCTGTAAAAAGTCAGGCCTACAAAGAAGATTATTTTGTTTTTTAACTAGCTAATAGTATCAATACTTTAAAAACTGTCTTCATTTGTTACTACAGAAATGTTTTTTGGTGAGTAGTGATTGTAGAGTTCTACAACATTTTCACTGAGGTGATAACTTGTTTGCATTTTCTTCCTTTTAATGTTTTTTTTTTCCCCCAATGAATTCGTTCTCAGTTGCTGTGCTATATTCAAGCTTTAACAATGAGTATACATCTGTGGCTGCACACAGACTATCTAAAAATCAGGACAGGAGCTTTTTTTTTTATATGTATTACCTGCCATTGTATTGTATATTCTGGTGTGAGTGTTTACTTTGCTACAGAACACTACATAGTGCATAGCCTCAGCGAAGGGTAGGCTCTAACCATATGATAGAAGGGAAATTAGACAGCAAACACTAAGTCGGCTGTAAATGGAAACAAGTTTCACAATCATTCTGCCTTTCAAAGCACCGCCAGTGTTTTTTTCTACTGTTTTTTTGGGACGGACTGATCGGCAATGCCATGAAAGTCAATCAATGAATCGTGGTCAAGACACCTTAGCCCTACGCTTGATACATTCTTGTGAGCCGTGCGTGAAAAAGTTTGAAGGCAGACTGGAACCTCTTCAGTGTGCTTCGAATGCTCATGAAAAGGTGGGGGGTGAGAGTGAGAGGAAAAATGAGAGGAAATGTACATGGACCACAGGAACAGAACAAAATAAGTGCAAAATCTGTGTAATGAAATATTTCTCCAAGGAGAGTCTGATGTTCCTCAGTTTCCTCTCTGTTAGGCTTTCTTCAGCAAGTGCACTCTTTCTTTTCAGATGAAATTGAGTCACTCCACTTAACATGGAGCCTGTCTCACACTATCGAGTCTTTAATCTCAGAGCCCAGTCTGACTCGAGGCCGTGGGCATGTGGGGGAGATCTCTACATGGCTCTCTCTAAAGTTCAGAGGCCTCTTCTCCGACTCGGAGAAGCTCTTGCTGTTGTCAGGCGACGAGCACTCGTGCGGTGGAGTGCTGCAGATGTAGTTGTCATTAAGGGTCTGGTAGCCCTTGTGGTCTGACACTGACGCTGTGACTGTACTGCCATTAAGCGGCAAGTTCTCAGCCGGTTTCCCTCCTACTAATCTGGGCTTCTTTTGCTGCATGTTGGGGCATTCTCCCTCCTTTAGTATGGACTTCATGTGGTCTCGATGCCTGTAGACCACAAAGAGTGAGAAAACAAGCAAAGAGAACGCCAGGAGAGCACAAACCACTATCAGCTCGTTCCAGTAGGTCTTAGTGTTGATCTGTGGTGAGCGGGCCTCTCCTGGCAGGATGATGAACTCCTCCTGGGAGATCTGGGGCGTACGTGAGCGGCCTGTGAGGGTGGTGCTCTCCTGCCGGGCCTCGCCCCTCACACAGTAGTTTGCCAGCAGCTGTTTGAAGCCTTCTTCGACTGACCAGCACTCATAGGTTTCCTGCCTGTCAGCCTGAGCGACCACTACTAGCCCCCCTTCTGGGCTGGGGTAATGGAAGTGACCCGCGCTCTCGCTGAACTCCCACCTCCTTTCAGCCAAATTAGAGCGCAGCTTGCAAGGCAGCACTCTGAATGTGTTGGCTGGGATAATGATCGCCTGGCATGCAGACACTCCTGAAAAGGCAAAGCAGAAACAAGATGGTCAGATATTGAAAGTAAAAAAGCTGTACCATCTTCTCTGATGTGGTGTTCTGAAGAACAATAGTTTGATACATTGACATCATGTGATTAGGACTTCAATTGAGTGGCAAAGCATGTGCGAAAATAGTGCTGCAGCTCTGCCAATTTATGACAATCAGTAGGAGAACAGGTCACTTACGTGTAGGTGGAGGTTTAGCAAGCCGTGGGCTCGGCACTGTTTTGTTGCAAATAGCTGATGTGTCTGCTTCATCTACATCCTGCTGCCAGGCGCTGAAACACACACACACACAAATACATACTTGAATGAGAAATGTTCAGATATAAGCTCTTTTTATTATATATTTACATATCAGAGGAATTTTTGGCCTAAAGTTGAGCAGCAAAACTGTTGTCGATGAATGTGCAGAGGAATGCATACTTGCTCGAAGCAGCCAGTTTCACATCCACGCATTGCTTCCCGTTCCAGACGCAGTAAGGATCCCTCGAGAGGATGCACTCCCCGCAGCTCTGATAGTTTGTGCAGTTAGCCACTGGGACCTCCACCAGTTCAGAGAAAGAGGAAACATAAAGACGACCCTGTAGAGGAGAGACGACAGAGCAGGGTTACAGGAAGAAATTACAGTTTGAGAGGTTCATCCAGAAAACTCCAGATGTGATACTGGTTTAAATTCGGCAAATTAACTTTTCAGTTCATAGTATTTTTTGGCCTTAATGTATAAATCAAAACAGGGAATCAAAGACGAGCCATGACTTAAGGAAGTGTCACAATTCCAGCTGCCAGCTGTTTGCAGATCCCCTGAGAGAGAGAGAGAGCTGTGTGTAATTAGCTCATTGAACATGAGCTCTGCTTCAGGCTCTGACTCTTAATGGCTCATGGAGCCTCTAAACTGCCAATAAATGAGTTTACTCAGCTTCTTATTACTGCTCATCATGAGAGCGCTCTGTAAAACTATCTGAGCATGTGCCTTTCCCATTACCCACTACTATACCTTTTCAGTGTCCAGCTCAATGTGTTGCACTGGTTGGGAGTTGTGGAAGAGCACCATCTCCTCGATGATGTGCATCTTGCTTTTGACATTAATCGCTTTATGAAGCCTCCCATCATCTAAAAGACAAAGCAAGAATTAGACTCAAACTCACACTCAACAACAACAACAAAGGGGCTGGCTTGAGCGTTTATGAGTGATTGTGCGATTACCTGTGCCAATGAAAAGCACATGATAGGCTTTTTTCGCAGTCTTGACTTGATGAACAGCAATCTGCGTGTAGCGCACGTTACGTTTCAGAAGGAGAGGAGGGCTGCGGATGACGCTGTCCATCAGAAAGTGGTCTTTGACAAAGTTCAGCACCTTGTCAGGCATGTGCAGTGAGGAGGAGATGCCCTGTTCCCTGAGAGCATTTGTGATACACTGTAGAGGCAAGTGTGGACACATTTACTTCTCAAACGGCAGCGCTTCTTTTTTCTTTTGCTTGAATTTTTCACTCCCAGCTGCAGAGCTCTGACTTCTCCACCAGAGGTCAGCAGGCAGGTACTCACCACTCCGGGACGCGGCTCTGGCACGGGGTGGTTGTAAGTGTACCACTGCTGGGTCTCTCTGTTGACCTCACGGTATCGCCCACTGAACGCCTTTTCGACCTGGTCCATAGTGAAGGCACACACTGCAGAGCTTCCTGAAGCCCCTTTGTACCTGGTATGACACAAATAAACATTTCACCCGTTAAAAAAAAAAACATTTAAAGAAAGGCGTGCATTGGGAGACTTTTTACACTTATGGTCAAGACAAACTCTGTGTTGAAATGGATGTACAGTTTTGAAACACTTTGCTCACTCTTTAGTCCGTGTGCAAACAATCTGCTTAGTTCTCTAAACAAACTTAAGTGTTTTTGTACAAAGTCTGAGTCAAATATACCAAGTTTACATGAGCTGCAGCCTTCTAAAAACAACTCTTACCTTTCAGCGCTGACAAAAAGACCTACTTTACTTTACAATATGACTATTTAAATTAACATAGATTGAAGTGACTCCTGGGTCATCTGAAATAATTCACCAATGAAAACACTGAGTACTAAAATACTATCAAATTAGTGTGATTTTACACTGTGAACCCTTTTCATCGATTCAATCTTCACTCTTTAGTTTCCATCAAAGTTTTGCGCAGAATATCTGGAAGAAAGAGGCATTTAAGTGGCTCATATCTGGAAGTCTCATTGATGCTGTCCTCACCACTGAGACGTAAAGACTCCATAAAACACAGTGTTCTTCCAGTCCTCAGGGCTGGGCGTCAGTACGAACATGTCTTGGATTATGTTGAAGGGGAAGCCATCGTCAGGCAGAGAGCACAGGAGCTGAGCCTTGAGAAAGGTGGTGAATTTCTTCTGCAGAACTCGTTCACCTCCTACATCCCCCTACAGAGCACAAAAAAATCACAGTGTAGGTTTGGAGCAGTTCAAAAAGCAGCCAGTAGAGGGCGCAGGAGTGTAAGACTGACACCTGTGTGTAAGGAGATGATGTTCAGAGAGCTTCTTAAAAAGAAAAAAAGACACTATGATATGATAGGATCTGACAGGCCTCTAAAAAGCATAAAATAATAATGTACACCGTGTGGTGTGCTACCATGGCATAACTCACATACCATGACATTGAAAACACACCGTTTGTTCTCTTGTATCAGAAAATAGCTGTCTTTTTTGTATTTTGTCATGATCAGAAAAATCACAATTCTGTGCACTTCAAGTTGTGTGTTTAAGAAATGTCACAAATGTCACATAGTCAAACAATAGTTAATAGCCAAAACTATAACCCTGAATAAGCCAAGTTTTAGATCATAAAACAGTAAAAACAGCTGATTTAGCTAAAAGATAGTTGTATTGCAGGAGCCTTGATGGACTAAAACAAATCCTGGGACGTGGATGAAGTTGAAATCAGCATTTATATTTAGTTCATTATAACAGTTTTTACATTTCCTACAAACACAGATGAAACAACAGCTTTCTCGTAAAGGGAAAACAAAGTTTTTAAAAAGCCTTGTGCTTAGGGACCAACAAGAGATACTTAATTATCTAAACCACATGAAAACCTTTCACATCAAGCTTGAGTTGAATTCACTTACGCATTACATTAATCAGAGGAAATGGCAGCACTTGATGGAAAAGGAAATGACACATGCCAAATACTGAACCGCTGAAGTGATTACTTAGTGAAGTAACCCAGGCAGATAATGAGCAACATGCAGCATTTTCTCTAGTCCTCCTAGTACCTACTTTTATAATTTAATGCCACTCTGTGCTTAAACTGTCTTCTGAATAATTGAAGCAAATGCATCCCATTCATTAATCTTTTGTAAAAGCTTTCCTTGTTCAAGAGGCTGTTAAAAAAAAAAAAAAAGCCACGGACATGGCAGGGAATAAACGGTGGTTTCTCTCTGAGAAACGGAATAATTCTGCAAACAAGAACACGTGCTTGTTTTGTTTGTGTCATGCAAAACATTGTTTATCATTCAGTTGCTAGCCAAACACCTGAATAAACAAGCAAAAGAGGGACCGAAGCCAAGATTACGACACAGACAAGTGGTAAGGAAGATGTAAAGACCAAGAAACACAAGAGGGTGAAGGAAACAGAAAGAATTTAGAGATTGTCTGAACTGTGATTGGTGTATTCTGTTCTTTAAATCAAACTAATTCCATATATCCTCTGAGCATTTACATCATTTTACAGCTTTACAGTGTTCACATGTGTGTGGGAGGAACACCCCCACAAAATCACACCTTATTGTTCATTTCCTTTAGGGTCAAGTGACCTCAGATATTTTATATTCAGCACGTATTTTAGCCCTACGTGAGAAAACCCATGAGTCTGGTGAGTCACTTCTCTCATGCCTCTGTTAACTGGCCTGATTTCCTGCAGGTGGATCTTTGAAATAACTGAGTGCAGTATTTGATGACACTATCACCTGTGGGCTGTGTCTGACTTCAACTGGCCTGTGATTCACGACTGGGCCTTTGAAGTACAGCTCAGAGGTCTATATATGACACACTGTGGGTGGAGTCCTGCCTTTTTGTGACTGTCAGACAGACACCTGAAGACAAAAATAAATAAATAAAGAAACATACGAGCTCTCCATGAAGATTCCTAAAAAGTTGTGCACAAAGATATTGAGAAAAAAAGCATGATGCAAGTCTTTGCTGTTCTCAAACAGTGACACTCACTTGACATATTTTCTCTTATGGGAATGTCAGACTGTCAGCCAGTATTTTTATACTCCTATGACTGTGAGTCCTATGAACATGACTGTTTGGAGCAGAGACGAGCAGCTGTCTGATGTGGAGCGCTGGTATGTGACGTAAAGACATCTTAAAAACTAAGAAGGCCCTAAACAAAAACAAATGCTGTGTGTGGTCTGAGCTGTAGTTTAAAGATCCAGGGTTCAAGTATTTTAGCAGGTGATACCAAAGTCTCAAACATTTTGAGTTGGCTACCGAGTCCTGCCTGAGTGCAAATATTTAGAGAAACTCGATAAGAATTGAGGGAGGAAAAAGAATCAAATAAAGGGAAACACGCAGGAGGAATGTTTTTCTGTAACCAGAGAATCTGCGTCACTGCCCAGAGGTCTGTGAGCTCTGCTCATCTTATTAGAGCTGAAGGCTGAAGCCTGAGTGTATACCGTATATCTGTTTATGAGGCTGTATTGAACACAAAAGACAAACGGCTTGTTGCTATCATAGTGGATTTCTATAGTGATGGGGGTTGGGGGGTTGGGGGTGTCAAGGATGGTTGCTGAAGGGGAAAAAGGCCCCTTCAGATCTGCCTTCAAGCATCACTCACCTTACACACGCGAGCGATGCGTGACACAATGGTGTTGTCAAAGAAATCAAACTCCTTTCCTGCTTCACTGAAGAAGAAGTAAATCTTATCGTCATCGCCCACTAGGTTGCCCTTGGGCAGGCTCTCCTGTATGTAGGCAGAGCCAACAAAGGCCGGGTCTGAGAGAAAACAACACAAACACAACTGTCATCCTGCAGGTTATGAAATTCACACACAGTTGTCCCTGTTCCCTCTGATATCAGCCTACTGTAGAAAACTTCACTGCAACACAGACTCTGACAGACAGCAATTTTCATCAGAATTTGATGTTTTTTTCCTACTTCTGATCATGAAGTAACACATGCTACTCTTTTACTGCATAAAGATATGATGTAGAGCACTAATATAAAGGTAGAGTACTATACCTTGGAGCCAGTTAAGTGAGTTTTCTGTTTTCAGAGCAGTTCCTTGGCTGACACTCTTGTAAATAATGGGTTCGTTTCCTTGGAAATTACTAACAGTACCAGCGTACAGCTCTCCATCTGCAACACAGTGAGGAAGATCGGTGTAACCACAAAGAACAAGCATCTTTAACATCGCACAAAGAAATTAAATGCATAGGTTACGCCTCAGCTTTGTGTCAGTGTCGACCTCCTGTGTTTTTAATGAACTTCTACAAGATGAATCATCTGGACAAAGCTTCACCTCAGCGGCTGCTAAGAAACCTACCAGCCATGATGGCGGTGGACTTGTAGTCGGGGTTGAAGGGGCAGCGGCTTCGTCCATCCTCTGTTACAATCTCACCAGTGTCGCTCTTGACGAGGGAGAAGTCTGCAGTGTTCTGGAGAGGACACAGACACACATCACATATCACCGCAAAGTCACGGAGCTGTAACCTGCTCTGACAGTGGCCGCTGTCTGTGTGTCCCTCAGTGAGAAGATGGGCGGTCAGTCTCGGAGTAAAGTTGAAGCGCAGGTCATGCCTGTATGTTTGTTATGGATTCTCTGAGAGATTTTTTAAAGATTTGTGGGAAAGGATTGAAAAACTGGGTCGATTCTTATATAATCTTATGACATGCATTAAATATTTGGATCCATTTCCCTCTGGCACAGGAGGAAATAAAATAATGTGCACACAGTATAATGTATCTAGCTTGGCTTGAGTCTCTGCCAGACTGCTAAGTGAACTGAGAGGCAGGAAGCAGCAGCAGATTTGAGATGCTCTTCCTCTGAATCTAAGAAGTAAACATCAAATCTAACGGTCTGCAAAATAATAAATAAAACAACAAATGACAGATTTTAAAACCCACAAAAACAAGGCAACAGAGGGGGCTGCTCAATGCAAACACTTACTATGTAAGCACAGGTGGGACTGAAAGCGTATGTTCCACATACATACAGATGAGTGCTGTTCAACCGGAGTAAAATCTTGATGTAGTTGAAGCAATCCGTCTGTAAGAGAAATGAAATGTTATTGTCTATGAAAGGAGATTTTTTACATTTTTTACAAATATTTCTCTGTTTTCTTCCATGAAAAAGAAATTCTATCTGATCTGCAGACTTCAACAAAGTCAGCAAAAACTGAACGCAAAAACAACAAACTGCAAACTTGTGTCTTTCTAATGTTCACGTTCATGTGCTCCTTTACACCCATTATCACAGATTCACCCTGTTTTACGTCTCAGTTGACATTTAAGAGCGGAGAAGAGAGCTTACAAAAGCAAGAGTGTAACTGATTATGTTTGCTTAAAAGGAATGGAAAAATCCATTGTTTGAATGGAAAGTTACCACTTTACAGGAAGTTCACAGGATTCTGCTCTTGTTCTGTGTTGTGCAACAGCGTGTGACTAAAGAGGCAAACCTGCAGTCGTGTAAATACAGTAAGAGCCATCTGAGTTGAGCTGAGCTTGTACACTTGCCTGCAGGTCTTTGCCTTTGAAACTGCACTCATCTCTCTTAGTCTGCGTAGTTTTCCACGTGAGCTGCAGGAGAGAAAGACTGTCAGACTGATACTTCAGGAGGAAGACAAAGAGATGAGTGATATTCACATTCAACTTCTGGGCCTGTATCACATTCACAGAAACATTCCTGTTGTACCTCTGAGAGGCTGCTGTAACTTCATTCACGCTGATACAGTACACTGCTAATGAAACGGCAGTTTACAGACACCTGACTCTTACATTTCTTTGTAGCCTGGCTGCACTGATATCAGTGAGGTTTAGAGCGAAGAGAATCTCCCGGGCGCCGATGTAGAGCATGTTGTCCTCTTTACTGAGGAGGAGGGATGTATAGTTCAAGACCCCGCTGACTGAGAAGCTTCTGGTTGTCCTCTCCTTTGCATCTGTGCAGAGAGAAAGATAATTCGTGAATTCATCTGTTGAATGTTAGATATAAAGAGGCTATCATACAGTACAGTATGACTGCTAAAAGCTTAGACACTGAAATATACAAATGAAGGCATTTTGAGGAGGTTTTAAAACTCGATGCATACCAAGGATATCCTCAGGATTTTGTGTCTAAATTAAACACATAATGTGTCACTCCTGACAAGCCTCAGAGTCTCAGCTTTTTTCTCATGACGACTGCACAGCCTCCACGTTTTCAGTTTTGGAAATTAGATTCCAAAAAAAATATGGAAAAAAAAAAAAACACGCATAGTGTTTAATGACAAACTCCTTGCTGCAGAAACAGATCACAGTCGGGAGCTGACACAAACCCGGGATAGTGACGTGGATGACATGTAACAGAAGTCAGTGCCAGACTCAGATTCAGGATGTTGTTGTATCTTTATTTTCTTATCAGACCTCCGGGCCAAAAGGATGCTCTGGTGGTATCATTATTTATGATTGATTATTTCAGTTCATCTGAGTACAAACAACTTCAACTTTGAGGAGCTACACAGCTGCTACATGTAATCTACTGCCCAATAAAAGGTCTAGGCTGAGTGGACAGAGAGACATTCAGCATTTCTGCATGTAGAATAGTGATGACAAAATCCCTCGGACTTCAGACAGAACAAATGTGTTTGCTCCCACCTCATTAACACCTCCTGACCCAGCCAAGGGTTAGGGCCCCACTTCTCCTAATCGCTGCTCTCAGGGCAATGTGAGTATCTCAGACTCGCGGTCTCAAGTCTTTCACTGCTCTCCCGGTTTGAACAACTTTCTTCAATTACATGCCAACATAAACAGAATCAGGGAGCTGATGGAAACCTGACGTGGCTGAAGCTTTAAAATGGGACCTTTGCCCCTATAATTTGACGAATGAGAGAAGATAAACAGACCTAAGAACTCCACTTATTTTATTGGAGGAGGTCTTCTAATATTGTTTTCCTTGATAATGAGATTTTTATGTTTGTAAGGAGATTTTGGTTTATTCATTAACTTCCACTCTAAGAGAGCGTTTAAAAATAAGCGCAGGTTCAACATTTTGTTTTACTTTCAAAATACACCACAGCCTTTCTCAGAGTTCATGTTTTTTTGGACCCCTCTCTCCCTTCTAGTTCCCTAACATAAAGTATAACTTGTTTAAGACAATCTGGCACAAAACTGATCCTGCCTAAAAAGAGTAAAGTGTTAATAACTCGTACAGATAATAAGCAGTTCATATCCGCTATGTACCCAGCAGGACATGTGACCTAGAATAACCTCACCTGAGTGGAAAGGTGCAGGAGGCAGAGAGACTTCCTCTCCTTTGGGAAAACAACTTGTTAAGAGCAGCCCATCACCGCGGCAACAGAGAGCCATATTGCAGCTAAATCTGTTTGTAAAACCACGAGAGGCTCTGTTCTGTGTCCTGTACATGGACCCATAGGGACGCTCTGTCTCTCATTCACTGTGATTACAAGATAAATTGAGTGCTGGTACTTTTACTTCCCCGTTCTCCTCCCTGCAGAGCCTTGGGCGTATTTAACAGTGATTTACAGAGAGCAAAAGACAAAGGCCAAAGCTGGAATCAAAACAAGAGCTCGGAGGGATTTACTCAGAGAAGAATATCTGCTCTATTATTCTCTGGAGTAAGATCAGCACCGTCATACTTAGCGACCACAGCGAACAATGAAAAACAATAGTGCCCCTAATTAAGTATCATTAAAGAGAACTGGGAGGGTTTATGACCACACAAAGCTTTCCATTCACAGTTTCAGAAAGACACTGTTCAACTTTTGGTGAAGAGCGAATGGTTGATATGCAATATTCCTCTTTGGTTTCTGCTGTTGTTGAATCATATTTTGTCCACCCCCCCAGGTGAAATTTGCTTCATGATATCTTATATGCTCATAATGTTTAATGTGTAAGATTTACAGCATCTTTTTATCACATTGTTTTGATTCTATACCCTAAAATTTGATCTTGTGAAATTGATAAAACTGTTATTTTTGGTGGAAATCAAAGCAGAGTTCATTCTGTTCTCGAGTGTTTGTGTTGAATTAAAGTGTAAAGCCTCATAGAACTCCAAAGATACAGCTTATATAACAATTAGACTCTAGAAATGACCAGAAGGGTATTTTTTAAGAACAAAAGAATATCAAAGAGGATCCACCATCGATCAACCTTTTGGACAAAACTTTGCTTCATAAGATTATTATCTAATCAGAAAAATAAACCCAGTTATACTTAAATCAAAGAAACTCGCTCTGATGACTCACAACAGTCCTAAGACCACGAAACCCTGACAGAATAACTGCTGGAGGTCAAACATCGTGCAGCCACGCTCAAACAGCATCATAAGCAAGGAGAGCTGAATGGGTTTCCCTTACTTGAACTTGTCACACACCACAGTCTCTTAAAAAATCCCCTCTACTGTTGTCTGTCTGTCTGAGGCTGTCTCCTTAGGGGTCATCTTATGACAAAGCATCCCCAGAAATGTTGTGGTGCACATGATAAGTACAGAATCAGTCAGGAGGACAGTTCCTGGAGCTTAGACCTGTCCCAGCCACAGATACATGGTGTTTCAAAGAACGTCTAAGAAAACATTGTTTAGAAGAAGAACAGATACTAACTTCACCCTGATGACTTCTACCTCTGAATTTCTCATTGCTTTTGAAACAAGTCTTCAGAGTAAAAGTTTCACTTAGCCATCCAAATTACCAAAAGATGACAGGGCAGATGACAAACTGAAGGAGAAATCTGGATAAATGACAAACGAAACATCATGACCTACATTTAATTTGACATGTGTAAGAAATGCAGCTCAAAGAGAAGTAGGTAGGTCATGAAAGTAAAGTAGATTTTCATTTTTATAAACCTTTATTTGATTAGGAATATTCCCATGCACACACAAAATCTCTTTTTCAAAGAAGTACACTTGGAGGTTTAAGGCACTTCTGCGCTGGTTTCAATTTGGAGACCAGATGCCTCGCCCCCTGATTTTATAGTTTGCGGTAAAGAGAAAAAGACAAAACCAAACTCCTGTCCTCTCTTGTTATCTTTGCTTGATTGATGACCGATTCAAGTCAAAGGTCAAGCACATATAACCATCAGTCCAACTACTAAACACTACACAAAGAGGGAGCCACAGGCAGAGCGGGATGACTTTACCCCGTTTAACCACGACCAGCCCTCAGATCTAGAGAGAGCTGCCTGTTCAGGTTCAGAGCTCTTCCATGACCCTTTTTAAAAGTGAAGAAAAATCCCACACAGAGGTTCAAACTCTGGCAGCTGTAAGCAATACGAGATCATTGCCATTATTATGTAATTAAAAGTAATTTCTGCAAATGACACCGCTAAATGGATTGAAATACCCGCCTAGACTGGCTTGCTAATCTATTTGGAAATTAATTACATCAGGCTTAAAGGAATCCTACATTTTTGCAGCTGATTTTCCGATGGTATAAAAAAATAGGAGGATAATTAAAAGCTTGGAGCTCTCCCTCCAGAGAGGAACTGTGGAGTAATTTGTCTTTTGGTGACGGAGATCTAAGTACCTTCTTTTGTAAAGCAACTATAACAGACTGATTCAATCTGTGCCCTCCTATATAACGGTGCTGCCTTTATCAGCTCTTACAGCTGTACTTTCAGGAGGTTAGAGGATTTCTGACAGTATTTAAAGCAGGAGTTCTTGTTCATTCTGTGTAAAACTACAAGAAAAGCATTGCTACACAAAATAGACCCACTATCACTTGCTAATTATGGACAAATTCTCCAGAGTAAGGTAGTGAGCCAAGGTGATGTTACTAAATCTTTGTATTCACCAAGAGCGATTAATGGACTACTTATGGGCCAGTCCCGTGAGTATAAACATAACCCACATTTACACCACGTTTGCTTTGAAATCGTGCACAAACAATGCTCCTCTAAGAAAACAAAATAATGCATTTGATTATATACAGTATTTATCTAATTGAACTAAAATTGCAGTACATTTACATAGCTATAAAGTATACATATACGTACTTCATCCATAACACTATGAAGGGAGGTCATAACGGAAGAATTCATTACATTATAACTTAAAGCTTCTACAAAAAGTTTTTGACATTTATGAAATAGTCTTACATTCATATTGCTGTTTTTTAATTTTTTCAAGTCACGCAAAAGCAAAACGAAGTAAAAAAATATATAATCAGTGATAAGATGGGACATTCCTCTATCCTCATTTTTAATGACTGAAACTGGTGTGACAAATAGTCCTGTTTTTAATAATTTACACATAAAATATTCACTATAAACAGTCAATATAAGACAGGACAAGAATTTTGTCAAAAAAAAAACAAAAAAAAAAAACATAAGACTTCCTTGCCCACTGGGGGGCGCCAAAACTGACACCACCCAAAAGCAGCTCACAAGAGCTTTAAGATTCATATGTTACATTTTCTGTATCTTGATATCTGGTGCCTTTAAATCACTGACATATTTAATGTGGTGCACTTTTAGAAATTATATTTTTAGCACTGTCCCTTTTCAATGTCCACAAAACCGCTTAGAAAATGTAGACTTGCAAATCAAAGGGATGAACAACAAAACAAACGGTTGCATTTGTTAGGTGAAGAAGAGTAAAGGTAAACGTTTTTTTAAAAAAGAGACAAAAACCAGAGATGAGACTTTGGAGGATTAAGGATCAGGTGTTTCAGACAGGACACTGGGGATAAATGCCTTTTCTTTGGTTCCCTTATCTATACGGTGTGTTCAAACAGATGAACACTTGTTAATCCTATCACTTACAGCACAGTGATTACGACCCTCTGCCTATGTTGAGGCTATGACCAGTGTGCCATCGAGAATCCTATTGGGTCAACGCCAGAGCAACACCACAACACTGAGCAGTGACATGAGGACAAAAAGCAGATCACACTAGAGAGCTAACTAGATTATCCCCTCCTCACTTTTAACCACCTATTAGGAGCTGGGTAATTGTTTTGGAGAGCAGATCTGGGAATCTGAAGGTCAGATACTGAAGCATCTGGACTGCATTGAGACAACAGGAGAACGGGGTCAATTCAACGGGACATTCATTTGGCAAGCTGTGAACCTGCTGTTTGCATCAATAACATGCGGGTCATCTTGTTAGCAGGATGTTGTCTCCCGCGCACCATGCTGATGCTGAGATTGGTAGCAATTTTGAGCACAGCTTCAGGAAAGTCATTTCGTTCGTGCTTCAGATACTCTTGATGTTTGAGAAACTGAGAAGTATCGAAGTCAAGTATGTGCATTACGTATTTCTCACAGCAGGTACGAGCAATAAAAGGTTTTGGTGAAGCAATTTACCTGGAGACAGGAGCTAATGCATCTGTTAACATTTAAACGAAGCACCCTATTTAAAATCTATTAAACCTGCACTTTTTAAATGAGCCTGTATCACAGCTCTGCAGAATTCTTTTCCCATGAAAGAAAAAAAAACCTGACAGGGTGATCTCTTGGTCAGGGAGCAACAAAAACTGACCTCAGATTAGCCACAATAATGCAAACCAGCTGCTGGTTCATCAGGAACTCCCCATGACCTCTCGCTCTGAGCAGCACTGGAGCATCAAGAACAAAGAGAGTACATGAGGTCGTGACATATTTTCAACTGTACAGCAGCTCTCTGACCTGATTCAGCCTCACAGCATGCAGCGTGTTTACAGTGTGCAAAGAAACACACAAGTGAGGTGTTCTTCAAATACTCTGATAATACCAACACCTGCTGTAAGGTGTGTTTAAAACTTCATTTACATATGAAAACGGAATATTTTTTCATCTCACTGAAATGGGTCGGACAATAATTCATTTTAAAAGATTGCAAATTGCTTTTTCAAAACCTTTTCATGACATTTTCAAAATTCTATAATATTTTTATTCAACTTAATGATACATTCCATTACCTCGATAAAGTTAAAGGAGAATTTTTGACATATTTGGATGGAAAAGCCAAACTGAAAATCAAGATTTGAACACTGGGCTCTGTTATATTCAGTCTTCACCACTACTTTTTAAAAGTGTTCAATAGAAAGTAAGGTACCATGTATTTTTGGTGCTGAAGTGACAAGAAGTGAAATCAAGAATGATTTAGAAATAAGTATTATAGGGAATGAAATCGTTAATCCTAGCCCCTTGACAGTAATTTTTGGAGTAGTTGGAGAAGGTACTAAGCCACCTGTTTCCTGTAAAAACGCAGTTGCTTTTGCAACCCTTTTGGCTCGTCACCTCATTTTGCTAGATTGGAAAAATAAAACACCTCCGACTTTTACTCAGTGGATCCGTGAGGTTATGTTGTTTTTGAACCTGGAGAAAATCAGGTACTCCATGCATGGACCTACAGAGAAATATAACATGACTAGGTCATTTGTCACACATGTCAGATCTTTAACACTGCACTGAGATCTGTGCACATATGAGATGTTAGTTTTAGGATTTGGTGAGAAATGCTGTCACTTTGATCTGGTAACACTGGACAGATAACAGAAATCTTAGCATCACTTTATTTTTATTAATTTTTTTATTACTCGTCTATTTTATTCTTGTTTTTTTTCCCCTCTTCTTTTTAATCTTAGTATTATACAATTCATTATTATTTATAGTTCTCCTCCTTTATCTGTTCACATTATTCTCTGGCTCTTAAATTATATATTCATTTCTTTAATCAGTGTATAGATTTATATGTATTGGTGAACTGTAGTCTTATATAGCCTTTGTTATTTACCTTCGCATTTGCCTCCTAAGGGTGAGGTATGGGGAGGGGGGTGTATGTCATGACCTTCATTGTTTAGTAACATGTTCTGCACATAAAAATATTAACAAATAAAGTTAAAACAAGAAATAAGTATTATTCAGCTAAAACAATAGGTACCTCACATTGCAACAGCATTCTTATCAGCCTTTTTATAGGTTAAATTAATGATAACAGTAACACTTTCATTTATTAACACTGTTTTTATTCATCTTATGCAGGAAATAACAGAAGCATCTGCAAAAGATTTCTTTCTAAAGTCAGTCATAACAAGTATAATGTCTGTCCTTGTTACTCTGACTTTCCAAACGCTGCCATATCAAAGTCTTGAACAGGTGGTCTGTGCAGTATTTTAAAGCATTCCTGCCTCTATATACTGCCCTTCAGCTATGTGGCGCCGGCACTATTGAAAAGCTGTTATCTCACTTGACAATGCTGTCATTTTGAGTTACCTGAGAGTGGTTGATTTGACAGTTTAGACATGGCAGCTTATAAATAATTAAAGACCATTGTCTCCCAGTGTTACGAGGCCCGCAACCAAAAATTAAAGCATGGCTGTCCACACGTGTGATTTCTAACAGAGGGCTGAGTGGATCAGGCGACAAGAAACAGCTTAAAGGTGTGTCTTTAGATAGTGTTCCAGCACGCTAAGCCATTCAGCATGGTCTGCGTTAAAGCCGGGAACAAAGCAGAGAGAAAAGCAGATGCAGGCTTTACTCCCTGAACCCATGATCCTTCCTGATAGGCGCATAATGAGAACCAGAGGAGTGTTCACACCATAACACATACAAATCCCCATTCATTATTCATGGCAGATTAGCCTCTTCATTAAGAAAGAGGCGGGGACCAGGGGGCGCAGAGGGCATGAGAGAGAAGGAGTAGAAGTGAGTCTACATATATATGTAGCTCTGACCCGCCCACACACCACTGAAGTTAAGGCATGCAAACTGTCAAGCTAACAGGCATCCAGTTAGGACAGAGAGGACCAGAAACCGTGATCGAAGCAGACAGATCCTCTTGTATAAAGTTCAGGTCCCGAGGGCCCGCAGCTCTGCTTTGATACTGTAAACATAATGTGACAAAGCCCTTGTGCAGGAGGCTGGAAAATGTCAGTGTAGCAGAACTGACAATAGCACAACAGGACAAACTCTGTTACCAGGTCCTGTTAACCCTCATCAGCTGATTTAAGTTTGTGTATGTGCCTTTCATTAAAATAAATTAAAAATAACTTAAAATTAAGGGAACAAAAAGGTCTTTTAAACACCAACATTGAACTAAGTGTGTCATGTCGAGTCAAGTGAGTCCTAAACTGTGTCAACCTACGTGAAATGACTCCTTGTTGACTTTTATGGCAGAATGTGACTACCTCTGTTGTTAAGGCGGTTATTCCCTCTGTGACCTGGCATAGAAAGGTTTTAGCTTACCAGTGAGGTGAAGCTTTGTGGGACAACACAAATACTTCAACAAAGTCTGGTTCGATAAATAAATGAAATAATAGAAATATAATAAACTCAGCTTTTGGGATTATCATAGAGTACCATGCATGCAAAGTCTGGTAAGTTTTGCATGTTTTATGACACTGTTAAACATTGGCAGCACGCTCTGAAAGCAAATCCCTCTTTCAAAATGAGGAGGTGTGAACTCAAGGCGTCTTTTCAGCGAGTGATTGATGATGTGCGGTGTTATGAAATGCTCCGTCAGGGCTGAGCTGTGGGCTTTGTTGACGCTGACAGGTGCGAGATATTACCTGTTGGTATAGAGGTCCCACATGAGGAAAAGTACATGCTCAGACAGGCAAGATGGCTAACCTATTTGAAAGCTTGATGGTGTCAAATTAGCCCCAAACTGGAAGTTGTATCTTTGTCTATTATAAGATCTGTCAGCACAATCATCTCTGATATTAAGACACTAATGATGCCTAAACATGCATCGCTAACCACACTTCAGTCACTGGAGTCCTGCGTTGATCTCACACTCCATCATTGAGTTTAATTTACCATGTTGAAACCTCGGTACAATACATGTTGAAACCCAGTTTGTCAACTGGAGGTCATTAATGTGTCCTTTTAAAAAACAAGATCAGATAAAATCACTACTTGGCACTCAGGATATTGGCACAGATATAAAAGGATATGTAGTAAATCATAATGCACAGACATCCTGTGCTGAAGGCAAACTAACAATATCCCAAACACATTTTCAGGATGAAATATGACAAGCATGTTTGTTGTGTTTCTGGAGGATACGCCATTGCACAAGCCAACAGCAAGATACACATTATATAACTGCAATAACTCTCAGCACTCAGAGTAGACGCAGCACAACAGGCTTTTTCATTTTGTAATTATGTCTGACCTGTATGTACTTGACAGAGCCACTCTGATGGAGCAGCCATTCACTGTGTGAATTTACACGGATTTACACCATTATGCCAAAGACAAACCGCATTTCCTCCATCTAAAGCCTTTTAGCTCCTAGAAAAGACACATGTGAGGTGTAGTGTTAAATGAACAAGAGGCAACTGGGCACCACCAAACTAGTCTATCAGGCATGGGTAGTGGAAACTGAATGATTGTGTACTTTGTGTTATCAAAACAGTCTGGGTAGCTTAAAAAACGTCCCTGTACATGGGAATGTATAGTATTAACTGCATTACATTGGAAGTCAAAAAGAGTCAGAGTTGACATTTGGTTTCATGACTCCAGCCATGATCTCCAAAGTGAGAGTTTTATGATCGGTTTATCTCCTAACTTCTATCTGTGCCGTCATCAAAGTTAGAGCCACCATTTCCCGGTGAGAGCACACTGATTTACAAACCCTTCCAATCACATGTTGGACAATAAACACTAAAAGGTTATGTAAGTAAAGGAGTGATGTATATAAAGCTGATAGGAGGAGTAAATGCTCCACGTATCGCTTATTAAGTAACAGGAAATAACTTACTGTAAGGGAAGGAGAGACGAGGAGTGACATCGTTTTCCGTGACAGCTGTATGAAGGCAACCAACTAGGAGGACAATGTAGGCTGGGAGACAGAGCCAAGCCATACTCATTGCTCTCATGCCTCCTCCCCCCCAGGACCACCAGCCAACTTGCAGTATTTGCCTTTCAGGTTTGAAGCAAATTCATGAGAAGCGTCTTTCAAAAGCCGTGTTTGTTTTCCTTCCCTTCCTGCAGTTTTAGGCTTCTTAAATGGCAGGCATCTGCGCTCCCCGTGGCCTGCAGAAGATGATGCTGGTTTGAAATGGTTGTCTGTGACCTCAAAATAGGACAGAAAGCCTCCTCCGGTCAGCCTCCATGCATGCACGATGTTGCCAGACCACAGCTGAGATCTGCAAAGACAAAGAATCAAACAATTTTTCCCCAATTTCTTTGACAACAAAAGTACACGATGTCAAATGCATCAGCAAACTTGAGAAATAGGAAATATTGTATCTTCATCCCATGAACTGAACAATTTATTGATCAAAATTATTATAAAATGGGAAACTGAAAAAAATGTCTTGTTCTTAATCTTATACAGGTACAATACAGGCAGCACTTTGTACAGCTTCAAGGCTAAAGATGTCTTCCCATGTTACACACGGACTCATGAGCTCTTAATGACATGTCAAGTTGTTTTATAATCCTAACAAAATACAGAAATCAGGCAATGAGTTCACCCGAGCTGCAAGATCCACCATCTGTGAAGCTGAAGTTGACCTTAACCCCCTCTCTATAAAAACTGAGGCTGTAATCTAATGTCATCGCTTTCGTTTTGCGTAAATTAGGTATGATCATTAACAGAAAACTGCATAAACAAGATTCACACACTGCTCAGGTTAGGTGAACATAATAGCACCAGAAACTGAGTAACAACCTTGTGCTTAAACAGCCTTTATCACTGCATCTGAACCGCTCCTGTCTTCTCTATTGTGCCTTGCAGCGAGGAGAAATGAAAGCAGAGATTTCTTGGAAATCTTGTAAAAGCTTTAAGACAATGAAAACGGGTGACACCCAGTTAACTGCTCATATTACTGGAATTACAGGCCTTTCTGCCCCACGCTTTCCTTAGTTGAACCCGGGCTTTGATTACCAAGTGTTGAGAAATGGTATTTATACATGATACTGTAAATGACACTGTAATATGTTTGTTTTCATTCCCGCAGGTCATAGAGGGATTTTGGTGCTGCCTGCTCTCAGTCAGAATGAGGAATTGATTAAGATAAAAAGTGAACAAAGCCTCAGGAAATTGGTTCAATATTTGCGCAGGTCTACTGGTCACCCCTCTCATCGTAGTAGACGTAGCTGCAATTTAACTTTTATTTGAACTTTTCTATTTTACACTCAAGATGTAAAATACAGGCTAACTTCTTTATCCACAATGCCCCAAACCTGTTTTAAAAACACCACTACAAAGCTGCAGGACAAAAATTATTCTAGTTCAAGAATTCAAGGAGAATTTAGCGATGCTGATAAGCTGAAGACTAGCCAGACATCCCAGTCAGAACTGCAAATGCTCTATTACAGTTACTACAGGAGGCCTCTCATTAAGTGTAGCCAATGTGAGATCCAGTTTCATGCAAGGTACGGAAATCGATGGCTAAAAGGAGCAAGTGAAGCTATTCCTGTTTTCTATCAAGGGGCTCCTGACTCTGAGTCAATAAGCAGTCTGACACTTGTAGCAAACACAGACATCCCCAAACTTGACCTGCAAACATGACATTTGGAGGAAAAGGCCATGATGAAGGCCAGAGAAGAAGACTGAAAGAGCGATTTTTCTTCTGCAACAGAGAGACACACAAGACTGCTTTGTAATAAAACTTTATTAGGCTAAAACACATAATAAAGTTTTCAAATAACTCGGTTTAATGTTGAATAAGTTAACAGAGGAGCCCACAGATCAAAATCTTTCACTCTACTCCCAGCTCAATCAAGGATGCCTGAACATTGAAGAAAACTACCCCACAGCTACAGCTATGTGACTTCTACTGATCACGATGACAAACGCAGACGAGGTTTTGGCAAACTTCTGCCTTCAAAACCTGCGGGCAGGGTCACAGTCTGACATTTTTAGGACAATGCCCCCTGCCTGCAGCCTCCCCGATGCCAGTAGACTGTAACATGTAATAGACATCATTAGTGCCCTTTGTCTAGAACAATTCAAAGTGAGACACCACTTGAAGTTAACATTAATTCTGGCTTTGTGTGACAGTCAGAAAAAAAGAGGCCCACATGCATCCAGCTGAATCCGACTGAAGTACGTGGAGAGAGATCGACTCAGCGTGAGCGAGAAAACAAGGGCCCCTCTGACAGCGCGGAAATCTATATGCAACCCTGCACTTCACTGCTCTCCCCTGCATGATGCATAAACTGAATCATCCCTTTCACTCCCTACACAGACGTGACTGTGTGCTCTGGCTATAGTTGATACTCTCCATCCCTCTATGATCTCCTCTTAAATCTTCCTGGAGTCTCTCTATACATACCCTCCAGCTTTATATCCATTTAACGGAGTTATAAAACACAGGGGGTCTTATCAAACAGATAGGTTCTGACGGGCTCCTTTATTTGGATTAAGACAATACTCTTAGATTAATGCATTGAACTTAAGGCTCTCTCAGTAGATGGTTGACAACCTATTAAACATTGAGAGCTAGCACTAACCAGGTAATACGATTGGACAAGAGGCGAGTGCTGATAGAGAGTAGACTGACACTGAGCTTGTGCTGGTAATAATTCCTTCAATTATAACTCGATCCCATACACCGATATTCAAAGTGAAAGGACTGCCTCCTGTGTCCTGAATAGATATTTTTCCCATAAACGTGTGGAGTAAGGCAAGTGTTCTTCTGAGTCTTAAGGAATATCCATAAACTTCCTGACAGTCTGTGACCAACCATATCAACCCCCATCAGTCTCAGGATTAGAGGGGCCTTCATGTGTCAGAAGAGGTTAACCCCCTGAGCGCAAAAGTTCGCTCAGCACAGCTCGTAGCTCTTATAATCCAAAAGAGCTACAGGTTAAAAATTCAAGGCAACTCAGGAGATGTTTTTATCAACTTCAAGCCGTGCTAAACTGGGTTGTGACTCTGTGACTTGAGAGGGGAAAAAAAAACAGGATTTTGAAAAGGAGAGTGAGTGGAACCTGAAAAGCATCACGCGTCTCGGCTGGAAATAAATAAAACCCTTATTTGTCGCTATTTGATTAAGTTATAGCGGTATTGACCGCCCTTAAGGTGCGCATAATCAGTTCAGGTTGCGGTCCATTAACTGGAGCTCTGCCGGGAATAAGGAGGGTCCTCTGTGCAACAATAGTTTTGATTCATTTACATGTGGCTCTTGCAGTAATACTCCCACAGGCAGGTTCCTCCTTTAAAACGACTATGAACATTCCAGGTGATTAACTTCAAGACACATATTGCAAAAACTGACATTTCGCACACTAGAGCAAAAACTTTGAGGGATTTTTCTAAGTACAGTATTTGTCAAGAAGAGGAAATAGATTTATAGAAAGCCAAACAGCAAATTATCAAGCTCTCTAAAGTAGTCATTTCCAGTGATGCAGATCCTGATACACAGGAAAACTATCACTACATATCACTGTATGACTATCCAATGCCAGCACTAGTTGTAAGACTATTTTGTATTATAAATAGCAGCAGTGCGTATACTGCTTAAACAGGTGGCACCAACATTAGCATCAACATGCGAGAAGAGTGCGCCGGGTGGGGGGGGTCAAGGCTGCTTAAATTCCACACAAAGCCTGTTGACTGGAAAAGTGTGGACAGATAAATGTGACCTCTTGGCATGCCTGTCATCTCAGGAAGCCACCTGTACACACACACACACACACACACACACACACACACACACACACACACACACACACACACACACACACACACACACACACACACACACAAGCTGCCCACCTATGTCCCAACCATCAGACAACCCCCGTCACATGCTCCCAGATGTGGCCCCCGACCTGTGTACAACACCCCCCCTCTCTCCCACCCCCTCCACACACCTTCACCCTCCACATTGCTGAAGGACTCTCAGATGTGTGAAGGAGCAGATGTGTGAAGTGGAGGACATCGTCTGTCAGGAGAGGCTTTAATGGTGGTACACACTCGCACATATGGTCAGAGTGGCTGTTTAACGGGGGGGGGGTAGTGGTGTAGGTGGGCAGTGTTGACACAGTTCTGCTCCCATCTTACTGCCTCTGGCTTATCTTGGAGCCACTCCTCCAGATCTAAAAATGCTTATCTCTGAGTCAGACGTTACAGGAACTATAGCAGAGGTCTGACGTATGCATACCACCTGAATCCCCTTTATTCACACATCACTTCTGTCACGGATGGATGATAGCTGACCACGTTCACAGAGTAGCAACTTTTTATTGCTATCATGCACGGAGGAGGAGGAGGAGGAGGAAGCTCAAATGCTGATATTATGTCATACTGCTGTTAATCATTATACAAAAGTAGAAGATCTGGCAGAGATGATAAACTCAATGTGTCCACTTCATTGGCCAAATATAGTATGAGCAGTACAACTCCATCTCCCCTTATTGTCAAATGAAGGAAGCTAAACTGCCATTTGTTACAACAGGGGAAGCAGGGATAAGTACACTAGGGTGACCGTATTCTGACTTCCCAAAAAGAGGACACGACTACACGGGGACAGAGTCATGGAGTCACACAAAGTTGATTTTGAGAGTTTTTCAGGTTGGATCGAGAGTCTCTTACACGCTTCTAACCCAGGAAGTCCACGTGACACAAACTTGAAACTTACGTACAAAACCGCCGACATTTAAAGGATTTTATAAACTTCCCCTGACAAAGCCAGACAAGCCCGGACAGCCCGCAAAGAAGAGGACATGTCCAGGTCAAAGAGGACGTATGATCACCCTAAAGTACACTAAACTGCAGTCAATCATTGTAGCAAGTTCTGAATGTTGCAAGAGAGTACTGTCAGATGTACTTCAGTAAAAAACTTTTAGATACTGCACACACAGACCACCAACATGCTGTATGTTACCCCCGAAGTAATTCCTGAGATCTATACTAAGTGGTTCCCCTGAATGTGACAGCATCATGATCTGGCTCTGATACAGTACAAAACAATTTGACCTATCTATACAGTAGGGCTGGACGATATGGCCTCAAATCAATATCATGATATATTGAGCATTTCACCTCGATAACAATAAATGGACGATAAGTATTTCACAAGCTGCTCACCCCTTCCCACATTAACTTCGTCTAGTTCAGCCGCCACAACTTTTGAACCGTCCTGTATCTCCTCACCTGTCTTTCCCTCTTTGTTAGGGGCTGGATGGGGTCTTAAAGCATCTTAAAGGGACATGAGACCATAGCCTACCTACACACAACCAAAACCAACTTTTATATTCATTTTTTGACACTGAATACATTGACGTGGGCAAAATTACGTTTATTGTCATAAATTTCGGTATCAGTAAATTTTTGGTTTATCGCCCAGCCCTACTATACAGTCAAGCGCTTTAGCAGTTTGATGAACTGCAGTGCTCATCGTTGAAACATTTCCTAACTTTAATGAGGTATACATACTTTGTGAATTAGGAGCTCATGCTAAGTAAGAAGTCAACAATTAAAGAAAGAGGCTTATAAACTGATTCACAATTAGCTGAGGCGATCCAATCCAGTTCTCTGTCCAACAGAAATTCAAAAGTCTGTACTCTGTTTCTGATAGGTGACTGAAGTCTGCAGAGAATTACTCTCTCTTTCCTCCTAACCGATTTTAAACCCAATCCCCCGACCCAGCTAGGAGTAATTAATGGTTCGTTTTTCCCAGAGTGAACCATACAGCAGTAATTATGACCATATGCTGTTCCAAAGACTTTAATTGCCTAATTAAAATCTTATTAAACTATTGAACAGAGATAGGAGACATCTTGAACTCAAGGTTCAGAGGAGTTAAATTCATCAGGCCTTCTTCCCCTCTGGGGTTTGTGACACATGGTCAGAGGTTAAGAGTTTTATCACAAGTGCTGACCTCTCCAAACATCCCAAATTTCAAGCTAAGAATGTATTGATGGAAAAGTGTAAAAATATGACTGTGAAAATGGAATAAGCACATTTCATATTTCATCACTTCTATATTTCAAAGCCCATAGAAGGGCCTAAATCAACCCTGTTTCAGTAGGGAAAGTATTTGAAATGATATCCCATTTCATTCCATTTCCCTTCTGTGCAAATTTCCATAGCAGATGTGGGGCCAGAAGAAGCAGCTTGCTGATGAAATGTTAAGTAGCAAAGCAGGGTCTGACGCTGGGACTGCTATTACTGGCTGGGCCAAAGTGGAGGAAAGAAGAGCAGCAGAGTCTGAGTGGTAAGACACAAAAGTACTTTAAAACTCAGAGAGGCACAGGGCTGAAGCTAGAGGCAATCATACCTTTTACTTTCCAAGAGTGTCATAAGTATTTTTATCTAACTCATCAAGCTGTTACATGACGCTGGAAATCACATGACTAACTGAACTCAACTGAAAGTTTTCAACTAAGACATTTAAAATTTAAGACACTAAATTCAACGACAAAACTCTGTACTTTTAATTGTCAATCAACCTCTTTCTTTGGAGAAGAAAACCATCATCATTTGAAGTATGAAGAGTTTTATTTCTATTTTACTCTTTATCATTTATATTACGAGTATTTTGGATCCTTCTTGACAAGTTTTGAAGCCACTATCGATTCACCTTAACATTCCACGCTCTGCTCCAAAGTAAAACACAAAAACGTTTAACCAATTACTGTGTGACCTTAGCTTGAAGCTGCAGCTGTTTTTACACCCGCTGCACTCTGATGTTAGTTACTTTAAGTTCCTCAGTTGCTGCAGGAAAATGAAAAGAACCTCAAATAGCTGCTCTGAATAAAAATCAAGGCAAGTTTATATATAAAGTTTCCTATGTGAAAATCATCTGCAAAACTTAACATCACCTTTACAGAACCCACTGATGATATGAACATATGAACCTCTTATAATGCTCTTATATTTTATCACTTGTCATTTTCATGACACACATGAAGCACATGCTTTCAGAATAGCCAAAGGACTGCTCACTGCACATGCTGTCCCTATAGCTGAAAACTATCTTGAATGTGATTAAGGTTACATTTTGTTGGGAAAGCCTACATCACTACTCAATTATCAGGTATCAGGGTGCTGCTGATGCTTCTTCTACTCTCATGAAAGTCTCGCTCCCCTACTACTGTACGCTGTAGTAAGACAAAGCTATAGCTTTAAATGTCATATCCAGTAGTCACTTGATCACAGGTTGTGTAAGAGTCAGGAACAGCCAAAGAAAATGTGACTGAATACAGTCCAGTCCAGTAAAAGCAACATATTCATCAAGGGCTTTTTACAAGAGATATTTAAAAAAAAAGGATTATATTGTTCGGTGCGCTTGAGAAAATGTTGAGGCCTGTGTTTTTATGAGGGCTTCTGGCATTTCACAGACACAGGTGAGGAGCCATTTCAGTCCTGGCTACTGTAAGTAGGTCAAGCCTGCTTAAACACTCGTCTATTCTCAGTGTCGCCTCGTATTGCCATAAAATCGTGTCTGCATTAAGTGGAGTGGAATATTGACCTTTGTCGAGTGAGTGCTGGTAATTACATAGCAACAACCAACAGCACTTCAACTCACTTGGTCTTGTTTACCTTTACAAATTTCTAATGTTATCAACCTAAAATAAGGGACCGCAGAATTCTGTGGTTTTACTGGGGGTAATATTATATGTTCATGTACGATCACTCGATATGTTATGTACTAAAGCTGTGAGACATTTGTTTTAAAAATCTGTTATCCTAAAGACAAGACAATTTTGGAAAATAAGCACTTTGTTGACTCTAGAAGATTGTTTAAATACATTGACCAATCAACGACAACCAAGTACTAAAATATTTACCCTCTTCAAAATTGATTAGGCTGCTGTGGCATCCATGAAAGGCCGTAAACAAAGTGGTGTGGCTCTTCTCCCTTGATGTCTGCAGAAAGAAGCTGCATGCATTCCAGTAGCTTAGAGGCTTAGACAGAAGCTCAGGCTAAAGGCCACTGGGCAAAGAGCTGCGCACATCCATCACTGTGCAAGACCGATAAAAGGCTCAGAATGTCCGCTTCTCCACATGTCCATCAACCACGATCTACCGACCCGCCTTGAACACATTTCACAGAGTTTTGATGGTCCACAAAGCACGGTGTAAACCCATAAGATCATACTCTTAGGTTTGAAGGGTTTTTAGTCTCTGAGGACAACTGTAGTGCTTTGAAAGGTGCGCTGTGATACATTTTTGTAAATAAAATATGAAGGTTTTTTTTCAATAAATAAATTAAAGTTGTGTCGGAATACAATGCTGATAAAACAGAATGGTTGCATCCTTTGTTTTTAACGTTTCTTTCTTACGGAAAACACGCAAAGCCAGTTTTTGTGGAGTGGTTTAATCCTGTAATGTCATCATACACGTTGAGTCCCTGGCAGTCTAACTCTTACTGTGGAATATTTTATCACTTCATCCTCACCTGCAATTTCAGGAAATAGTCATTACATTAGCACCAATGGATGAATGTGTTACCCCTGACTAACTGTTGCCACTGTGCATGAAAATGCTTGGATATGTCTTCAGGAAAATGAAAGTACTCTGTCCTAGGTTACAGACATTTTGAGATGATTACTCTACGATCAGGTCGAGGGTTCTGGGAAAAAAACATTGTTATGGGTCCTCTCCGGGTTCTATTTGGTCTCTCTGTTGGCTCTTCTTTTATGAACCCAATGCAGCCTTTCTCATGGCTTAAGGATGTCATGTTTTCTCTTCAATCAGAAAAGATAGCATGCTCGGTAATGGGTGCTTCAGCCAAATATGTCAGTAAATGGCAGTCCTTCATAGAGTATTTAAATTCACTGCAGACCTTGCCCCTGGACTGATCCTTCTCTTTAGCCTTCTTATTTGTCTGCATGTGATGATACTTGTATTTGGGTTTTTTGTCATTGTTTTGTTGTGTTTTCACATGTTTCAATTTTTTGTATTTTGAGTTTGATTTATTTTTCTGTACGGAGACCAATGTTCTAGTGTTTGCCTTCCTTGTGAGGGCCTGGGTTTGTTTTGGGAGTTTGGGATGAATGGGAAGTAAAAGAAAAAAAGGGGGAAACAGGAAAATGTGATATGAGTGTAACCGCATTTTATGAATCCGTTGCTGTTTTTCTTGTTAAAAAGATTAATAAAAAGAAAAAAAAAGAAAGTACTCACAACTGCCACCTGAAATACATTTTTTTAAACAATATGAGCACAATCTACTTTACTTGAAGAATATATAAGGGATGTAAATAGGAACTGAGCCAAACAAACATTGCAAGGATGCTTCCTTATGCCAATATTTCTGGCTCTTATCGAAACGTGTCAGATCTTTATTTGACCTTTGTATTTGGCGCATACTCCACATTAAGATATCTGAATGGGGCCTGGCTCTCCCCTTTATGTGGGGTCTGAGAGAGGTGCAGCTGCCCCCCACACACGGTGACCTCACTTAGCAAAGATCAATAGTGAGCTACGCATTCTTTGCCCCAAGTCCACAGGAGTCACTTAGGCCTTGGTATCCCAGTCATCCGAGCCATCCAGCGAATCCTTTGGCATGCTGATATTTGGGGTAAATTCCAATCATTGATATACAACATCCAAGACGACCAGACATGACCTTCAAGGGCAACATATGTGGTAAACTTTATATGGGAGATGAACTCTTGTCACTCAAGAGTGTCACGCTATGGGCCGTGCTAATTCATGCAACCACGGGAAAATCTGTCAAGCCTCCAATGCTCAGTTTAGATCTGATTTTTCATGTTTATACTTCACATTTTTCTCTCTGCCCTTTTCCACTTTCCCTGTCAGCTGCACCGTACAGAGCCGAGCATGCAGCAAAGTGCTGGAGCCCACATTGAACTCCAGGCTAGATAATTAAATGGCTGACTGACTCTTCTATTTAACCAGACAAGCATAATAAGGGGATTAGCAACCTATCAGATGACAGAGTTCAGTGTGCTTGGCTGCAGGTATACAGGCAGATATCCTATTTCACATGATTTGCTAATAACTGAGAGGTTGGAATAAATAAGTCTTCCTTTAAGTAAAATGTATGGAAGAAATGATGTCTTAAATAGCAAAACAGTTTGTGAAACTTCTAGGTCAAATCTTGTTGAAGGTTTCAAAGAAAGCCTTGAAGTTAAAGCATCTTTTTTCTTTTTTGCAGTGGAGCAAAAACCCAAACTAGATTGCGTGTGAGATCCTGATGCGTTGACACAGCACCCAGACCCCCATAGCAGGATGCGTGTAGGTGGCAGCTGATGTCATGGAAAGATGGAGGTGAAATGAACTCTTTCTAGAAAGTTGAGCCTCTTCATTGTGATATAAGAGCATGCATGCACACCCTCAGACAACTTCACCTACTTTTTACACAATAGGGTAGGAGCGGTCAGTGATGTTGCAACCCTACACAAAAGAATCTTAGTGTATTCTTTTGATTATAAATCATAACAGATCAACTTTTAAGTCAGAAAAGAAAAAATCTCATTTAGATTCCTTAATACTAGAAAAAAATGGTGAAGTGCAGGTTAAAGGAAACATTGTTATGTCATTATAGGACAAATGTTTTTGCCCAATAAGGGGGCAGGTTATATTTTACTTTGTTGTTTAGCTATGATAAGAAAGACACAAGCAGAGGCAGAATCGGTAGAAACACTGAGAAAACACAGCCCACATCACAGACTGCAAATAAGATCACTGAGAACATCGTGTCTCAATCAAAAATCTTCATCTGGAATTTCTGGCTTTTTTCACATGAAAAATCTTGACCCATTTTATGTTTGTAGTCAGAAATACAAATGACATATTTACTGTACTACTGTACACCATGACGCATCCTTTCTTTCTGCTTCCTAAACTGGTACCATCTACTGACCGGTGCAGAAGTCACAGCAGGTGAGAAAAAAGCATGTAAGTGTCAGTTCTGTGAGCTTAAACTGCACCTGCATGCCGAACATTTTCATCCTCTCCAGATGTCTGGAGGCCTCGCTAGACCCAGCGCCAGCACATCTATTACTGTCTCCTCCACTGGCCAGACTCTAGTGGATAACTGCCAGAAAGAAAGCAGAGATGCAGGAGGGGGGGATCAGAGCCCTGCAGCCACTCACGCTGCACAAAAAGTGCTGAAAGAGGCCAGAAGACGGCTTGTGTGCTGTGTCTTAATATATCACATCTTCAATCCAATCTGATGAATTATTCAGACTGTGCTATCTACTGTGCCTCTCACCTAAAACATCTGCCCTGCCAGCCTGTCTGCCAGCTCTGGCTTACTCTCTGTCCTGCCACAGGAAGCTTTTAGTCTGCTGCTGTCCTGTGGTCTCAGTTACATTTAACCCCCTCCCTCTATCTCCGTTTCCATCACTAAGACTGGAGGAATACGGCACTGAGAGATTATATTACCATGTCAAAGATCTGTCTCTACAAGGTTTTCAAAAGAAAACAGGATCTTTTTCGCTACCGTGCAAATATCTGTGTTGACAAAACTAGGGTGAGCTCAAGAAAGCAGTGCATATTACTTGTTGTCTGATCAAGTATTTTTCCTCTCTGCAAACACATCACTATTGGGAACACTGAAATGACAGAAAACTGTTGGGTTTGGCGAAGCAATGCAACATACAACATGAAAGGTGATGCCTTCATGACCCAGGCGGCTTTATTTGCACAAAAAACTCAAGAGGGAATAACTTTTTCAGAGGACTTAAAATTTTGGTAAATATTTATGCAAAGACAGCAGCGTATATCAATATCAAAAACAGCTTATTTACAGTACGCCAATTAAAGGCCTGTGATCAGAGACTTGCGGCAGGAATGTCTGTAAGGGTCAGTGGCACCATTAGCAGAGTAAAGGGCACAACCTGGAATGCAAAAAGATATCAAATCACTGTGTTGGGGGAGGGACAGACTGCTAAACAGGGCACGGTTACAGGCTGATTCCATTAATCAGGACTACACAAGAACTCATGTCAGGAAACACACCAACATGGCCGACCACTAACAACCACCTGATGCATGTTTGCTGTATGTGACACCTAATAGTCGTCCACTACGTTGGGGTTAAATGGACACATAGCTCTGAGGTTTCAAATAGAACTTTATTATTAAACATGCAAGAAGAACAGGTGTTTGCTGAAGGGTATGTGGGAAACACACCCTCAAAGAGACAGTTTTGCAGTTCTCACAGCAGCACACGAGAAATGCTGACATGCATGTAAACATAATCCACATGTTTTCCAAAGAGCTCCTTTGCGGGCTTGTTTACGGTTAGAATACGTCACTGCAACAAACAGAATAGGTCCCCTGGAGCTCTTGCGACATTTGTGACTTATTTTGTGCGTGCTTGTTGTGGGTTAAAAGTCACATCTAAGTTTCCCTGACAGACAGGACTGAACACAGCGATCTGGCCATGTTCCATGTCCTCAGTCATTTCCCACATCGTGGCACAGTGCTGGACTGGGAATAAACAGAGGAGCCCGCTGTGCTCCCAGAATGCATGTTTGCAGAGTTCCCATCAGTGAGTACACAGTAATAGGACTCCCTGAAGGCCTGCATTTAACCTTTAGGTTACAAGTGGCTGGCCACTCCACAAGCAACCCCGCCTCTGCCTCAGCGATTAACCCTTTTTGTTCCTCCTCATCCTTGTCCAAGTTGAAAACAAACTATAAAAAGTCAGAGAAAAATATCAAACATTTTCAGGATCATGCAGAACTATGACTGTCATATACTCACTCCTCAGTCTAAAATAAATAAACTTTATATCACTTCTCTAAGACCAACATGAAGAAAGAAAACTCATATCCTAACATCTGTAATTCAAAGACAGCTGGTCAGAAGGTCAAAAGCTTTGTCAAAAGTTCCCGTCATTTAAATCTGAAGTTGCAAAACTCAACAAACCAATCATAAAAAAACAGAATTAACACGAAAAAACGGTTATTCCTGGGAATTTTCTGTCCTGTAAGAGACAACAACCAACTTTGGACAAGCTGATTTTATTAGGCTGTACTGCTGCATGCATATTTTTTGTCTTTAAAGAAAACCGTTTCTCTCACAAATTGAAAATCATACCTTTGTTACTGAGTCTAAAATGTGATCTGAAGCAGAACACAGCACTTTTCAAACCCTGTAACTTGACATTGTGTTGCCATTACAAAGTCTAATATAACATTCAAAACACACATTCATACCAAGAGAAATATAGAAAAAAAATGAATTCCCTCTTTCCTGAACACACACTCACACTCAAACACACACACTGACAGGGAGAGAGCCAACCTGTCTTTCCAAACAGAGAAGGAGAGGGATCAGAGTGGCCTAATGCTGAGAAATGCCCTTGGGATATGCTGACAAAACGGAAGTACATACATATGAGGCCAGCGTGGGAGATTAATCGGTTGTGAAACTGTATGATTTATTTTGTCTTCTCTGAATAGATTTAGTAAACTGCAACAGGTTGTTCACTGCTTAGAAAAAGCTTTATGATCCACAAACAGCATTTATAACTTAGCTTATTTTCTCCTCAGCAGACTCCATGAAGCTCTACGAGAGGTCTGTTCTGGGAAAACTAAGGTTTTTTCTCAGTGAGCCACTATCATCATTTTGACTTGATTTTAGCAAAGAAATCTGGATTGAGGGTATTGATGGTCAGGCACCATGCTTTATCAACGAGCCAAAGCTTTTCTGACAGCATCATACAGGCAGCTCATTGTGGAGACCGCCGGCATCCAGAATGCAACTGCCAGCTGTTTTCTTTGTGGATCAACGCGAAAGAAAACAGCAGGCCAAGGTCAGCACAGACATGCTTTTCTCCCGCAGCAGACTGATGAATCTCCAAATACGAGGCCATAAAACAAAACGTGTCTCTGTCACAAGAGTTAAATTGTAGTCCACCTGCTAGTGGACAGCTCAAACACTCTCAAAAATCATGACAGCTTCTCTTTTTCACCAGCCATCGGGTGTTGTGCTGCGTTCAAGTTACCTCTGAAGTCACTAGTCCGAGCTGGGAATGAAGTCACACCCGAGTTACCAGCGTAAGTCAGAAGAAAGCAAAATCGGAGGCAGAAACAAGATGGCTACATCTACGAAAGTTATTTTAGTGCTTGCCTTGTGCGAATATAAGCAAGGACAAGGCACGCACTAAAATAAGTTTGGTAGATGTAGCCATCTTGTTTCAGCCTCCGATTTTGCTTTTTTTTGACTTTTTCGAAACGCTGGTAAGTCGGGTGTGACATATTACCCAGCTCGGACATCTGACTTCCGAGGTAACTTGAACGCTGCATTAGTTCACTACTTGAGGATCTGAATTTTTAGGCAGGTTTTTAATCCAGAGGGTTTCATGCCAGTTTATGATTTGAAAGTTGAAACTCGCCCCCAAAAGTTACTCTGTGAAAGCAAATTGCTAAAAAAAAAACTATTTACACATCCATTTCCCATGAAAGGAAAATAAAACTTTGAGTTAATTCATGCAGGAATCGCATATCAGTCTCGCGCCCCAGCTGTGATCAGCTGAGTGGCAGCAGATTGGATCATTGTTTCTAGTCCCCCTTAAAAACCAATTACAGCACATCCTCACAACAAGGCGGCCAATTTAAAACACCTGCTCACTGATCCCTGCTGTACACCAATGCTGCTTGCTCTCAGCCTCTAGCAAAACTTTGCCCTGACTACCCAGGTCTCCTTCTGTAAGCCTTGTTTTACGCTTGAACTCCACGTTTAGCTATATCACGCTGCTTGGCTGTCATTGGAAGCATCCGTATGAGCCAAACTACAAGCGCAAAACATGATTGTATATCCATTTAGCAAAAAAAACAGTAACATCCATGACCAGTGATGACTTTGAAAAGTTTTACAATACTCATATCTATCAGCCAAAGAGGAGAGAAATCTCTGTGCCAGCCTTTAAAATAAGACACTAAGCCAAGAAAGAAGAGTATTTGCATGATCAGATGCTGGATAAGAGATAAAAAGAAGTTGTAAACTGAGTTGAAATGAAACACTGGCTTTTTTTTACGTGTACCTAAGAGGCACTACATTGAGAACATGAACACTAAAGCTCTCTTCACTTGTGGAAGACAAATAGTTCCTGTTATTTCACAAAACAGTTAGCTTTGCTGAACTCTGTTGACTCAAAAGAGGCAGCTTGAGAGCTTTTTAGTTAAGAGGTACTTGGCAGTCAAAAAGTAAGGAAAAGGAGTTCACAAAAGTCTAGTGCTGACCTTCCCATTGACTCACGACAAACTTTTCCATTTTAGGTTGTAATCCATTAACTACCACCCACACTGCTAAAAGTCTGGCATCGGTCTCCATTGTGCTGCCAGCAGCATGTGGGAGGGAGATTTGAATCTCACGTAGCAACACCTGATGCTTCTGTGTCTTAGTTGACAGCATCCCACTATGAACCCAAAATAGAGTCACAACACAAAAACTGTTCGATGATTTGACACCCAGCGCCACACACTGCACACTCTGTGTTTATATTTATGCTCTTGCGCTCAACCCTCAGATTTTCCAAACTCCTCTGAGTTGATGCTCAATTTTTCCAGTGTTTGGATATTATGTATGTGTGCACTAGCTGCTTAATTCACCAACTCCTCTCTGTGAGGAGGCCCCAGGATCACTCCTGATGAGACTCAGTTTAAAGACTAAGAGCCATCTGTGTTACGAAACATACAAGCCAGAAAGACTCTAAATACAAACACACACCCTGGTAAATAGCTGTGTTTCCAAAGAAAATAAGTCCAAGATCAACTTCTCTAAATGCAAGGGTAGCTCCTACACAAACACCCACAAATACAAGCACAGGACACAGAGTGAGAGAGAAGGAGAGAAGGAGAGAGAGAGAGAGAGTTCAGGCCAGGTCTTTAATGACCCCCTTGCCCTGCTATCACTTTGCGATAAAGACCTGCTGAAGAGGGAGGGGGACTGTTGCGTCTCAGCTCACACCCACTTATCCCCTAACAGAGAGAAACTAACAAGGAATCCCACACAGACTTAGTCATAAAAAGTTTATAGCCCTCTAACTGGGAAATGACAGGTTATCCTGGCATAACTCCAATAGGTAACCAGACCTGCAGCGTACTCACATCAATGATTCATGAAGCCGAGGCGCCACACAGTTAATGAACAGAAGGATGGTCTCTTTAACAGCACTACTTACCCTCTGTCTCAGGGAATAAAAAGCTTCCTTCAGGTGTTAAAAAAGTTTCCTTGAAGTGGCACGAATAAACTGATCCCTCCCACAGAAAGCGTCTGAAGAAAGTCCACAGAAACAGCAGTTTGCAGCTCTAACGGAGGACAGGTCCACACTCTCCCTCTGCCTGACACAGTGTCGTACTACAGTCTGCTTACAACTGCTCAACATGCTGGAGCTCCTCCCATCACACGCTGTCAGTGTGAGGGTGGGAGGGAGCTAGAGGGGGAGCGAGACTGCGAGGTACACTAATACTGACTGATCTTGACTTAGTTTTTTTTGAGCAGTCAAGTTTTTATTACATGTTATAAAGAGGAAAAGGTGTACACAAAATATTGTTTTGGAATAAAAACAAGATTTTTGAACCTGTTTCAACATGTTTTTATAATTACAAATAAAATCAGGTTTGTGTCATGACAGCAGTTTCTTTCCTTCAGGCAAATTTCATGTGTTTTCTGTCTAAACTTTAGTCGCAGAGATAAACGAAACAAAACCAAAACTGCTCCTACATATCCTGTGATTTGTTAGTCACAAGACTGACAATTTTCTGCTGTTGAGAAATCACACTCATTCAAAAACTCATGACAGAGTTACACAAGAGCAAATATTTAATCAACATGCTATGAACTCATGATGTGACCAGGAACTAGATCAGTCAAAGCCCTAATCACAGTGAACATGGCCTTTGAGCTCCCCCGGGGAGTAGGTTTCCTTGTTATAGATCGCAGATGTTGAAATCTCAGCCAGATGCTTGCTACCAAATAAGGACCAACTTCAATGACTGTAATTACCAGTAACGTCAGCGCTTTGTGCCCTTCATCATATTAGTCTTTTAACTGCTGCCTGTGGGTTTTGTTTAAAGGAGAAGATTGTGTGAGTTAAGGCTACTCTTAAAGGGATATTCCGGCGTAAAATTAATCTAGGGTCAAACACACTGTAACACCAGGTTAGACAGCCCATCAAGAGATGAATGTTGATGACTGCTTGCTTCTCTAAGTTATACAGACTTTAGTATCGACCGCACGATAGCAATACACAGCGGTCTGAGGGGCCATAAACAAACCTTAACCAAAACACCACTCTATAGTCACAAATAATGCTCAGAAACACACCTAACTTCACCAACAGTACATATAGGGTCCCAGCCACAGCACTAGCCACCAAACACCTTTTTAACTTTGCCTAATTTCTTTAGCAAAGAGACTAAACACAACTCACCTACTCTCTTCCAGCAGCCGCTTGTTTGTAGCGAGACCTTGGGCCAGTCCATTGCAGACTGCAGCGGGGTGACGCAGCTCAAGGAAGAACATTTATGATAATTTCTTCATGGAAATGCAATCAGACTGAGACGCTAAGGCAGAAGAACTTCCACGTCTGCAGTGCAAAATGATTAATATGGTGATTATTACTTCAAGGAAATGATAATGTAATGATCATAAATGTTCTTCCTTGAACTGCAGGGTGTCTAACTCGGTGTTACGGTGTGGTTGACCCTAAATTAATTTTATGCCAGAATATTCCTTTAAGTCCTAATTAACTTGAAATTAAGCTCCCTCTTCAACTTCATAAAAGTTGGCACACACGTTACACCCTGTAACTTGCAAACTACTTTACTGCACAGTGCAGAGCTTTTTTAAATGAGAGACTCATGCTTTACTCCAATACTGCTTCTTTTTAACTTGAGCTCATTTACTTTTTCTTAAGGATTAATCTCTTGATTTTCAAATCAATTATGGACGCAATAACCTAACTACAGCACAAAACTTTTAACTTTGGAAAGATCTGCTGTGCTAAGGGCTCCGCAAAGGTTACATGAGGAAAAGTCTTTGAGCTAGTGTGCAAGTTCAGTCACAAAACAGTTCCAAAATAATACCGACCTTTGCAAGGACACCGTTTTTAGGCCGTGACACTGAAGGTACAACAAGAATGAGGCAACAGCATTAAAAAAGTAGTTTCATGGTATGGAAAGGGGACATTCTGCACATACTGCTCTCCATTTTTCAAGAATAGAACCTCTGTATCCTGGGGACCCCCACTTTCAAAAAAGTTGTACAACTTCTGCATGTTTGTACATGATTATACAGGGGAAAGGGGATGTGCATGTGGGTTTTGAAAGATATGCAGAACTAATTCTCTCCGACGTGTGAAGACACTCATGTTACAGTCGAGTGTTACCAAATAACTTCTCAAGGCTTTTCCAAAAATATTTCCAGGGTAAATAGAGAGACGTGTGAGATAGCGGGTGCTGAGATGGGGACGCCTGTTTCTAAAATAGAAGATGCTAATTATACACTTTAGGCAACTGCTAAGGAGGGAGATGTGTTGCCAAATTTGAAGTGTTGGGATTCTGAATGCTTGCTCAGTGTGTATCTCTGCAGAGTCAAGATTCCTAGCCGGTTACCTGAGAGGTATTTAGGCCATAGCACGAGTTCTTTGGATGACTTATTTACAGTCTGTGTTGGTCTGATACTTCATTCAGTTCAGTGGGACCACCTGCCACTGCCATGCAGTCGACCTTTTCTGAACAGTCCTCAGAGCATAAAGGACCCCCCCCTCAGCAGACACCCAAACTCTGACGGCTGGTCCTCTACAACCATGACCCTCTGTCTCTGATCTCATGATATTGCTTTTATATAAACTGTTTCAAGTCCATTTCTGAGCTAAAATGGCTAACTGCCTCATTCTGATTGGTTGGCCAAAACAGACTTATGCTACTTTCCAGTTGTACTCGGAGGTCAGAATTTCTGAGCTCTGAGTCGGAAATTCCTCTGGAACAACCCCCTGAAGTCGGCTTACTGACTTGGAAAGTCAGGCGATCCTCACCAACCCTGACTTGACGACAACCTCATATTCCAAGATGGCAGCGCAGTGCATAAACAGTAAAGAGTGACAATGAAAGCTCTCGTAATGTTTAATTTATTAGTGCTTCTGTTTTGTTTGTGTGAAATTAAATAAATGGTATATGTTGTACTGCCCAACATCTAACTGTGAACATGGTGCTATGGTGTTTGTAAGAGTAAAATACTGTTATACATTGTTTACAACTGGTATCGCGAACAACAACTAACAACAGCCGACAACCACTAACAACAACTGACAATGGCGACGACAGCTGACAATTGTAAACAACAGCTAACAACGGGTAACTGTAGGTGTCCATCTTGGTTTTCTGACTTGTGAACTGGAACACCGTCAACTCCGGTGTAACGTCATTCCCAGTTCCGACATCCTACTTCCGAGGTTACTGGAATGCAGCATTAATGTGGAGAATCTAGAATCTTTACAATAATAGGCAGAATAAATGTAGAATGAAGTTAATAAAATCAAAAAATTCACCCATTGATGGATATTATGAAATGTTTTTCAGCTGCTGATTGATTTGAAAAGATGTCATCTCTAAAATTTCTGAATTTTTAAAAAGTTAGATATTTTTATCTTATCTTAAGCCTTTTGTAGTGCTGATAATGACTTGTCTGGGTACGAACAATAACAATATGCACTGATCAACAGACCATATCCGTGTCATGATGACCACTGATAAGTGGAATTAATAACTGATTGAGATGATTGAATAACTGAGCACTTTGTCCTTATAGTCCAAGTGTTGAAAGCTGAAAAACTGGTCTTATGTAACTTTGACAGGGACCAAACTGTGGTGGCTAGATTACAAAGGAACTGACCAGTCTGCAGTGGTCAGAAAGGAAAACCGGTGAACCAGTGATAGGGCTATAGGCAGCCAAGGCTCACTGATGAATGTAGAGAGTAAAGGCTAACCCAACTGCAGTTCAGCTGCTGAATGCTGGTTCAGATAGAAAGGTGTCAGAATACACTGTGCATCACAGTCTGTTGTGTATGGGACTGTGCAGCTGCAGACTAGTCAGGGCGCCCATGTTGACTCCTCCTCACGGCTGAAAGCAGAAACCGGAAGTATGAGCTGATAATGAGAACTTTTTTTTATCAAAATTAATCCGACAATATCAACATCAAGCTGACAAAAGAGTACAACAGCTTTCACCTGTTTGTGTATGCTTCTCACTAAGTGAGGGGCAATTAACACAACTGCAATTTGCAACCCTTGTGCAATAAGCACTCTGAGAAGGGAAACAGTCAATTTACAGAATTAATGACGCATATTTTTCCAAAGGAGAAAACAAAATAAAGTGACTTTGATGAAAGCCAGCTTAAATATTTTTAAATCTGAGAAAAGCTTGAAAATGTGAAGAAGTCTGCCCTAAATGTAATAACAATGACACCAGAACAATAATACTCTATAACTAGACTGAAGAGAAGACTAAGTTTGATCGTTCTCCCAGCATGCTTCACACACAGCTGGCAGAAGTGCTGACAGGTCATCCCATACAAACCAATAAGAGTTGAGGATTTAGAGTGCAGAGATAAGACTCAGTGTTTCACATATTAGCTTAATGGAAACGCACCAGATAGCAGCTTTAGCGCTGCTTAGAGAGCCACTGAGGCTGACAGAGGCACGGAAAACAGCTAAAAAAACTTGAGCGCAGAACTCTCAGCCTTATGTGTTAATTTCCATTTAACTGTTGTAATGTGTTTGTTAACACAGCGCTGTCCAATGTGTTAAATCACAGCAATACTGTTAATCACAGGCCAGGAAAATGTGGCAACTCTGTCCACTATCTCCTCCCTCCCTATGTTTCTTTAAATGCCTATATGCTTTGTGCTTTTATCTTAGCAGCCGTATATTGCGGGAGTAACATGCAAGGAGCTGCACATATGGAGTAGGGGTTCAGTAAGAAGAAAGCACTACAACATCAACACCATATCATAATTTCAGAACAAGAATTACTGTGAACATGTGGTGAGAAATATTCCACCTCAATGCAAGAACACTGCTAAGCATCTTACAGTTTGTCAAGTAGTTGAATGGTAACAGCAGGATGACGCTCGACTCCAAGCATCTGTTCAGTGCTAGCAGTGAAAAGAAATATACCAGTAAGGACACTTAAGCTACAAAAGTGCCCAGAGTTTCCCAGTCAAAGCCTCACCTTGTTTTCACACTCCTTCTGCTTCTGCTTTGGCCTCATTTAAAAGCTTCAGTCTTTATGTAAAACCAGGTCACTGCAAAAGTTTGACTTTGATGAGTCATTATTTGTGCAGGATTTGAATCTTTAACTCCTAATTCACAGTTTTCCTCTTAAGTAGCTTAAAGGTTAATACACTCTTATTCCACTGTCTGGAAGTGTCAGCTTGCTCAAACTCCCTGTTAAACCTTTATGATGTTTGAACTGAGCGAAATACTGAAACACTTGCTTTGATTGAGCGCTGCTTGATCCGTCTTTGATAAATGATTTGTGTTTTGCACTTTGAGGACAAGCTCAATGTTGATGAGTGTAACCAGGGTCTTCCCTGAGCTGTAATGTGGATCTTTATCAAAATCATGCTTCGTGTTATTCTTATGAACAAAATCTTTCTAGCCGCTCAGGTGAGTGAGTTGTTGGGTTAAGTACCAGCTTAAATGGCTCTGCGTGACCCACATATGTGATGAGTGACTCATTTGGTTATTGAGTGTGACTGGTTCAGCATGTTAAGTTAAAAATACGATAATATAACCAGCATACGATCTCTTCAGATGGCGTGGTGGAGGTATCATGTTGAAGTGTTTCATCCTGTGCTTTTTTTAGGGGGAAACTATGACACTGTGAAGGCTCTGCATGCCAAAAGCAAAGGCAGTACTCCACTACACCTGACTCTGTGGCTCTCCAACAGAGGGTGTTTGTGGGATGAGTGCCCTCCGGCTGGGGGGATATGCCAACCAGCCATCCAAGAGGTGTGTGTATGTATGAGAGAGCTCTTTGTGACTCACCTCTTGTTCTTTCATTATACTGTTGCATACATGCTTATTTCTTTTATGTCACCATCCTATCAGTTACTCATTATTCTGAAACCAATACTGAAGTTCCCAGCATTACCAGTCACATGTCCACTTCATCACCAGACTGCACTTCTGACTAATCACACCATGCTTCATTGTGATACTTGTGTTGTAATCACCTGATTTCCCCTCTGCTTTTATCTAACCTGCCTTTATCTTTTATAAAACAGAGAGAGAGAGAGAGATATGAATGTAGTCACTCAGACTGCCAAACTATTTATTGGATTAGCACTTTGTCAAAGCAGAGCCAGAGGCACAGCTCCAAAGCTAGTGGGCCTGCTTGAAATTCAACAGACAGAGCATGAGGAACAGCTCGGACGCTCCTCAGGTGGCCCTTCATGTCCATGTGGCAGCAGCTCAACTTTCCTGTGTTTTCTACCTAAGGTCCCCCTCCCCCACACAGTGCACTACACCTACCGCCACATACAGGACCAACCATGTCCTTTCTTCCAACACAGAGACAGAATTAAATCAAGAAATTAGATTTTTCTGTCTAACTATGTCTGTGTGATTTCTACAAAATCACTTCATAGAGTTAACAGAGAGGAAACATATTTTTTATGATTTTTAACGTATTACAAATGTTGCTGCCTAATAAAACAACAGTGAATGATGTAAGTAACATTTTTTTATTAGTGATAAATCATTTTCATAAAAATCTCTAATTAATGCTCAAACATGCACTATAAATAAATGTGGCATTGTTGATCATTATCTTATTATGGTTTACTCATTGGAGAGAGATACAATACTTAAAAACAAACCAGGAATAGCCATCAGAGGTAAGTATCATAGTGATAGTAGCAAATGCTAATTTACAACAATGTCCTTATGCAAAGGCTTTTGTGAGTATAAAAGACAAAAAAGTTGAAGGAAAAAAGGAAAAGGAAAGCTGGGTACTGCGTAAAACAGAAAACACATTTTACAGTGACATTGCTGTAGGAAGTCAGACATGAGCTACAACGTGGACTAAGTTTGCTTTCTTAAAAGTTGCAAAGTCTGTAATATGTTTCTAGGCATCAGGCAGCAAAAAGCAGGAATTTACTCCTTTCAAAGTAAAAGCTGTCAGGGTGAAAGATCTTTCACAGAGTGAAACTTAAACAATCACTTAAAGCAGCTCTGGTGGATCTGCTACTTTGTAGACCAAGTTATTCAATTAAAAAACTGTAGAGTACGAAATAATGGAATAATTGCGGCAGCCTTACAGTACATAGATCCACTGCTGAGTGTAGGTGTCACATAAATCAGCAAATTGGTTACACAACAACTGATGACACAAACTTTTCTTCCTGGTGAAAACGACAAAGGTGAAATGTTGAAGGTTTGATTTCAGTTTCAGATGGCTGGTGATATTTAGAAGCCGTCTTTGGACAGACTTTCCTTTAATGCAGAAAATAATGGCCTCGGGAGTCATTTGCAGTGTCCCCACAGTTTCTCTAAAGGTCAGCTACATTCAGTGTAAATATGACCCCTTCCCCTTTGGGACATCATAAAATAACCCTCAAAGTAACACATGGTTTTTCATGGACCCTACTCCCTCATATACCCTGGTCCCAAAGGTCTAATGAGATTGTTATTTGGGGATTTTAAGTTGAATATGATAAAAAAAGGAGGAAACAATGTTCAAAAACTTGAGATGAAAGAAACAAAAGAGACAAAAGAGTGATGACTCAAATGCAGGGAAAATCCTGGGGATGAATAAGTTATAAGACCATCTACATGTGGGGCAGACAAGGCATGAAATATTAAGTTAGCATCTGATGAAGTGCAAGAGTAAGGTTTAACAACTCTTGAAAAAAGCACTACTGTACATGGATAACCAAACCACTGTGGTCTTCTGCAAGAACATCACATCCTGTCAATGACAGTGACAAAGAAGAAAAAGTGTTTTTGCCAAACATGGTTTAAAACACTGCAAGTAACTCTTAGATCTCAGAAGTGATCCAAAATCTGCATGCAGATAACACCCACCGCATCACTCATCTGGGCTTCATGACTGTCACTGTACACGCCCAGTTTTTGTAGAGCAGGCAAATCAAAGTGAGACATACTGTATGTTCCACAGAAGTGAGCTGCCTAATTTTTCAATGACATTATTTTTTTTCCCATCAAAAAGTGAAACAGAGCAGTTATCTTCTACAGGAATTCAGCACAAGTGAAAAAATAGACTGTAATCTTCAATAAATTATGCACAAGACTAAAGAAATCACTTCACACCAAAGGCAATTTTAGCTTTCCATGACACATGCAGAATTAGCTCTGAGCCAGCACAAGGATCTATCTCATCTTTACCATGGAAACCAACGAGATACTATAGTACATGCACACGCACCACAGGGGCAATTGCCATGGCATCCAGCGTTGTGGCGACAAGAAGCTTTCAGTGACCAGACCAATTTACTCAGCAGCTGAGTGGACACTCAGTCAACCCTCTGTCTGTCACTCTTCTATTTAACTCTCTCTCCTCCTCCTCCTCCTCTCTGCCTCCCTCTTTCTCATTTTTCATGAATTTCTTTAGTCATGAGCCAGAAAAAATACCTTTTATCAGCAGAAGACGAGATCTTGCAGTGCTCAATAGGAGCGGCTCTCGGTCGAGTGATGACAGAGAAAAAAAGAGGCTCTGCAGGGATCCCGAGAGATGCCCAGAGATGAAGCTGAACCGGCGCCGCACGCACGCATCCACCACCACCACTATCACCACCAGTGAGAGCAGCCGCGGCAGCAGCAAATCGGAAGGGGAGGGGAAAATGTGGAGAGAAAAAAAAAAGGCAGGAGAGGGGGTTGCTCTATCAGCAGCAGAAACATTACATCATTGACTAGGAGAGGAGTGGACAGAGGAAGGGAGGTGCTCCTTGTTGCAGCACTCTCTCTGTCACTGCTGAGCTTTTTCAGAGCATGCACAATCCCAAATTTAATATTTATGATCTGGCAACTGTAAAATACCCTCAGAGGTTTGAGTCAGGCCATGAAATAATTAAATCAAGTGCTCCTAATTGTGTACCATCACAGGGGCTTGTTGTCAGAAAGGATATAATATGATGTACACTTGAATGTGGCTGATCCCTTTGGGGCAAAAGCTGTCTATGTGTGTGTGCGCGCGTCTGTGTGTGTGTCTGCCCAGGGCTACGCGAGCCCACACAATGTCTATTTTGTGTGGTAATTCGATTGCGTGACCAAGGCTTGCTCAAAAAGCATGATGATATTCAACCTCTGATAAAGGTCATGAAGGATTCCTTGCAGCAGCTGTGAAAGAATAAAGGTATACAATTGTTAGGACTTGCCATCTGCTCACAAAAAGGATATTTAAACTTGACTGTCACAACAAATTCATCAAAATCTGCAAAGTGAAAGCTCCAAAGATTTGAGCACATCTGGCAGGCAGAGTCTGACCATGATGAAGGATGTAAAAAAGGATGTCGCCTCTTCCTTGTGGTCATCTGTTAAACACCTACTTCCCAGTGAACCACAGACCATTACTATCGCCACAACCGGACAACAATACTCTCAACAATCGCTTGTGAGAACCACAGAATCTTGATGATTCCTAACAAATGCAAACACCCGCCCACAACTATGATCATGCTGTCAAAAGGATAAACATTACAGAGCTTGGCTGAACAAAATATTTTCAAGCTGCAACAATCAGGAAGCTCTCTTTCTTCCTCGTAATCATCCACAGACTTTTTTTCTTTACTGTTTAATTTATGGTCTGGTCTGTGAAACATCAGGAAAAGAATCATTTCTGACGTGGCAGGTCGTATGGTTCGTCTATGACGACCAAACCTCTCAATTATGTTGCAGTAAAGAAGGGATGCATAAAAAGATGCATTTCCCACACATCAATAAAATGAACATTTTTATAGAAGACTCTGATGTCCATGAACACAAGCCCATCCTCCACCTTTCTTTTTGTCTCAGAGCTGGAATAGCTCTTTCTTTATTTGTGGTGGTTTGTGCACATTTTGACTTTAGACTGTTTATCAAGATGGATGCCATAATAGATAATTAACTATGAAGCCAAAAGCCTGCTTACTGAAGGCTATCTAAGTTACAAACTAGGACTGGGCAATATGGACTCAAATCAATATCACGATATATTGAGCACTTCACCTCGATAACAATAAATGGACAATAACTACTCCACATGCTGCTCACCCCCTCCCATATTAACTTTGTCTACTTCAGCTGCTGCTACAACTTTTAAACCATCCTCCATCTCCTCACCTGTCTTTCCCTCTTTGTTACGGACTGGATGGGGTGGAGTCACATCTCTGAAGTAGGACAGCATCTTAAAGGGACATGAGACCATAGCCTACCTACACACGTCCGAAACCAACTTTTATTTATTCATTTTTTGACACCAAATTTACTGACCTTGATTATTGACATAAATTTCGGTATCAAATCCTGCTTCCCTTGTTAGTAGGAAGGGTGTGACATTAGCCCTGCAGTGTAACCGGCCAGGTTGCTCCTGTGCATGCCTTGTCTGCACCTACAGAGGCAGTTTTTTGCCTTCACACCTCATGGGCAGATATGAAGAAACCGCCACGCTACATACAGTCAATAATTCTGATAGTAGAGTTAAAGTAAAGGACATCAGTTTGCAGCGTGGATGATACAGCATGTACTGGAAAGCAGCAATGACAGACCACAGAGACCTTAATTCAAGGCCTGACAAATAAAGCCTGGCATTTATGAGATTATTGCAAGAAACAAACCACATCTCCGATCTAATCTGTACAACCCATCAGAAAGAAAACAATTGAGAAAGTCCAGTCCCTGACATAATTCAATGTTAACTTAAAAATAAATAAATAAGGCCAGATAAAGCAAGTTTTGTTTTTCCTCATCACACACATGACAATCCAGAGAAGAAATTCATGATTATAACTTGCAGATGTGACCTTTTAAGAAAAATAGTAACAATATAATCACAGCCACAATACACCAACATGCAGGGGGGAATAAGAGAAGCATTGTGTTGGAGGCAATAATAAGTGTGACAGTAAAAGCACTGTGACACTGGAAAACGGAGAGTATGAAATTCCTCACATGCCAAATATCGTAGGTTGGTTGGAATGCAGACTTTACTTGAACAAGGCAGTGTGATGTCCAGTGTGAGTGACACTACACAGTGAATGACGCCTCAGGAAGGAGGGCACCCCGGAGTGTAAACAGCACTCTACAAGGACCTGACCTTTGCTAACACAAATTGGTTGAACCCTTTATGACCGAAGGGGGACAACAGCCAGGAAATATTATTGCTGGGGCACACAGACGATCATTCTACTTTTACAATGAACGGCTTCTTTTCCAACAAGTTGATCTGTTTCAGGGAAAAAAGATTTAAGCATCTTATTTTGAATGAAAATGAATACAATGACCGCATTGACAGTCAAGTGAGTGAACTTGACACGGAAACTTCTACTACTTGAGAAAGAGCAGCTTTAGAGCCTTAAAAAAATGTGTACAAGATTTCCTGAATGGATTCTCTTGAAAGTCGAGCATGTAATTTACCACATTATCAACCACTGAAAATAATGTGAACACCAATAAAAAATGCAGCCCTACACTTATTACATTTTTCTTTCATCATAGTAGATATTATTCAAATGTAAAATGTGTAGTTTATTTATTTACTTAATCACAAGTAACAAAATCCCCTAAAGGCTGAGGTGCAAATGAATTATTCAAATATCACACATGCAGGCAGATTTGGTGATAGGCGGTATGGTGTTGATTGATCACACTTAGCAGCAGCACCCTCAGGCCCTTCCCCCCTTACAGGCCCTTGAGACTAGACTTCTGAAATGAAAAGGTCAAAGGCGATCGCTGTCCCCTTCTGTAGCTACTGAACAGCCACGAGAGTAATCAACCATCATGACATACACTCCCATTGTACCATTGTGTCATATGCAGCAGGGGATGTGTGAGTGATATTAGCATGAGTGTAGACACATCAAGCTGAAAACTGTTATTGCTCTTGCAGGAAAGCCATAAATGACAAAGCTGTGGATGTCACATAACAAGACATTTCCAATTTTGTTTCTGATAGACGTGAATTAGACATTATTTTTATCATGGTGAAAAAGGTTTTGGAGAAGCAGAGCTACAGTATGGGTATTTTATTTAATACACAGTTAAGTCTTTTTTCAATATTGGTACCAATTTGTAGCTCATGATAAATGTCAGTTACAAACACATAAAAAAAACTTTCTTCAAAAAGGCTAACATGAAAAAAAGTTTTCATTGTACCGATCAGCCCATGACAGCAGTGAGATTTGGCCATGAACAAAGAAATAAACATCTCAGAAGTTACTTTTGGACCCCACTGTGGGCTTATTCTACTAACCAGTGGTAATAATATTAAGCTGTCTTTATAGTCTGTTTCAGTCGCTATTGAACTCTGGTTTACATCAGTTCAGACATAAACAAATGTCCTGTTCGTGTTAAGAACACAGACACAGCAGCCGCTAAGCAGATTGCTTAAACTTTTTTTTTGTTAAAGGGACATTCCTGTGTAAAATTAATTATGGGTCAAACACACCGTAACACTGAGTTAGACACCCCGTCGAGAGATTAATGCTCCCGACCGCTTGCTTCTCTAGTTATACCAACTTTGCAACATAGTGCAACATATTATTTGAATGTTTTCTTTTTAATATTAGAGTGTCTTTCTTTTTTTATCTTATTTCAACATTATCAACTGTTTTAAATATTAAAATGATGTTATAAGGATTGTAAAGGATAGGCAACTATAAGCATTGTGCTTCCGCCTAATCCTTTTTTTGGTCAAGTTTATAATTCTTTTTGTTTCTCTATTGTTGTTATTGTGACCAAATAAACCATTCATTCATTCATTCACTTTAGTAACGACCGCACTATAGCAATACACAGCAATACACTGATTGCGTTTCTTCATTCTTCAGGCAGAAGAACTACAAAGCAAAAATGATTAATATGGTGATTACCACTTCAAGGAAACAATAAAGTAATGATCATAAATATTTTTCCTTTAGCTGCGCCCCCCCACCTCAATCATGATGGACTAGTCGAGGTCTCGCTACAAACAAGCGGCTGCTGGAAGAGAGTAGGTGAGTTATGTTTAGTCTCTTTGCTAAAGAAATCAGGCAAAGTTAAAAAGATGTTTGGTGGCTAGTGCTATGGCTGGGACCCAATATGTACTTTTTGGTTGAGGTTTGTGTGTGGCTCCTGAGACCACTGTGTAGTACTATCGTGCGGTCGTTATTGAAGTTGGTATAACTGGAGAAGCAAGCGGTCGGCAACATTAATCTCTCGAGGGGGTGTCTAACTCAGTGTTACGATGTGTTTGACCCTAAGTTAATTTTACTCCGGAATATCCCTCTAAGTGGTGCTTCAGTGGCCTACATGTGAATTAAAGACATTTTCTTGTATAAATGTCTTTTTATGAGTTGACCTGGATCACAGCCAACCAACTAGCTACTGTGACGTCACTTGTGGGTGTGTGTTGTTTGAAGCCTTGAGTTCCGTATTTCCCCTTTGCCCTCCGGGATTTTGGAGTCAGAAGTGTGGTTGCATCTTAATTCTGTGTCTTGAAATAGTGATCTTAATCCCTTGCCCACAGCGGTTTCAGCTGTAAGATAAAAGATCCCTGCCCTTGGCACCTTTCTCCAGGGGTCTTACACACTCTCGCACAGCTGCTGTGATAAAGCTCTCACAATGCGAGACACCCATAAAATCCCTTCCTACAACTCTTTGGTATTTGACCATGTGTTTGAGTAAGCCTACCTAAAGACAGCAATCTATGAACCTGAGTATCTTACTCTAACTAACAGGAGGGTTGTAGGTAATGGTGAATGTCACTGGGAGTCTCATTTTCAAATACCGTTTGCTTTGTGAAAACAGACGCAAACAGAGTCAGGAGAAGACTCAAAATTTTCAACATGGCCTCTGATCTTGTGAATATGCAGATGAAAGGAGTGCGGAAATACACTCATGTTAGAATTTAGAATAGGGAGTATTTTTGCCACCCAGAAACAGACTTAAGTAACTTTACAAGTCTATGACACAGTTCTGGAAAGCCCTGATATTTGAGAAATGTTACCTGCTGTTGCTGATCTAAGCGGCTACAGGTAACCACTCAGGGCTCTTCTGTTACAGCACCACCTAATCACTCACCTTGTTTTCTGACTCTCACTGCGGTATCGTGTTCTAGGTTACCACGGCAACACAGTGATTATATTCGCTTCTCCATTCACGTCCCACTCTCGTCCCCCCAAGAAACACTCTTCTTGTCATCACAATGAGTTGACAATGAGACCATATTACAATGGCCATTGTTAAAGGGATCTAAAGAAAGCTTGGAGCCTTTTGGCAAAATGAAACAAGCTACATCAAACAGATCACAGTTAGTAAGTCAAGCTACGGTTGTATCATGATTAGGTGATTAAACTGGACTGCTGCCATCGTCTCGGTTTATAAGTACCAGGCCAGAATCAATGGATTGAAGTATGTATGCCTTTACTAAGGGAGGTGGTGACATGCTAGGATGACCATATAAGACCGAGTGTCTTTTATGCGCTTCTAATTCAGTAAGTCCACGTGACACAAAATAGAAACTCTCGTACAAAACCGCGGACATTTGAAGGATTTTATAAACTTCCCCGGACAAAGCCAGACAAGCCCGGACAGCCCCCAAAAAAGAGGACATGTCCGGGTAAAAGAGGACGTATGGTCACCCTATGACATACGCCCTTTCAGCTTGTTACTATTGGGATGTCTTTCATTTGACCTATTGCGTTGTGTACCAAAACAATCGACATACCCAACACTGAAAACGCCAACAGCTTCACAGATCTGTAGCAAAAGTGAAACACATAAACTGTGACTGAGCTAAGATATTAAATGCCAGATTGTAAAATGTGGGGAAACCCAAACCACCCTCCACTGAGATGATATATTTCATCCTTATAAATTAACAAAACAAAACTCTTGTTGAACAACTGGTATATCTTCAGACAGCCTAGCAAGTTAGCACGCCCCATATATGGGGACTATATTCCCTGCAGAAGTCGCGGTTTCGAGTCCCCCCTCCCCCCCCCATTAAAGGCAAAAAAGTAAGTATCCTGTTTTTGGGGTACAAGACCAACCGCTGAGACCAAGGCAATGTATGTTTGTGTAAGTTCTCCTTCATCCAGGTCTTGGTTATCCAATTCTTTGTTGAAAGGGCAACTGGGACCTTTCAATGAAGAATTCGATAACATGACTGTAAATGCACAAAACACTAGTTTTTGAGTAAGAATAAGTAGGAGAGTTGCCCATCTCTATTAAAGGCAGTAAAACTGAGTAACAAACTCACTCATAGAAGGACATCATCCATCTATTTTAATCTTTGAATTATCATAAATTATATATAAAAAAAATAAACTACATTTAAGCAGCAGAGAACTGAAGAAATGTGCAGAGAGCTTTACAGAGCCTTAGAGTAGCTTCATCTTCTGGCTTCCCTGAGTCATTTCATGAAAAATTTAGGGTGTGATGCATGCTGCAGCGGAGCAGGCACTAGTACATGCTCCAGTCACAGTAGCTTGTTTAGGTGAGAGTTACATTTGCAAAGAACCTTTTGGAGTATTTTTGCTCAAAAGACACTGGTTTGAGAAGATAAATAATCAGTTTGATTTGTTATGAGTTTGTAGGACAGAAAACTTTTACATACATATTTCTACCAAGACCTTTTCTGAATTAAAAAGCTATTCATGGATTTGTTAGATTGTACTGTCTCTTCCACACAAAAGACCACAAAAACTAAAGATTCTGATGCATTAAAAGGAAAACTAAACATTTACTGTGAGTATTACAGAACCTCATTACTTATGAACAGAAGTCCAGGAGTGAAAATAGCTGCAAGTAGTACATGACAGTCATTCTTCAAGTACAAATATAGAAACTATGTGATATTCCAGTACCTCATTCATGAGCTCAACGCTAAAACTAAAGAAAGTAAACTGTAAGAAATATCCATGCAAGGCTAAAGATCATTAAATAGATATTACATAATTTAATGGGGAAAAGTTGTCCAAAAAACCCCACAGACTCAATAAATATTCGATTGAAAGATTTTCCACCACCAGCAGAAATCCTCTCTCAAAACTGAAACTAAAGTAATTCTGCAGTGTGTGCAAACTTCGATCTCAAAGTGGGCTTATTCATGCACTGACCGTAGCATGCAAAACACAGTCGATACAGCAGGCCTTCATTTCTGTGCCTCGCCCATGATCCTCCCAGGTCACACTCCTCTCTACAGGCCTCTAAAGTTAGCTCAGCCTAGAAACAGACCAGATCAGAGGATGTCCGCCTGCTGCTGGGTCGCGTGGTGATCCTTCAAAGGTTGCAAAAATATGTGACAACTGCTCACATTCCCGAGTAACACTGCAAACAGCATGGAACCACAACAACAGTTTATATCTCCACAAGCAGCAGTAGTCAAGAACTGCAGACGACAGGCAACAAGGGCACAAATCACTCTGTGACTAATGAGAGGTAAAGATTTACATAATTAAAAGTAGCAGAAGGAACTTTCAATCTTTAAACCTTTTGTCAAAGCCAAAGATGCTACAGAACTTAATTTCCTCAAATTAACTTGATATTTTAGCAAATTTTGCTTTATTTATGTTCTAAAAAAAAAATATCAGCAAGGGTGTCGCACTATTTCAGCATGGTCTGACTATTTTTTGTCACAGTTTAAGGTTCTGACCCTACAGCTACGAGGCTCACGCAGTCAGTAAACAATTTCCAAATTAATCCCTGAGAACTATAAATAACCACAGAGTTTCAGTTTGGTAATCGTGGTGGGAAGACCAACAGCAGAAGCTCAAATGACACATCCACCCTTAGTAGGCAAATTAAACTATGTGTGGACCGTCACCACCCCCTTCATATTACACCAGCTTTAACCGTGTCATGGGGTCACATGAACAACTACAGAACACTCTGCTCACTCACAACCTTCAGGCCAGCTTGCTTACCTGGTCAATATCAGACATGTGATTGCTACAAATGATAAATAGGCTTATTCATGCACAGTGACTAATGCATGACATTGATCTAGCCATTCTAATCACACAACCAACAACAGGGATATTTATTGGATGCTGTGTGTCGAACAGGATTGATGACCCAGTTGCAGAGCAGACAGTTTTTGGCACATGGAAACTGATGGGCAGACATAGGTCCTGCATAAATAATGGTGTTAACCCACTGATAAACATCTCGTTGCTCTGAGAGACAATTAGGATGCGGCCACAAATACGATAGACCTGAAGGGCAACAAAGTGAGAACTTCCTCAACTCTTTTTATTACAGGGAAAGAGAAGAAAACAGGTTTGCAAAAAGAAATACTGAGAAGCTTGTTGAATTCTTTGTAGTTTGATTTATTACAGCAAATAAAGAGAACTTAACAAACAGGTTAGTAGAGGTGATACAATGCAGCCTATGTGTCTGATTGACTGTCTGTTACGGGTCACCATGCCAGCAGGTCTGAGCAGAGGGAAAGGCTGAGAACAAAACCCGGGCAGGAACAGATTACCACAAGTCTGTATCAATCTCACCATGTCTTTTCTTCAGGGGGATTTCAAAGTGATCATCAGATATATAATACTTTGTGAAAATAACAAAAGGTGGAAGGTGAGAAGGACAAACGAAGATAATCATCTTGAAATAAATAAGTACACCAAGTATTTCTTTCTATGTAATTTCCATAATCATATCTGTTAACAACTTCTACAGAATCTATCATTAGAGAAGAAGTCATTCAAAAGATCTGATAGTATTGTATGATTAATTAGGGCCTTGGGGTTTATATGTTATACTGTGGATTTTTTCTTATTCCTCTTCCGGATTAACTACTTGTTCTAGAGCTTAAGGAGTTGTAGGAAAAATTATATACCAAAACTTGCAATTTGATTGAGATCTGTGTGCTATTACATTTATCTAAGACATACAAATTTTTCAAGAGTTAAGTCCCGAAAAACTATGGAAAAATTTTGCATTTAAATCAATAGGACAAGCAAAAAACAAAAAAAACAAGCAATTATCTGAGTTTTTCAAACGTCTGCTGCTCCTGCATACTTTCACCTAGAGACTCCATTTAAGCTTCAAAATGTAGACACAAGTTATGTCTATTAGTGTATTAATCCGCATTTTGATTGATATTGTATTTTTTGATCACTCAGTGTTCAAAGACCATAATAATGGTTGAAGAAATTTTAAGATTATAATGGGTGTGTATTGCGTGGAATCTTCATTACAGAGTGGGTGAGATCATCGGCGAGAGTGAGAGAAGTTGCAAAAAATTGTCTGAAATTTTTTTCCTTCCATGCTCCTCCCAGCCACAAATTACTCTCTACACACGTTTTTTTCCACAGTAGTAGAACCGCATGTTCTGTCTCTAACAATGTGCTTATCGAAGCAGAGAAACTTACAGAATTCAAACACTGAACCTCTAAGTGTGACAATGTCTCTCTCTGCTCCTCAATGATGCCAATGCTGCAATCGATTTACCTCGGGAGTCAGGTGTCCGAGCTGGGAATGACATTACACCCGAGTTACCAGCATTTCAGTTACCAAATCGGAAAAAAGCAAAATCGTAGGTGGACACAAGATGGCTACATCTACAAAAGGGGACGCTAAAATAACTTAAAATAACTAAAATAACTTTCCTAGATGTAGCCATCTTGTTTCCGCCTCAGATTTTGCTTTTTTCCAACTTGGTAACTGAAACGCTGGTAATTCGGGTGTGACATCATTCCCAGCTCACTCTTTTTCTCGTTTTGACTGTCTCAGCCTGCAGTGCGTCTATCTTCATGGGCAACCAGCTCAAGTTGGCGTGGCAACCTGTGAGCCACAGGCCAGGCCCACAGCTGTTACCAAATCACTAATCAGGGACTGCTCTGATATCTGAGCATCACTGAATCACTTTTAGAGCAATTTGATTGAAGATAAAAAGCTGACTTTCGATCAAAATCCCAATGAGGGCCATGGGGCAAAAGCACTGTGGCACTGGTCCCTATACAATAGAGATGCTATAAACTTGACAGCGGACACATCAAAGCACTGGCCTCTGAATAATAGAGAAATATTACACTCAAGTTGCCCCAAGGCACTATTGTTATTCTGTGGACAAAATTTCAATTCACTACTTGTCCTACAGCTTGAGGAGTTGTAGGACAAATTAATATCAAAGTTTTTCCTCTGAAGTCAATGGGACAAACCTGAAAAAGGGCAATTATTGGATTTCTTCAAATGTCTACTGCTCTGAAAAGACTGTATGTTTTCCTTTACAGTCAAGCTAAGATGGCAAAAAGCACTGTATAACCAGAGTCTGACCTCTTGACTGTCTTTAAAATAGATGCACTTACTCGCAAACTTTGGCGAGTGATAGGGTTGTTTTGCACAGGGTCAGGAGGTTACAAAGAGGAAGAGAAACCTTATCTGCTCCTTGTTCAACCACCAAGTGATACAGTATAATTTATGACCTTCCCATGGAAAATAAGCAAACAAAAACAAACTGACTTTGTTATTGGGGGTAAAAAAAACATTTCAGGGAGGAGTAAAATATTAATATATCCTCTGCAACTTATAAAATAGTGAAAAGTTCACAGAGCAATGTCTTTGTTAAATATAACAACAGATCAGTGTACATAAAGTATACTTCAGTCCCCTCAACGCTCAACAAGCTCTGCCTATTTTCTTCATTGTCTTTCTATATTAAGCCTAATTAACATGCAACTTACTCTCTTATCTACTGCTAGACCTGATCATCATTTTCACAGGTACAAACTCTAAAAATTGTAAGTTTATTTTTGCTGTGTTTGGTGCATATCTAAATGACTATGAATTTGTTTTTTGTGCCATACCAATTTAATATTGATACGTGAAGTGGATTGTTATCAATTATTTTCATAATTCATGTAAGTATGGTCTCTTTTCTCAATAAATCAGCCTATCATTGACATTTACCTTGAAATTTTTTAAAAAAGCCAACTGCCGGAAGTGCAACATGGCTTCAGCATATCTCTTGTTTTTCCCAATCTAAAGTCCAAGGATTAACTTTACAACATGAGCCAGAAGCATGATTATTGGGCATTGTAAAACAAAGAATCAAGTACCAAATGAGTAAAGGGTTGTTTTATTGATCCACTCACTATGTTGGCTGTTACCCACACAACTTTTCGGTTTTTGTTTCGGTAATGATGAATTTACATGTAAGGATGGTCACACTTGACGTAGGTGTTGGTTAAAATTAAGCCAATTCATCAACACACAGTTTGTCCCCACTTTGTACAATTAATTTTGTGAGGAGTTTGAGCTCTGCACATTGACCACACAGTAAAACCCACGGGCGGCTTTAGCTGTGATCTGACAGAGGTTAAAACGACAACTCTGCTGTGTTGACAAGAAAAGCTGAGACAGCCACAAAAGCAGCTTTGCTTTGGTACAGGCTCTTCTTTGTTGGTCCAGAAATCAAGAACAGGTGTGTAAACCCTTTTTTTCTTTCCTGAAATAGTGGGACAATATTACTCTTGTGATAAAAATCAAAGTAGGAGTAAGCCCTCAAACTTATTTCATACTCTGGATTATGTCTGACCAGGTGAATGTAAAAATAAGCAACATCTACCACTCAGTGAGGATGAATCCTGCTCCAAAGCTTTGAAACTTCAGCTTATACATATGTGTGAAGACATGATGTCCACAGAATAAAGTTATTTATCACAAACAAATATTGTTTCAAGGCTAACCTGTGATGAATATGGAGTTTAAAAAATCGCAAAAAATCCACAAGGCATTTTTATGGACAGAAGATATGAGCAGAAGACAATCAGGCAAATTGATATTATTTATTTTAGACTGACAGATCTAACAGAGATTTAAAACTCTAAAATGTCCAACTTGACCCACAAAACAATCACCCAAGAGAGACAGGAAACAGAGACCATTAAGTCTGCCATCCTCATATACCAGAATGATGGTATGTTTAATAGAGCTGTAAAAAAGACTCAAATATCAAAGAGCTTGATGCTCTCGTCTAACAAGATTTCATCTCATGGCATTTTAGGCTTGTGTCCTCAGGATATGCACCGAACAAGAGAGTTCACAAGTAAAGCTAAACCAACCAAAACACCACCTCTAAATCTTAGTTTCAGAATAGTTTCCCCCAGTGACAGATTACAGCAGTACAATTTTCTAAGGCTGCAGGTTAAAAACCAGTGACTAAAGAGGATAAAGGGGAATTTACAGAGGATCTGCACATGACAAAACTAAGATAAATATATTTGCAAGTAACTGAATCCCTTATCAAAGCTTAGTATTCGCCCTGGAGCATATCACATTTATCACAGAGGCCTACTGACTCTCAGTAGCCTGGAGGGAGCCTGTGTAGAGTTACAGTGAGAATCCTTGTACAAAGTATAAGAGGCTGGGACATATCTGTCTAAAAGTTAAGGATGTGGGTACAGCACTTATCTGATTACAGGGCTGTTTTCTCCTAAACTAACTAGCTTAGGTACAGGAAGTGGAAAAGAGTAGACGCAGGGCTTGTGAAAATTTTAACATTAAAGTAAGTTAAGATTTTCTATCCCTAAAGTACTTTGGTATCAAAAACAAAAGGCTTCTATTATAAACCACAATCATCAGCTACTCTTGGTTTTTAGACAGTTTTCAAAACATATTTTCAGATGAGTTAGAATTGCTTACTGTAATATCTTAACTCTCATGATGATCAGTATGGCTGGCAAGTGTATACATTTTCAGACATCTGTTTAGGTGGTAAATTTGACAGTCTAATATTGAGTGTGAGAAGTGTCACAAAATCTGTCAATTTTTTCTGTTCATGTAAATAAACCAGTGTCTCTAAAAGATGAAGCACATAGTATAAAGGGTCATTCAGCAGAACAGATTTGGTAGAAACAGAAAACAATATTTGTAATAAATATGTTTGAATTTGTACATACTGTTTTGCATTTCACTCAAAATAAGAACTTTATATCTACACAGGAGTGGGTCCTCTTCCACAGAGGCTGCTACTCCACATTTCTACTGTAGCACAGAGCAGAAAAACAAGTCTTATTTTTATATAAGACTTTTATATTTTTTATTTTTTGAAGGCAGAAAAAAAGTGATTTGAAGTTGTGAATTGACTTTGGAAAAAATCAGATTTTATTTTCAAGTTGTATCACTCAGCCCTAACTGACCATTCAGAACAGTTTTCTTGGTTTTATTAAGCAGACCATAACAAACATGGTCCATGGTAAGAAGAAATAACAAACTACAACAAACTCTCACATTTTAAGCCTGCAGTAGCTCTGTGATTTATTATTTATTCTTTTCAGATCATGGTCTGACTAACAAACAGCTCGAACAGACTGGTGTGATCCAGTTTGGAATTACCCACCCAGCTACTTTATACTATCTTAGGCAATAAAAACACAAAATCAAACACTCCAGGCTAGCCTTGGAGCACAGATTAGAGAGAACATATAAGTGATAGCATCAGATTTTGCACCAGAGCATTAGACACACACACACATGAACACACACACACATACACGCCTTCCCCTATATCAAAGAGCCCTTCTTGAGGCTTTGCATAGCAAACAGGTGCTAGATTAAATCAGAAGGGAAGAGACAAAAGCTCTGTGTCTGTTCCTTGGCTTGTCACCACAGAAGTCAAGTCAAAGTCTGAAACGATAAAAACCCAGTCTGGTGTTTAAAAGAGCGGCAATTAAAATGACATATGAATGTCCAATAAAGACAAATAAATCAAGTCTATTGTCTGTATACTAAGGATACCATGGTAGAAAGGATAACCCATAGTCAGTACATAAGTTGTATGTGTGATAAAGTCAACTTCAGCTCAGGAAAAGACTGTGAGCACACAACGCAATCAGGATTTTAAAGCAGTTTGCTCTCCCAGTAAGTACAATTAGCAAAAATGAGAATATCTAGAGACTTTAGATTGAGATCCTCCTCTGCTCGCCCCACCAGTCACTGAAGTGATGGTGGCCTTTGAGGGCAAGAAGCTCTGGTGATGCATGATAAGGATGATCCTCCATTTGTCAAGATTTTACAACCATGGCTCATTCTAATTTTAACATGACAATTATATTCTATTTTTCACAGTTATGTGACACAGATATAGATAATCTCTTCATAGCAGTCAGTTTAGCTCGTTCAGTCTTAGTGAGGGAGTGTTTTGCATTTTGACAACCGTCTGCAGAGCACAGTTCTACTGTTTCAAGTAACGGCCCCTATTTGAAGGACAGCCAATAACCTGTTACCAGATGATGCAGGTTAAAAAAAAACATCGAGTAAATATCAGTAAAATAAGAAAAAAAAAGTCAATAGAAAATACTCTCAGAACTATACTCATAGCATTTATTTTAAAGTATTTACATCTATTTGATTTTATTTAAATTATTATTTATTTATTCAGCACAAATCTGTTATTATTCAATTTAATCAGTTAAAATGTATGAATATAGTTTAAATATCACGAGCTATGGATCAACCAAGATTCATTTAGTTAAATCTATGAGACAGAAACAAATTGGATCAATGAATGATGAATAAATAAATCTTCATTATTTATTCTAAACACATTGGGTTTATTGGTAATATTACATAAATCTAATTCTTAATTATTTTATTTACATTAAAATGAAAAATACGTCACACATGAAGTTTATTGGCCGGTTTAATGTTAAACCTAAGTAATTCAAATGGGTGGAAATTTTGTATGCAATGAGGCTTAAATATTTCTGTGAGTGTAGTTACTTTAGGGGAACTTAGACAAACATTTAACAATTAATTAATTAACCTTTTTGAAATAATGATGAGGCCAGGATGCAATACTAAAGATATTACAGAGCTATTCAATCAACGGGGCAATTGGAAGAAAGTTCACGGCACAGAGCTTTAAAGCACTGTTCTGGCTGTACCAGGAACAAAAGGAATAAATCAGCAACAAAGTCATGGGCAGGACAGGTCTGCACCTGTATAGCTGGCAGCTGAAGGCCATGACATCATGTAGAGTAATATTATCCCCAGACGGCTCTGTTGTTGTGAGCAACAGAACAGAGGTCTTACAGGGCTTTGTCTGAACCAGCAAAAGTGAATAAAGATCATGATCTTTTTCTTCTCCATGAACAAATAATGCAGCACTGGACACATGTGAAGGTTATTGTCAAACTTTCATGAACAACAGACGCACAAATGGATAGTCCAATTCTATTCTGCCTCATCTGTTCAATGTCAGTCTCAGTACAGTCTCATTTTTACCAAAGACCCCCCTAAACACATCGATCAGTAGATTCAGCTCCCATTGGTTATGGAAGAAAGTATAGATCTGTAATTTCAAAGTCCAGCGATAACTTTGACCTTCAATTAACCACATGTACTATATTAATTTGCATAAAATTAGAAGTAGTTGCTAAAACTGAGGTCATAAAACATGAAACTCACAGGGGAAAATTTGGAAGTTACCATCAAAGAGTTAGAAAATGTTCTGATAAAATATGTCCAGGGCAGAAAAACTGCCAGTGAGAAATAATGTGTTTTATATCTACCAACCAACTACATAACTACATTATTCACCCTAATGCAAGTTGTTTAACCAACCGAGTAGATGGCACAAATAATAGAGGACACAGTTTCCAGTGGATTAAAGTAAGGGGCACGAGTGAAGGCCAAAATCACAGAAAAGTGAATCGATGTTATCTCAAAACAGCTGTGAAAACTGCCTTTCATTTTATTGTTAATATAATGGTGGTTACTTCTACAGTGATATCCTCTGCAAGATACTCTCTCACCATCTTTTACTGTGCCCACATCTACAAGTAGACTGCATTGGATGACGGAGTAAGAGGTTGGATTAGGGTCCCTCTAGTGGCCTCTGTCGTCACACATCAAAAAGGGAGTATCTTCTAATTCCAACAACATGAAACAAATTTCAGTCTCAATTCCTTATCATAGTTATAAATCAAAGCATTATCTTATTAAAATTGAAACAAAAAAGAGCAGCACAAATAAAGTAGTTTTATCACAGACTTTTGGAACAGCCCAAATGCACTCTTCATTTCATTTCATTTCATTTCATATACTTTACTGAAATTTGACGTGGACTCTCTGATAGTTCTGCAGCCGTAAGAGGAACAGTAACATTTACAAACACACCACAGTCACAATCCGTCGCCATCACATTCAAACGGCCCTATTGCACAGTTCCAGTGAATAAATAAATAAATAAAGGACAGTGTAAAAGACAGTTAAGAGAGAGGTCGCAACTACATCTGCGCATTCAGGATCTTAACAGATGTTGGGATAAAAGAGTGTTTAAAACGGTTAAGCCTGCATCGGGGGACTCTGAATCTCCTCCCAGAAGGAAGCAGCTGGTACTCTGCATGGAGAATATGAGTTGGATCAGACAGAATTTTCCGTGCTCTTACATTTAAAAAGTTCAATGCCATCGTGATACACTGCTTATCACGATTGTAATTTTCATCTTTCTAAAGCCTGTCTCTCACAATGATAAAAAATTGTGCTCAATTGAGCTCAAACTCTCAGTGAATCATTGGTCAATAGATCAACAATGTTGGCAATGGGCTAAATCCGACTAAACATCCAGTGAAAACCCTAAGACACACTTGTGCAAACGTTTTCAGGGAGACAGCTTCATGTTTTCTATTCTAGTATTAGGAACTGAGGCTATGAACACTCTACACTTCTGGAAAAGCAGACACACGTGTGACATTGACCCTTTTTTTACATCAATGCATCTATAATGAGCTCCTTTTTAATTTAATTACACAATATAAATTCTCAACTGTTGTGTAATTCAAAAAGCATATGCAGCTGAGTTAATTATGCACCTGATCTGATGAATTAGTTCATAGTAATAAGATCAACTGCACCACTTAACATCATTTAATTATACTATTAAGATAAAGGTAATGAGGAAGGCACTGAGCTGAAAACACACACACACACACACACACACACACACACACACACACACACACACACACACACACACAATATGCAGTACAGTAGAGTAACTGTTGTTTTAACCATGTTCAGGACAATTATTGTCTTTTGCAACTAATTTTCATTTTCATTTAGTTATTTATTCAAAATGCCAAACACTTGCTGACATCAGCTTCTCCTTATATTTGGCTCTCCACTGTTTCACCTCATCGCTATAGCTAGATTTCTTAGGAAAAACGGTTTGGCTGGAAAAACACAAATAGTTAATACTATGGAGGCCACTTTTTTCCCCTACCATTTTCTGATTCTTAACTATTTTCTGATTAAAAAAAGTCTAGCAAAGTAACTTGGAGTTTGCTGAGTTGAATGTGAGCCTGTTGAAATGGGACTTATGTTTGGGTAGTTCATCCAACTTTCAAAATTCTTTACCATTTTTGATAGAAAAAGAGAGGGTATTTTGGACATATTAAGTTTAATCTCTGTTTTAGCCGCCAGCAAAAATGCACCCGTTTGGCTAACTTAATGGCTAATAATTAACAGGACTGTCGCGACGTTAGCGCATATTTGGTGGATTCAAGGTAAAAATTTTCCCGTTGAATGCAACACAAAAGCTACTCACTGTGACTGTGTTGACATCCTGAGAAAGTATTGTATGCTCGTCTGTCCTCCTGTGGCAAAAAAATAAATAAATACACCTTGGAAACAGGTTGAAGGTACGAAAGAAGGACCTTCCTTTAGCCTCACAAATATGGACGCCGGAAGTGACATGAGTTGATAGCGTCTAAGAATCATTATTTTATTTCAGCGGTTTAAGTGAATGTCTGTCCTTTACTTGTATTTTACCTATGCAATATAAACTATGCAAAAAGATACTTTTTTTTTTAAATGTGATTTTATGTTAACAGAAAATCTATCTATCTATCTATCTATCTATCTATCTATCTATCTATCTATCTATCTATCTATGCCTACATTAAAACTGGCTTTTTATTTTTTAATCAACTGTATCTCGTGTCATTCACTCTCTAATGTGGAGCAGCTTAATCCTGTAGGTGTCAAACACCCCTTTTGCCAGTGAATTGTTTAGCTGAGCACCACTGCCATCTACTGGAATATTTCTGAAATCACCAGCCCCTTTGTAATGATTGTAAATTTAATGTAAAGCATCTGCTGCCTCCTTTACAAACTACAAAAGCAGAACATGGTGTCTTTTACACAATTTTACAAATGCTCTACTTCAATAGCTTAAATCAACTTTGCTGCGTATTGATAATAGATTGAAATGCAAAATTAGTGTGAATTGGGGCCAAATAATTTCATGTCACTGGCAATTTTAAATACATACTAAGATGAAAACCTGCTGGAGCCAGTTATATATAAATTCAACTATTCCCATATCCTGTATAAGATTAACTCAAATGCTTTAGTTATCTTTTCATTCCTAAAATCTGACTTCATTAAAACAATGCCTGGAATGGTGGAGTAATAAATCAAAACACGAAGAGATGTGTTTTAAATTCAAAGCTACACTACAAAAACATGTGAGATGCTGAGGATTCAAGAGGTATACAATTAAGACTGTTACCTTTGAAATTTAAAAAAATATAGTCACCCTTTTTCAACAAATTTTACAGCTCTTAAAACCTATTTCAGAGCACACGTGAGCAAAAAAACATTATTTTTAGAGCCAGTGTGTTTTATCTTGGAGGAAAAGCATTTCTTCAGCCCTTCAAAGACCAAATCTCCCACCTCCCTTCATCGTTACTTTGCAGGGGATGACAACACCCACTGAGGAAATGGCTTGCACCCTATTGGATAAAAGAGTAATGCATACGGCTACTTGCTTTGAAGAGAAAGACGTTTTTCCACGATTGTTAATTTTCTGTGTATTACTTTATAAACAACCGTTACAAAGCAAACCGATATGATAGCTCCATTTATTCATAAATGTTGCCATAATATCAAAGCAAATACACCAGCTGAATATCTGCTTCCTAAATGTAAAAACAAGGACAAGACTCAGTTTTGTTTTGTTTTCATGTTCTGGGAACATTCTCATATTATATTTCAAATAAGATACTGCAGCCCCCTATATTTTCCAATTCTCTGCATGTACAAGGCAAAGAGCATGAGTGGGGGATCTAAGCCATTTTGGTATATCTCACACTCAGTGGGTGAGAGTTGGCAGCCCTGTCATGTTCAACCAGCAGAAAAGTTTTTTCTTTCTTCCTTTCCTTCTCTTTGTGTGAATCCGAGGGGAACAGCACCTCTCTGGAAGAGGAGAACAACACTTGAGGGCATTCTCAGTGTAAGGGATGTGGTCAGTGCTAAGTGACCGATGAGGGGTCAATCAAATGAGAAGATGAATGGTGATTCACTTAATGGGTTTGAGATGTTCCACAGGTAATAAAAACCAAGAAATGAATAAAATGAGGACAACCATTGAAACGTGAGGTTAGCTGACTGCATGATAGTAGCACTACTACTTAGGTAGGTACTACTGTTCATGCGGCTCATTCAGCTTGTGCTGGACAATTACATCAAAAGTTTCAGATGAACTTTACCTGGGATCTTGGTTGTTACAATGTAGCTGATGTCTTTCCCAAGAGACATATATGGAAAAAATCATACATGTAATAGCAATTCATTGATAAATGATCAAAACTTGTTGGCAGGAGCTACAAAAATATGTCTGGAAGACGAAATAAAGCTGGTGACAGGGAACTAAAAATACAAAAGAGAGCTGGTATTTATTTTTTGAATGAAAGGAAAGCATAGGGGTCAAACTCTTTGCAGAAACAAAAGCACAAAATAACTTGATTTCCTCATTTTTGAATGTATTTGCCAAATATAAACCAGAATAAAAGTGGGTCATATTAGGAGAAATATAGACTGAAATTAAATGAAATAAATATGCTTGCATTGTTATTTCCCATTCTTGAGTATAATAGTTGTCCTGTATTTTGTTTATTCTGAGTCAGATATATAATCTACTAGACCAATGGGTATGTTATGCAAGTAGGATTGATCACTTAGTTTGGTTTACTGGAAATTGACGCACAATTTAATCTCTGGCTTGGATCTGCTTTGTGGCAGAGCTTGCCAGTGTTCATACTTCAAAGCTAGAATGTGCACAAGACGGTTCCTTGGTTTGAAACTGGAGCTTAAAATTGCTCTTTGTAACCTTGATGCCAAGCCCAAGTCAGCACGCTGGTGTAATTACCTCCCAGCCAGTGATTTAAGTGTTAAACTCGTTTTTGTCTCTGAGCTCATGTGACTGTAATTTTTTTAGAAAAGGAAATCCTTTCAGCAACTCGACTACAGGCAAAGAAAATATATAAGCTAACAGCAATAGGATGACACAATGGTCCAATATTCACCAACATTATTAAGACATTTGAATTAATTTAGCAACAAACTCGGATTTCGAAACTGTCGTCTGTAGTTTTTGTCTTTAAATCTTGTACTGATTTATAGTATACACACATACATCTGAGTAATTAGTATAAAACAAAGCAGTAGCATTATTGTCATAAATTTTCTTTGCTGTCATCGTAGCTAGAAATGAAGACAATGGGTGGGGATGTTTATTTCCATAACCTTATGCAAAATTGCTTAATACTTATATTAATTCATTATTTTTACCCTGAATAAGTAATTTCCGTAAAGCCACCAACACCTGGATCAAGCTTAACCTTTCTTTTTAATATATATAGTTATTTTTATTTGGACAGTTAAATTTGAGAGTATATTCAGGAGGAAAATAGTAGAGGATACTCAGGCAAAGTCAGTTTGAACAGGATCCAATCCACTGACAGCAAGAGACTGTAAGAAAGCCCAGTTGTTCTTTCTTTCTCTGTCTCCATTTGTGCTTCTACTTTACTGCATAAATCTATGCATTGTGAACACCTAACTCTGCCACAATGAAGTACGAAATTAAAACCAACATGCAAAGACTTCTTATAGGAGTCCATCAAAGAGCAGCAGTTCCACCCAAGTTTCCCCTTCCTCTTGCTTCTTCAGTCGGTCCTCAGCTCCCCCTTTTAATACATCTACATGGACATTATATACTTAGGTATACATCCAACAATAACTTCTCTTCATTTACTTCGAGAAAGTGTACATATAACAGCCAATGAGGAGAAAAAAAGACTCACCTTTATGCTTGATCACATATCAAGGATTCATCAGCACTTCGGTGCCCTTTGAGCT